CCTCGAGTCCTGCTCTACCATGTACGCAATGTCATCTTTGACTTCTCCAAGGGGTCGCGTTCTGTTCGCCGCGTTCCTGATGTGTGACACCTCTGCCATGACGCGAATACTTATTAGCTGAACCTGTAAGTTATTGCTATTCTATGTGTGGGATCCCAAAATATTAATATACGGGTGACACAATCCGGCGTTGTGAATAGCTGGTTGGGGTATCAAAGATTTAATTCCTGTCACATAATGTTGCGAACGTTGTTTGCCTATGATAATTAAGTCTTTTATTATACCTTTTCTGTTAGTTTCCTGAATGAAGTTTTTTGTCCCAGTCGAAGTTTCAATTTTTAAAGAACTTCTTTCTGTAACACAACAAATAAAATTACACATAAATGATTGCTAAATCACTTGCCTCCACAGATAGAAAATACCAGGGAAGGTTAATTTTAAATAAAGATGTTTTAAAGTTGACCAGCATCGTGTATTCACTCTTTTAAGTTAAAAGTAACTGAAATGGGCGTTTCGATTAAATGACTCTTGCTAAACTAAATCATATCTTAACGGGAAAATCGATTTGCTGTTTTCTAATGTTATTCACGAACGGCGTTAACAAAAATCTATCATAATTCCACAAACAACATTTAAAGATAAATCATCTTATCTGCTAAGTGGACACACGGGCAATTTCCTTAAACCATAATTCAATACTTGACGTTGCTATTGTCTGCATATGTTATTTAATTGAAGGGGAATTTATATTTCTGCTTTGTCGGGTAAAAGGAGAGTTTACATTGCTATAATAATAAATTTGAAAAAGAATAACAATAAAACAAAAAATTGGGTTAACCCGTCATGACGAAAAATTTGAAGTACTATTTGGGTCCAAAAAGTCAATCAAATTTCTTATCAAGACATTTAGCACGACCTGTATTGATTAAGATTTATCGATCAGTCGATATCAAAATCAGATTAGCACCGTGATCTGTTAAAGTGGTCAGTGTTCCAGTTGCACGGGTTTTTAATATCACAGCCTTAATGAAGTAGTTAATTACTGAAAACACGGCATGATTTAAAAATAAGGGAGAAAATGCTGCAAAAGTTCGATAGAGAATTAAAATAAAATCAATGTACTCAGGGTCTGTACAAATTTATCAAAAACAAAGAAACGCGACAAACCTGTGATTTGGAAATAACATTCATTTTGCGCAAAATTGGATTGTCCCGTAAAATTTGATCACTTTTCCGTCCGTTCTGGTTACATTTCACAGGGGGACTATTTGAGGCCTTTATGTGGACTAACGTTTATGTGAAAAAAAAAATGTTTGTCTGACTGTTTATATATAAAAATCTGTCTTAAGTAACTGTGTGTATTATGAGCGTCTTTGAATTACAACACAAAAGAAACATACCCCCAAGTATTGATACATCGATAGGACTTGTACAGGAGCTCATTAAATAACCAGCATACAATATGTCTAAGCATGAACTATACGCGGAGGACCAGAGTCAGGGTGTACATTACAAAGCCCCCCTTATGTAGAAGACGAGATTGGGACTATGAGAGCTCTGATATTGTTGACACCTGAGGTCGGGCAGGTTCTGTAGGATTCTTGCTCTTATCGGGTCATCCCAATTATGGTTGATTGACTCTGCGTAATAAGCAGAAATACATATGAAGAATTCAAGACTATCTCAACATAGGCACTCGCCTTTCAGGAAATGTACAGCCTCTTGACAAAAAAAAAAAAAAAAATTGAAGAGAATTAAGCGGACTATAGCTGTGCGTTCCCAACAATATCTTGAAAACTTATTTTCATTTATAAATACACATAAAGCATGGAAATAACGATCTTATTGTCCACCCTCTTCCCAGAGCCACCTCCCCAATACAATATTATACATTGTGAACAATGAAATCTACTTACTTGCGAAATTTTCGTTCTCTGCATGCATTAGGAATCAGTTTAACAGAGGGCAGGTGCTAGTACATACTGCAGATAATAAAGATATTGAACCTGGACCCTTTTTTCAGTGCATTTCAAGATATTGTTTGCAAATCGCAGATCTAATTAAACTTTGTCTATTTACACAAGAACTTTCTCGTTCTTCTTTTAATTGAGTTTCTGTCCTGTAAAAAGAATTTGTTATGTAATGTTAGCTTCAGCCTTCTGTTTTAAAATAAACGAGCACGAGGATATATATTCAATATTGAATTTTAGCACAATAGGAGCTAGTAGAATTTATTTCAGTCTTCTTGAGATATCCGTGGAAACGAAAGCGTTACACACAGACAGAACAACAGAGAGACGGACGCTTAGAAAGACCGAAATTAACCCCCCCCCCCCACTTTCAGCGAAGGATAAAAAGAGGAAAGACACATTCAATTGCGAGAAAAAATTCAAATTGCAGAGACTGAGAATGTGATATGAAATATATGAAGATAACGAATAGAATTCATGCAAGCTCGAAAGTCCATAAAACAATACAAAATAGGATCAGAGCAAACACGAACCTCCAAAACATCAGAGGTGGGATATGGAGGAGTGAGCATCCCCAACTTAGAGATGCAAACCCCGTATGTTACATTTAAGTAATTATATCTTCGCAAACCACGGCCAAAATGTACGATCCTCGACTCCGAATCTTTATCGTGGCTTGAGACAATGCAAAAGTAAAGGAAGTTGAAGATAATCCAAGTTCAAAATAGTTTTTCTTTCTCATCAGTCAAAGTTTCGCCAAATTTGACCTCTTGACCTTGGCGTTTACACCCCCCTCCCCTTTATAGTAAAAGGTTAACTTTGGATACAATTTTTGAATAGTCGGTGCTTGTGAGCTTGACTTTAAAATCTAGCCCACTTTTTAAAAACTTGAATATTGGCCATAACTTTTGAACGTTGAACCGTTAGTACTTACTTTTACTTTTTTCACAGGTGTATTTCTCGTAACAAAACCTTCCTTTGGATACCAACAATTTTGACTTGACCTTAGAGTTTGACATGCGCGGATTTAGAGGGGGTCGGGGTCCGGACCCCCATCCCTCCCTGGAATTTGCAGTGTTATCACATTTATATTGTCTTCCCACAATTTTTTATTAAAATAGAAAATTTTCTATTTTAATAAAAATTTATGGGAAGACAATATACTAATACTATTCCAACTAAAAGTGACCGTGGAACCGCCCCCCCCCCCCCCCCCCCACCCCCATCCCTGGAAAACGCGGATCTGTGACGAGTTTCTCTGAAAAGTCATAGGTATGAAGATAATTTAGAAGTCAAGGACCCCCCTCCCCTCCACGAGGTTTTCCATTGGAATAAGAGTTTACTTTTTTGTTTTGTTTTTGTTTTTTTTATTTTTCCCTGTCAAGATATTTCTGAGTTGAATTTTTTTACTGGAATGCGCCCCCCCCCCCTCCCCGGACAAAAAAAAATTCCTGAATCCGCGCCTGCACTTGACTTGCATTTGTGGAAGTTTAACTCTCACTTCAAGCTGCCATGTAGTATTTCACAGCACAGTGTTTTTTTGGGGGGGGGGGGGGGGGGGGGGGGGGGGTGTTTGTTACTTTATGGTTTTTTTTAAAAACAATTAAAGACGTGTACCTTCAGTTTGTGATACGATTTTTAAAAAGAGTTTCTTGGCTGTTTTACCTGTTTACGTTTAAAGTCAAAAATACCGAAAGTATTACATTTCAAAGAAAAATTTTCTGTAGGTTAATCACAAGCACTTGACATTTCTGATTATTTTCATTTTAATTTATTGTATAATAATAACACGTGTTATTGATTCACTATAGGAAAGCAAATTATTTTAGAAACATTTAAGTGCCAGAGAGGATAATGTACAGTATGGCCAGGTGTGTCATAATTTTATTTTTCTACTATATATTTCATTGAAAAATGCATTTTTCTAGAATCTTATTTCAGTGTTAATTTTGCTTTTGTAATGACTTAAACACCATTACATGTAGAATTCTTTACAGTTTCTTCAAATAATTTCAAAATAATTTTTCTGCAGGCATTGCCGAGATATCGCATGTCAAATGCATTTATAAAAATTCGTTTAATTAATCACAGTATTTGAGGCCAGAAAATTTTGACTTGACAGTTTCATATATAATTCTCAATGATTAATGTATCATTTTGTTAAGGATTGTTAAGAAGAGAGAAATTGAACAATTCTGCATGATTCAGAGAAAAAATCATGGAAATTCGTTGGACTAAGATTTACTTCACAAAACGTTTTACAAAAATCAATTTTTCAGTGAGATATACAGTGTAAAAATACAACTATGACTCACTAATATGGCCATATATACTGACCTAGAATTCACAGGTTTTTCAGAGGGGAAGGGACCTCCACCCACCCATCCCACTCCCTCCCTGAGTTCCGTACCCCAAGGGTTCTTGGACTTTTTTTTTTAATATTAATATTTTTCTTCAGTATTACAGAGTATGATTTTTTATATGTATAAAAGGCTAGTTTTAGCTTTAATTTTTGAGTTTTAATACTTTGTAAATATGTCATAGAAAAATATTTTATTTCTTAAAAAGTCAAAGAGCCCTTGGGATACGGAACACGGGGAAGAGATGGGGTGTCCCCATGCAAGCACCTTGTGCTAGAAATTTTAAAACTAAACCACACTCTAACTGTGTTTAACATGGGTATTCTATCTTTATGATGAAATGGTCAAACCGGCCTGGTAAGCACGTACAGTGCGAGTTAATTAAATTATTATACAAGGGGATCTGATGCCCGAATCGTATAAAAACACCCTAGAACCGAAAATCTTGGATCCACCTAACTTTCTTCTCTCGCTCAGCAAAATTATTATAAAAGATAACGAATCTATACAATCTGGTCTTTTTGAATGAATTTCACCATCCTCATCTCTATTTTACTTCAACATTAAGCTGATTTAGACTGTCTGATATGTGCAATGTACATTTCGTACGATATCGATCTAGAGACAGGTAGTCGATTATCAGATTTCGAGTTACGTCCCTTGTTTTTATCACATCGCGTCGAAGTCAGCGGTTCGACAGACAGGGTGGCTGAAAATTTACGCGAGTTTGCAGTAACACATTAACCCGAAAGAAAAGTTATATTGGAGCTAGGTGTGGAAAATTCCGGAAACCAAGGTAAGAGTTACCAAACGTACACAGTTTTTGCACAATTCTAAAAAACTGAAGCGTGTTTTCCTTTGGCCCATCAGGCCATTGTGTCCGACATTTTTATTGATCTTCGGCACAACATTTCTTGAAGTGATTTGCATCGTTTTATATAATTATTTGGTAGCGTAACTGCAGCAGATTGTAATCAAATGTGGTGTTGTACATACCTATAAACCGAGACTAGTTTCTAGACTATTTATTACATATAGTTTAAATAATTGAATATCAACAATGGGGTCAATGGCTTTTCGCCTCATTGTTATTTCGCACCGACCGGTTTTGCTCTATCCTTCCCTTTTAATCGTTAGAGCAGGCATGTAGCATCGTTTTTGAAAGTGGGGGGGCCAAGCCAGAGAAAATTTCTTTTACTAACCTGAAAAGCAACAAAAAAAAAAAAAAATTTAAAGTTGCCCAAACTTGAAAATCTTATTTCGTGGGGGGGGGGGGGGGGGGGGGGGGGGGGGGGGGTGGCCAACTTTTTAAAGCCAATTTACTTTCACTTCCAATTTTTTTTCCCTACAATTCCTTGTTATCACTATACTATGGTAAAAAGTGGGGGGGCCAACCATCCTTTCAATGAACATTTTCTATAGTAAAGGTAATGTTGGGGAAAAAAGTGGTGGGGGCTGGGGTAGATAGACTTCTTGGCCCAACAACTCCTCGGCCCATGCTGGTTGACACCTCGGCCCTGACAGGTCGGCTCAAAATTATTGACAGCTCAGCCCATACCGAAGACAGCTTGGCCCAAGGAATAAAATTAATTTAGTTTGTTTATATTGGTTTTATTTTTATATTTTTGTATAATTAATCATTATATACTTCTATAAATATACGGTAAAAATTGGCAGATAAGTTTTTCAGTATTTTTTAACAAAGCACAGCACAACATCGAATAACAATCCTTTGATTTTGTGAAAGTAACAGGTCTATTTATTTATTGACTTTTTTGCTTATTACAATGCAACATTGTACATTATTGATGTATTTATTAGCCATTTGTTTACTGTTTAATTTTTAAAGACTCATATTTTTTTCAAATCAATTAAAAAAAAATCAACAATGAGAATCCTTTTAAAAAAGAACTTTTCATTAACATACTCTGTACTTGTAAGGATATACATAAATCAATAAATTTTAAATGATTATTCAGAGACTACAGTTTATGTATGCACTGTTATAGTCACCACCCCATATGTCACGCGCTTGAGACTCTTATAAAGGATGTACCGCGTCTTGTTTGTTTATTGTAACACTCCTATGATAGTTGCAAAAAGGTTGTCTTTCAGCATGGAGGTGGGACAGGTTTTGACTGTATACAAACGTGCATAAATCAAAGTATCAAATTAATTTTCTAAAATTTATCAAATATATAAAAGATAAATAATGTTAAGCAATATATTTTATTAAAATATGCATATTTACAAATCTACTATCAATTTTCGGGTACTTGAAAACAAAAGAAACGTCGTAGTCTTTATAAAAGTAACCGATTTTCTTGATTGTATGAACATTTTCTAAAGAGATAGTGTTTTTAAGTTATAATAAGGAAAAGAATCAATATGTCATTTAGATTCCCGACGTGCAATGATCAGATGCATGTGTATCGTATTTATTAGAGGTCCATATCTCTTCCCTCGTCCGAAAAGTCTCACATCCACTGATATTTTCTTTTTTGTAGAGCTTTAAAAAATCAATAAATTTTAAATCATGATTCAGAGACTACAGTTTTATGTAGTCACTGTTACGTGGCTTAATAGTAATACAATTATCCATTAAGACTGAGAGTAACTTGTACAAGTTATTCTCTTTAAAGAAGTAGGCGTCAAAGGACAGGCTTTTGCCCTTTTGCCACTTGCTGAAGGCAAAAAGCCTGTTCACTTCTCTAAAGAGAGAAAAATTATGTTCAAACTTCAAACTTTAATTTAGGACATACCACCCTCTACCTATTAAAGAAGTATTTAAGAAATAGGTATCATTTTAAAACATCTATTAGGATGTAAATACGGGGTGGTCACGAGATCTAATTCCATAAAGCCCGAATTATGGTGAATTTGATCTCGTACTAACCTCTATTTATAGCCTGATAGATGTTTTAATATGATACCTTATTACTTATATTTACATTTGTGACTTATTCGTATTGTATATTTGCCTGATTTTGAGTTTTAACGCGTGAAATGTTTTATTTTTCAAACCCAACAGTATGTATGTAATCCATTGATTGCATGTCCACCCTTTATGAAGTCACTGAGTCAGAGAGAAATTATGTCGAACGTTTATGACATGCGAGGAACCTGTATTTATATGGTTATAGATTTGCTTTCAGTAGTGTTATACAAAGGGAAACATTCGCAAACGTAAATATTTATTAATAATAAATTATCTATTAAATCTATCCAAGTTTGGAGATTCTAGGCCAAATGATTATTCAGTTATGAGCTGGACAGTGATTTTTTTACCCTCTCTAGTCAGTCTAGACATAAAGAATGAAAAAAATAAAGGGTAGGTAAGCAGGAACTATTCTTTAGGTATGGACATCATTTCCCGATGATGACAGAGCACACAGAGGTGTGACCCGTCAATAGGGAATACTTATCCCTCTATGGCTCTTTATCCCACCTCTGATGTTATAAGAGGTCTGTGTTTGCTCTGTTCCCTGATTTGTGTTGTTTAATAGACTTTTGAGCTTGAATACTGTTCATTATTTCCAAATATTTCACTTGTATAGAATGTTAAAAAAAGATATCGTTTCCTGGAGGCCTAACAGAAGTTTTGAGTTGGGTCAATGTAGTTGGTCAATAGGAGGCACATTATTTTTAAGGATATAGTCTGATAATAGAAAAAAAAAACAGGAATCTTCACTTCTGTGATGTCCTTGCTATTCAGACAATTCTTGAAAGCTTTTTTTTTAATGTTTGTTTTCATATACACTGTACATGTATACAGTTAGATAATAAATATATTAGTCCATTAAGATTCTTTTGCCAAAAGTAGTCCTTACTTTTTCTCTGTCATTTTAGGCACCATGGAGGAGAATGTTCAGATAAAGGATGAGCCTTTGGACCCTGAGTATGACAGTGCCTTGAATTCCACAGAAAATGGACAGACAGAACCAGAGTCACCAGCAGCAGAACAAAACAGTGAAGACTTCAGTCAGAAGATCAAGTCCATCCTAAACAACATGATAACAGGAGATTCCAAATTGACTGTGAATTCCGTGATTGATAATTTACTCAGACAAAATGATGAAGTCTTAGATAACTCAGACACCACCATTTATAGACCCCGAGGGAGAATTGGTTGGGAGAAATACCAATCAAGGGATTCGGGATCCTTACTTCGCCCTAAAAGCCCAACACAATCTTGTTCCATCCCAAAGGAAGACATGCCAAATCTACGTGACACACTTGTGGAACTGTGTGTTTGCGATGCTAATGCAGAGGAAATCTTTGAAAAGATGAAGCAGGAGGTGGTCTGTGCTGTAGTATCCAAGGCTTACGCCATGCCCAACGCAAATGGGAATAATCATGTCCAAAATAATGTTAAGTTTTACTGGTGCAATTTTTGTCCATTCAAAATTGAAGATAAAGAAGTTTTGTTACATCATGTTATGGAACATAGGTTTCATTGCAAGTTCTGTCCCTATCAGTCGTTTTCTAGAGCAGATGTTATAAGCCATGAAGATCGCACACATAAAGATTTCAAAGACACAGCCAAGACACTGAAATACTGTATATTTCAACCAGACTACATTGCTCTGCAAAACAATGAAAGAAAGAGACCCATGGAAGACAAACAAGAGCCAGTTCCAAAAAAGGCCAAGAAAGACAAGAAGAAGTCCATTGAGAAGGATGAAGACTATGACGCATTTGACATGGAGGTAGAAGAGGTAGAAGATGAAAACAACTATACTCCTAGCAATAGTGACACAACTGACAAAATCCTGACACCAAGCAGTGCAAAGAAAAATTTCAGTATTGTAGGTAAAGTCACAAAATCAAGGCCCAATAATAACCAGAATAAACCAACAGAAAAACAGCAGGGTGCTGGTAATGCATCCACTCCATCCTTAAACCCACCAGCCATAGCTACTGCAAACATGCAGTCCACAACCACTGGAAAAGGCGGGAACACTATCACTGTGTCGTCTGGTTTGTGTTGGAATTGTGGGTACTGTGACTTTGTGACTCTTAGCCAAACATTCCTAAAAACCCATCTCAACACTCAACACAATGGCAAGGCTCACAAATATGTGGCCATGCTAGTATCTTCCCAGGAAGAAATGAACAAGATCAAAGAAAGAGATGCCAAAATGTACTCCACTTCAAACCTGGCACTTTTGTATGGAAATGTCAACCAGACTCCAGAAAAGACCCTATCCCCTCCTGCTGATGGTAGTGGTCTACCAAGTTCAACCAAAAAATACGACTCTGCCACTTCTACAGCTGTCAGGGAGGATGGACCAGAAGATGACAGCGATGATGAAGAGTACATTCCAGAGGAAGAAAAGAAGAAGTATCCTCTGACTTACAAGTGTGCACATTGTAACTTTAATGCTCCTGTGTGTTTTAAGATCAAAGAACATCTACAAATGAAGCACCCTGGCTGTGTGCTCTATGCTTTGGACATGAGAGCTGTGAAGCTGAAGCAAAGGAGATATGTTTTCTTTTGTCACAGGAAAAACTGTTCATTCACTACCAAGAAAACTGAAGAATACCTCAGCCATTCTGAAAACTGTACTCCATGGTTATTGGAAAATTGTCCAGAGAGTGTGGATCTTGCCACCAAGAAATGTTTAGAACTAACAAGAAACTTCTCCACAAAAATTTCCCAGAAAGCATTCCAAATGGCCAAGAACTTCAAGGCTTCTAAGAGTGCTGAGTATGCATGCACTCACTGCAGCTATACCTCAAATAATAATACCAGAGTGAAAAAGCATGTTCTTTCAAACCACAAAAATTTAAGAACAGTTATGAAGGATTTACAGTCCCACAAAATGAAGAAAAAGACCCAAGTGTACTTTTGCAGGCACTGTCTTTGGGAAACTCGGAATGAGGAGGAACTAACTGGACATTTAGAAGACAAACACAAGGAAGAGGAAGAGCAGACAAATAAGTCTACTTCAGGCCTTCCTCCCGCCACACCTCCTGTTGTGGAAACAGTGGAGAGGAGGAATTCAAGGCAAGTGTCTCCGGAACCAGAAACAGAGAATAATCCTGAAGAAGATGCTGCTGCTGAAGAGGAAGAAATTGACCTGGATTTGGAAGTCTCTGAGGAGGAGATGCAGAAGATGATGACCGAGTTTGTAAAGGATGAAGCTTGTAGGAGTGGTTCTCCTGGCAGACCCACTAGGAAGGCCTCCATTGAAGCATCAGTCAGAGTGCGGGCCCAGGGCCACCAACCTCCCATGTACAGATGCATGCATTGCTACCACATGTGCTTTGGAAGCAATCTAATGAAGAAGCACATTAGGGGCAATCACAAGAAAGAGGCTCTACGCACTGTTGATGTAAAAAAGATGATCTCAAGACAATTTGCTTATTACTGTATTTGTCCTCATGATATTTGCAAATTTGTGAATACATCTGAAGAGGCTGTTTTGAACCATGCCATACAAGAGCATAAGATGAAGAAAGACAATCCAGAAATTCAAAGAATGCTGCTACCATTTACTCCTCAGGTTACCAGCTCTGCAGAACCACCAGCTTTAAGTGTCCCTAAAGGGAACCCGTCGTCTGCTACACCCAGTGTGTCTAGTGTGTCGTCCTCCACAGTAGGGTATGAGTGTCTGTACTGCTCTACCAGCTTTGTTACCCAGGACATGGAGCTGATGAAAAGCCACATCAGAAGGGAACATCCAGGAGAAGATGTCATATTCAGGGATTGTGTTGCCAGAAAGATGAGAAAGTCCTCAAGGATCTACATGTGTGAAAGAGATTACTGTAGTTTCCATAACTGTGAACAGAAAGAGCTGGAATTGCACAAACTTGCACATGAAAAGGCTCATATTTTCGAGTGTGTTAAATGTCAATGGTTTACCACTACCACCGACACTGTGCACAATCACATGGTAACCGTGCACCATGGTGAGGAAGTGAAGACCATAGATATGAGTCTGGACCTTGATGCTCAAGGTCAGGTCATCAAAAGAGTGGGAGGGATGGTCATCAAACAAGAGTTTCCAGTGGAAGAGGAGAGCCTACAAGAGATTCCCCAGGAGACAGTCCCGGAAAATGATGTCGCAAACCTTAATAATATTGTGATTAAACAAGAACCAGTTGATTTATGAGACAAAAGAAGGATATATTATATATACAGTTGTAAAATAGAAAACAAATTTATTATTACATGTGGTTTTAAAGAATATGTTTTAGGGGACTTGTGTAACTGTATACCTGGTAGTTACATTTTATGGAAATGTTGGCTTGTTGTAGAAAGAAGGGGGGATTGTGTACTGTTTTTCAGAACAACTTGTAGAAGTGTATACGAGTATAATATACTTTTATTAAATATAAAATGTAACAATTTGAAAGAGTTCCATATAAATGATATGAAACTTGAAAAATTGTGTTTATTCCTTTGTGGGAAGTTTTGTTTAATGTGTTGAAAGTTTTATGAGTTTAAAAAAAAAATCTGCTCAGCAGTTCATAAAATGGAAACATACTGATGAAGGTTCATTATTATCATTAACTATGGGTTAAAAGGTCAAGGGCATTGAAACAGTAACACTTACCTAATGGAAATGAAAGGAATGCTTAGCAAGGTCAGGTCAGGTAAATGAGGGTAACAAAAAAGTATGATAATGCTGAAGTAAATGTATAATTTATCATTTGGTAGAAATTAAATTTTCAAGAACCAAGATAAAATTTTTGATTTAATGCAAATCTGAATGCATTAAATATTTACAGACATTTAGAAATGTACTTGCTTTAACAAAAGCACTGTTTTCATCAAATGTGCTAAAAAGAGCACATGGCTTAAATGCAGTCAAACCTCGCTCTCTTAAACTCAGTGGGATGAAGAAAAATCTAAGAAATCTGAGGATTCAAGATATCTAGTCATTCTAGTGTATAATACTTAAAAGTAGAAACGAATGGGACTTCAAAATCATTTCCACATAACCACTAAAATCGAGTTTCAGTGTTAGAGAGACCAAAATTTAACTGCAATATATTGTAGTACCAGCACTTGATATACATAAACCAAGGGTTCAGGTAATATTCATTGCCTTGTCAACTAATTAAAACCTTGCAATTTTGATTTTTCAGAAATTCACATAGTCAAAAAAGACCCTAAATGCCTCTTGCTCTTTCTTTATACTGGTAATTGCAATATTAGAGGTAATGTGAGCACTGAGCTCACTAATAACCCCCGCCGCCAATATTATTGTAATGACAATTTCCATGTTTGTTCTGAGAGACCTGAAATAAGTATCAGATCAAAAACATAAAATAAGAGGTCACAATGGCACTATGTAATAAAGATTCTGTGCAAGTCTCAGGTATATGATGAGTTGCAGATAAGAGATACACACATGTGCAGACATCCCAATCACTATATATACACTCCCACTTTTCAAGTGGGGTTATAACAATTCATATTATGGCCTTATCATAGTCACAAAGGATTTGACTAAATTCAGCACTACACAAGGATTCTTGAATGTCAATGACTTTTTATACCCCTCCTTGATAAGTGGGGGGGGGGGGTATATATTGACCTGGATGTCCGCCCATCCGTCCGTCCGTTACATTTTGGGGTACCCATCTCATCTGCAACTCCTCATATACTACTGAATAAAATATAATGAGACTTTCACATAATCTTTGTTACATACATGTACATGTAGTACCATTGTGCACCTCCTATTTTTGTCCCCCGCTTGAAAAGTGGGGGATATTAATTTGGGTTTGTCCGTCCGTCTGTCTGTCCGTCCGTCCGTCCGTCTTTCTGTCTGTCTGTAACGCTTTCGTTTCCACACGATATCTCGAGAACCCTTTGAGCTTTTGCAATGAAATTTAGCATAGCAACTCCCTGTGGACTAAAGAAGACCCCTATTGATTTTCAGGTCAAAAGGTCAAAGGTCAAGGTCATAAATAAGCAAATTATTTCTGTTAAAACCCTTTCGTTTCCACATGATATCTCTAGAACCACTTGAGCTATTGCAATGAAATTTTATATAACAACTCCCTGTGGCCTAATGAAGATCCCTATTGATTTTGAGGTCAAAAGGTCAAAGTTCAAGGTCGTAAATTTATACATTCTGTCTGTGTGAAATACTATTATTTCCGGGCGACATTTCGAGAAGATTTTGAGCTTATGCAATGTAATTTTATATCAAAACTCCCTAGGACGTCTCTCGCCCCTCTCAAAGTGCCCCGCCCCGTTTGTTTTATTAGTATTTATAGTATTACATGTCGCTATTTTTAGCGCTGGGGCATGAGGAGAGTTATTGCGTATAAAACAGGTTCTCGGCGGACTTTATGTTCTTATTACATCTATTAGAACTGTTTAATAAAGGCTAAATAAATCAAACACCATGGATTGTGTAAAATTTTGGAATACCCATGAATATATACATGTATGTGACTTCACTTCTGCATATACTTCATATCATGTAAAGCGATAGTGGTTAAGTCTCTCGCTTCAAGTGTGAGAGGTCTGAATTTCTTTTTTTTTTTTTTTTTTTAAATACTTTTTTTTTTATTAAATTATAGTATTCAGCATGTGAAATGAAAAATTTATGAGGTTATAAAATCATCATTACAGTGTGATAAAAATTCCATATAAAAAAATCTTCTATACACATAATGAAGAATAAGCAATCAAATCTTTATATGCATATTGACATACATGTATTTTATTTGCTTCAGTATACATGTATACAATTAATAATTCTACAAATTCAGTGCACCTTTTTCCTTCTCTGAATTAGCTTGTACCATTTGATTGGAAACATATTTTGAATTTTCAAGAGAAAACATGGACACTGCCATTTTTTTCTAAAGTATTGAAGGGTACCCATCTATTATCCACAACTTCCCTCCTGAATAAAATTTAATTATACTATGATTTTACAGATTCTTAATTTCATAATGCCATTGTGCACCTCCTAATTCACTTTTTGATCTGACACTTATTTCAGGTCTCCCAGAGCAAAACATTACAAGCATATGGAAGTCAGGGGTATCATTTTGTGAGCTCAGTACTCACAGTATCTCTACTTTTCCCCTAAACATTTTGTTATAAAATTTTAAATCCCCCAACCCTTTATGGCACTACTCATTGCCTTAGGCATGATTCAAAACAGATCTGATTCTTCAGATTCTTAGTAATTTATGAAGGTTCACTGTAGCACTCCTACTCTGGACTAGAAGATTTTACAGTAAACGTTGACCCTCTGCTATACCCCCCTCCCCTTCAGCGACCTTGATTTAAACAGTTTGGGTCTACAGTCAATGTATAATTTATTTATCTCAATAATCGAGGGGTGTTAGAAAAGTTCGCGGACAAATTCAATTGGGAGTGCGCTATTTCCACGAAACCGGTCAAACTTTACAGATAAAATCTTTACCTTTTTTCCTATAAATATACAAGAATTTGGTGCTCTCCAGTGATTATTGAAAAATAAACAGCTTTTTTATTTTGATAAAACTTGCTTCACGGAGCATGCTACATTATGGCACATTTACATCACAAAGACTCCTTATTAAAATTATAAATTGCACAATTGTAGCGCAAAAAGATTTATATTTTACCTGCCGCTAAAGTATTCATGAAATGTCACTGGGAGAAATTTTGAACTAGATTGGAGGATATATGACTGTTTTATAGCCATTTATAAATGATCAACGCGTAAAAACACAGCCAAAAATTGGAACGTCATTGAGCACTGCATTACGTAAAAATTATGTATGCAGACTGGAAAATGTCTTAAAAGAGATTAAAATGTTCAAGATGCTGCCGGAAATTTCCTACACCTACAAAGGACAAGTTTTCAAATGGTTGTAGCTTCATAAGAATGGAAGGATTGGCATTTTGAATGATTAACTCCATCGATCTTCAATTCTCCCCTATCGCATGGACGTTGCGTTGCGCCTATATGGTTTTGCATAGTTTCCATACCTGATCCATTAACTGCATAGACTTTTTTTAAGATCTCAATAATATCCGAATCAGTACAAAAGACATTATAGAAGAAAATTAACATGTCTTGATATAGATATTCAATTTTAATGTAGAAAAAAGATAAGAAAAATCTGAAGAAATGAAAGATTTATAGAACTGCGACAAAGCTTAACGGGTTGAAATCTGGTTGTCACGTCGCCTTACGTCAAGTGATTGCTCCGTGAATCCCATGACCTCATAGTAAAAATCATTGTAAATTTTCAAGATTTTATTATATGGGCCTGATTTTTTATATACCAATAAACAAAATGTAGGAATTTATTCAGACATAGGTCATACTTCACAGTACACAATAGATTTTCTGTAATTCAATGTGTCCGCAAACTTTTCTAACGACCCTCGTATAATTGAAACAATTCTGTCTTTTGTGACACATCATTTTTTAAATTGTTTAACCCCATTTTCCTCAAACCATTTTACGCATTTTATTGTAAATAAATCAAATATCATTCAGCTCAGCAATATAACCTTCAAAATACCATATTGAATGATCAAAACACAGCTTTTGGAGTACATGTATTTTATGAAGTAGTTTATTATTTTAATCTTTTTGTTCCAGAATAAATATTTTTGCAATGTTTCACACCTCATCATTTAAAGACATCACATGGAAAGAAAGACAAACACAGATTGTCTTTGGAGAATGTTTCCGAGATAAAAGTTTCTCATTTGTTATACAGTCTCCATCGACGCCATATAATTATCATCATCCATCATTTCATCATATTCTGTTGCATTCTGGGATACTGGCTGAGAACTCTGGGATGGCTGTGACATTGGTGTCCCCTGACTTGACCTTTGACTTCCTGCTCTTGATGGTGTGTTCATTACCTTACCTGTTTAATAACACAAGAAATTAAAAAGGAAACCACACTATATACACAGCATGTACTAAAAGTAGAATAATAATATAAAAGTGAGTTGCTCAAGATAATACCCCTCTTTTTTAAATAGAGAAAATTAAACATCTTTTAACACTGAAAACATTTTAAAAACCATCCTCTGTACCTGAAATTTTTTTAAAAATTTACTTTACACTTACCATAAAGCAAAATACATAAAATAAAACCTGATTCCTACCTTCCTTTTTGCCTGAGTGGAATGCCTGACTTTCATCAAAGTACTGGTTAGGGTGATTAATGGCTGTGTCCGGGTCATCGGTCCCCGAGTGGGTGGCATCAAAATACCACTTACAAGCAATCTGGTAGTGTCCCTCACGCGTAAACTTCATTATCTGTGTAGAAACAGTATTGTAATCCATCTGTGATTATACCCAAAGTAGTCTCCATTAACATAAATCTGTGATCAAGTTTCAGACCCATTTAATTTTGTTAGACATACATGTACAATTGTACATGTCCATGCTGCTGTTATTCAGTTATTTCTTCCTTTCCTTGACTTACTTCCTCCAAGTTTGAGAATGAGAATACACAGATAAATAGAAATCTAATTCAAGATAGCTATAGTTCTGCACTACATGTACATAGACATTGGTTAACTTTAATTCTGCTCTAAGTTCCGTTTTTAATCTTACCTTCTCAGTGAAATCCTTGTTGATTCCCTGCAGTCGCAGTTTCTGAGCCAGCAGATCAGCATCTGTATGTCTGAATGGACATCCTTAAAATATAGTTATAATTTTGGGTGTTTTTTTTTAATGAGTTCATGGATCAATATCTTTATTAAAATTTTAGCAAGTTTTAAAACTGCAATTTAGTAAGTTCTTTAAAAGAACTGAATGTGTAATAAAATTACATGCAATTCTTTCAAAAAATTAAAAGTTTAATTTCAGTATCTCTATCATTAATTTCTCAAATCCCAAGGATACACCAAACAAGGTTTTGCCATACATTTATGCACAATGTATAAATACAAGTAGTCTTGCCAGATTGAATATATGTTTAAATTTTCCTCTTTACAATAACATTCTATTTACCGTGGTTATCCCCGGGACCGGGAGCGTTTGACATGATGATCTTATTACAGCTGTAGGGGGTGTAGTCAGCTCGCTTTCCCTCCTTACCATAGTTATGTCTGATATTGTAGGAATACTGCTTGTCAAACTGAAAACAGGAAATATAATTCAAATCAGCAAAACTCATTTCTCCATCAACAAAATCCCAAAATGCTGTGCAAACTAAAAAGATGGAACGACAGATTTTCTATTTTTTTTCGGAAACATTTAACTAGGAATACATGAAAAGATCAGGGATTATCTAGATACTGTTACAAATCCTCCTCCCTTTCTACTGCATCAAACATCAACATGCATATCTAGAGTATCCCAACTGAACATTCATGTAAATGTTGAGGTTTAGGATTTTTTTTTATGACAAGCACTTATTTTTCCAATATTGATAAATTTTAAAAATCCTGTTTGTATGGCTAAAAAAGACTAACCTTTTCCCCATCCATGATTTTGGTGAATTCCATTTTCCAAAATCGGAGTGCTTCCTCCAAGGAGAGCCCAATCCCCTTTAGGAAAAGTCCGTACTGCATTCTCCCCCCGTGTTTAAGGTGGTGGTCCCTCTTCATGGCCTGGTGGAGATTCTGCATGCAGGGAGGAAATGACTGCTTCGACAACTGTAAGTGGAAAAAATAACATGAATGTACACATTATTTTATGTCGTAACATCAACCATTCAAAAGTTATGGGTAATATTTAATTTTCTACAGACAACCAGACCAACAGGAAGTCCAAACTACCGGTATGTGCTCCTGAATCCTTTATTATGGTGCAAAAATGAGAGAATTAAAGTGTACTTGTCAAGAGTTAAAAAATTGAAACATAGGTAATCAAAGATTACGAAGCTCACCTCGACGAATGTTATCAGTGTAAGTAATGCAAATCTCACATCAAATTTTCTTAACAGTTGGTTTTTATTCTGACAATAATATTCAAGCAAGTTCTGTTTAAATTAGGGATGTCAAAATATTTATTTTCCTTAGTCGAACATTCGATTGCATCATTCGAACGATAGTCGACTATTCGGAGCATTTTTTGAAAAAAAAAATCTAATCGATAGCGTTTTTAAAAAAATAAAAACCCTTTTCGTAAATTTATGTAAAAAGTAACATTAAATGCTTATACTTTGTGTTGCACACCGATATTCAGATGATCCTTAAGTTGGGATAAGATGTAGAAATGAAATAGATTTACACCAGCAATTGATTCTCCAAAATATATGAATTTTCGTAATTTTCATAAATTGGTCTGTACATTCTTTCGTTCTTGTACGTTTAGAGAATTGTCAGCACAGTGTTTTTAAAACTTATTCAAAATAAATTGGAAAAGGGGAGGAGATTATTGTTTTAATAAGTATCGAAGTTTCAAAACTTCATGGCTATGCTGTGTTCCTAAGCATTGTTTAAACATTCTTAGAGGTAATAAATAAATTTATAATTGGTACAAGTCCAATTAATAATTTTCAAAGTCCAGTAAAGCGCTGCATAATTTACTACCATAACAATAAAGGTGAGTAATTGAGGAATAATTATCGCGGTATGTAATTACTGTACTTTCTATGTTTACAATGTGGAAACTTATAATTATTTATATACTGTGACTGTGTTTAAGCTCTTATTCATCAGAGAATGGATACTATAATGGTTTTAGGACTGACGCTTTACAATTTTGAGTTGAGAATTCTTTTACACCTCCATTTTTACATTTATTAAATATTCGAATGTCGTTTTATTATTCGATCGTCGGTCCATTTGACTGACAGTCGAATAGTCGATTACTGTAGATCACTTAATTTTCGCGACACCTTATTTTTGCAAGATAGTCATTGACTCTTTATTAGCGAGACAAAATTTTCACGAATCATGGTCATTGCTCTACATAATCTTAAGGAATGCTATTATACGCGAGAATTAAATTTTCGCGAGCATACTGTCTCACGTAATTACGCGAAAATAAAGTGCTCGCTAATAAAAAGTGATTTACAGTATTCATTGACATCCCTAGTTTAAATAGGTCTTAAAATTCATTGGTGATTGTCCTGTGCAAAAAACTTTAACCTCGTCTCTCATTTGGAAAATGTGGGTCAGATCCAGCATCCGAAGCAAGTTTCAATTGTCCATCCTTAGATGCATCATCCATGCAAGTTTGGTCCGGGTAGGGCTTATAGTTACTTGGGAATAATCTAGTCACTAATCTGGTAAATGTAGGTCAGATCCAGCATCCAAAGCAAGTCTGATAGTGTCAATCCCTAGATGCATCATCCATGCAAGTTTGGTCCGGGTAGGGCTTATAGTTACTTGGGAATGGACGTGCTTCTAAAACTTTAACCTGGTCACTCATCTGGAAAATGTAGGTCACATCCAGCATCCGAAGCAAGTCTGGTAGTGTTCCATCCCTAGACGCATTATCCATGCAAGTTTGGTCCGGGTAGGGCTTATAGTTACTTGGGAATAATCTAGTCACTAATCTGGTAAATGTAGGTCAGATCCAGTATCCGAAGCAAGTCTGGTAGTGTCAGTCCCTAGATGCATCATCCATGCAAGTTTGGTCCGGGTAGGGATTATAGTTACTTGGGAATGGACGTGCTTCAAAAACTTTAACCTGGTCACTCATCTGGAAAATGTAGGTTAGATCCAGCATCCGAAGGAAGTCTGGTAGTGTCCATCCCTAGAGTCCAAATCCATGCTTAAGTTTGGTCCGGGTAGGGCTTATAGTTACTTGGGAATAATCTAGTCACTAATCTGGTAAATGTAGGTCAGATCCAGCATCCAAAGCAAGTCTGATAGTGTCCATCCCTAGATGCATCATCCATGCAAGTTTGGTCCGGGTAGGGCTTATAGTTACTTGGGAATGGACCTGCTCCAAAAACTTTAACCTGGTCACTCATCTGGAAAATGTAGGTCACATCCAGCATCCGAAGCAAGTCTCATAGTGTCCATCCCTAGATGCATTATCCATGCAAGTTTGGTCCGGGTAGGGCTTATAGTTACTTGGGAATAATCTAGTCACTAATCTGGTAAATGTAGGTCAGATCCAGTATCCGAAGCAAGTCTGGTAGTGTCAGTCCCTAGATGCATCATCCATGCAAGTTTGGTCCGGGTAGGGATTATAGTTACTTGGGAATGGACGTGCTTCAAAAACTTTAACCTGGTAACTCATCTGGAAAATGTAGGTTAGATCCAGCATCCGAAGCAAGTCTGGTAGTGTTCCATCCCTAGATGCATCATCCATGCAAGTTTGGTCCGGGTAGGGCTTATAGTTACTTGGGAATGGACCTGCTCCTAAAACTTTAACTGGGACGCCGATGCTAACGCTGACACCGACGGTATACCATAAGTTCATCTCGACTTCGTCGAGGTGAGCTAAAAATGGTCTCTATTTGACAACTAACATGGCTGTGCAGTCATCAAGAGTAAAGACTTACATGTAGGTGATCCAATCTGATTAAAATTAGATGTTAGATCTGCTCGTATACTCCCTACACTAACACTATAAACCACAGAAAAGTGTTGAAGTATAGAAATTAAGAAAACAAATCAAAAAAATATCTAGAACTTACTGTATCGATCATTTCGGCAGTGATTTTTCCCATGTTTGACTTTTTGGAGCTGTAGTCCTGACCTAGATATCTCTTACTGAGCCCTGACAACATGGGCAGGAGGCGGTTATCTTCCTCTAACTGGGGTAAAGCTCGCGACGTCAACTACAATATCAACAAATCTTAGAAAATAGTTTGAATTAATTAAGATTAGAAGAATTAAAGTGTTAAAAACGAATGCAGAAAAATCAATATCAAACATTTACAGCACAGTTATAATTGTTGTATAGTTTGCTATATTTCATTTTCAGTCATATTGTAACTCATTTACACACTATAATATCCTTTTTGAAAATGCATATGCATAGAAACACACATATTCAACACTTATAGAATGTAAAAAAAGAAGGAATTATTACTGCTAGTTGTTGGGAAAGATGTGCTCTGTAATGAGTGATTAAGATGGAAATCATATCATCTTTGGGAACATAGGCAAATCCTTTATGAAGAAAGACCTTCCGACCACGAACGAGATCCAACACTTCAGTAAAGGGAACCTGCAGAATGATAAATAATCCACTGAACATCCAGAAGTTTAACAGTTTCTTGTTATATTCTTTACAGCTCAACACACACCAAGACTTACAATATAACTGATGAGAAGAACAAACCTTGAAATATTCCACTGTGTCAGCTGTGCTAGAATTCTTTCCTGCGGAGGCTATCAGATCTTGTAACACTTTGTTTTTCTCCTCTTCTGAGATCTACAACACATAATAAATGTAGCTGATTGTGGATATACATTGAAAATTGTCTTATTCGGATGTTTATATTCTAGGCTAGAAACCAGACTACTGACTTACTGAGTAATAATCAAGACTACTGACCTATTGGATTTGAATCCAGACTACTAACATACTAGGTTTGACTTAAGACAACTGACTTTAATACTGGATTATAATCCAGACTACGGACTCACTGGGTTATAATCAAGACTACTGACTAGCTGGGTTATAATCCAGACTACAGACTTACTGGGTTATAATCCCGACTACAGACTTACTGGGTTATAATCCCGACTACTGATTTACTGGGTTATAATCCAGACTACTGATTTACTGGGTTATAATCCCGACTACTGATTTACTGGGTTATAATCCAGACTACAGACTTATTGGGTTATAATCCAGACTACTGACTTACTGGGTTATAATCCAGACTACTGACTTACTGGGTTATAATCCAGACTACAAACTTACTGAGTTATAATCCAGACTATTGACTTGTAAGGTTATAATTCAAACTACTGACTAACTGTTATAATCCATACTATAGACTTACTGGGTTATAATCTAAACTGTTGTCTTGAAGAAATTTCTGTTTACCCTCTGCAGTTTCTTTTGTGAATCTGTATCGAAACAAATCCAATTCCTGTTGCAGAAACCAACGCTTTAAGTCTTCCCTGTGAATCAGAAAAAATGGATATTCTGTACATGTATCTAAGAGACATCTCCAAACAGTACAAAAATTAGACTACAAAGGATATATGAAAGGATATGTGTTATATTATATGTCATTTCCTTAATAGATTGTGACTTCCCAATTTAGGAACTTAGTCTTTACTGACATCTGATCAGACAAAGATTAGATTCTTATAAAACTGGCAAGTGTAGATACGCTTATTTTCTCCTTCTCAGTGATGCGAATGTTTGTCATAAATTTTTTTTATCAAGGCTTGGAATGTTATATTTTACACTCACGATCTGCAATAAGCAAGTCTCAGTATGAAGTGTGAAATGTGGTCCATTCTGTATTCATTATCATCAACAGAGAAATCTGTCTGTAAGAGAAAAAGTGTTTGTATTTTTACTTTTTGCATACAAGAAATGAACATGTTAGTATGCAATAATATATATCTGTGCACGATACATATATAATTTTAATGTTTTAATTAAAAACTAAACAAATCTGCACTTTTAAACTGTTTAAAAATAATTTTGTCATAAAGATACATCTACTACACAGATCTCATCAGACTTCTCAGTAAATGAGGATGTTCATGTACGCCTGTATTTTACCCTTGTAATTCTGTGTAACTTGGTTTTCTTAATCTCCTTCTCCACCAATGCGTTGTATTCATCTGACCCGCGCATGTATCTAATACCAGCATTTTCAATTGCTTTGAGAACTACAAATGTAAAAAAAATATATATTAAATATTGCAGTTGATTAAATTTTATTATTATATAGTCTATTTATAGTCCCTATATAATCTATACATGTCAAGCACAAACAGTTCATTACACTACATGTTCACTGGAGGGTCATTGCGCCTGCAGCGGCATTGTGAAGTCATAATCAACACTTTGAACAACGTTGTAAACAATGGTTGCAATGGCCACAGTCAACTATGTATCTGAGCAGGAAAAATGGTAAACAAACCTATCAAAGGACTATTCTTAAACATTTTGACGTCTTACACATAGCGAAACTCGGAAAGAAAACATGGAGTTACAAATTCTAATTCGGACATTTTTTTATTTTCGACAATGGATGTTCGTAAATGAAAATGTGTCATCATGCATCAATGTCTTATTTATTCAAATCCGGACTATATATTAAAACAGTTATGGATTCGTTTGGTGTTAAATATGGTTTGTTATTCACAAAAAATAATATCAATATTGACCTCGGCTTCACCTCGGTCAATACTGATATTTTTCTGGTGAATAACAAACCACATTCAACACCAAAAGAGTCCATAATTGTATATATTTTTTTGTATCTCCAAAGCACTCATTTAACACAGGAGAATGATTTTCAAAGGACTAGAAGGTAAATGACATTCATTCACATGTTCACAAAGTATCCCAACAAACTCAAGCTTGAATTTCAAGAGCTGATAAATATTACTGCCTGTTTTCCCTCGATGTTTTGGACAACACTTTATCCTTTAGGGTTAACAGGGTTATAGAGAAGTGGACTGTTGAAGCTTTGCCTACATCCACTTGGTTTTCTTGTGACAGTTGAGTTTATTAATGTTAAAATTGTTAATAAAACATATGTCTGTTAATGTTATGTATAATCAGATATATTTCAGACAAAATGTTAGTTGAAGTGCAAACCGTCACAATATCTACATTTTACACATTTTCCAGAACCAAGACTTGAAGGCCTGTGAATAGAAACGGATGTTGGCAAAGACTGTCCATTTTTTTTTAAAGAGAATACCATCAACCCATTTATCATAATATAAAATCGAGAGATGACTTTTATTCATTTGTATCGGTATTTGAAAATAATTTTTAATTAAAATCTAAATAACTCCCATTGAAACAGGTTCCTGTACCTTCATTATAACAAGATTTATAATAATTTGAGTATTTATACATTCAAAGGTGCCAGGACCAAGTGTGTTGATCATTACAGGTCCAGTACAATCACTAGATTTAGCTACGTAGGTAGAATTACCTACGTAGCTTTATTTACCTACCTCAGGTAACTTTATTTAGCTATTTCAAGGTAAGTTTTCAAAAGTTTTATTTTTATTAAAAAGAGAAAAAAAGTCGCAATTAAATGACTATTTATATTTATACATGGGAGGCTTTAAAAAACAATGCGAAGCAGAGATAGTTTAAACATTGCTGCGTTTGGACAATTTAGAGCAAAACATGTTATTCCATTGTTTGGTTATCTGACCATGCGGTGAGGTGCGGTGAGGCAAGACTGAGTATGATTACTTCACATTGTGCTGAATAATTACCGACCTATTATCGTGTTAACCGGAACTGGACTTCTTTGTCATTTCATTCAAGAAGTAACTGTTCTAACTGTCGTACATAGCCCCAGAACTTTCAGAACTTTGATTGCAAATGCGCAGAAAAAGACATTTTTTCAAGAAGGATTTTTTCATGAGTTGTTTTCAGATGAGTACAAAGTTGAAAATGATCACTGCATCAAAATGATATTGTCTGCACACCCTGAGAAAAATGCTTTTTAATAGAAATAGATCAATTTGGTAGCTAAATAAAGCTACCTCAGGTAGGTAAATAAAGCTATGTAGGTAAATCAAGCTACGCAGCTAAATCTAGTGATTGTACCAGACCTGCATTAGACAAAAATGGGTATATTCTTTGTCTTCACCTTTTAACCTCTCTATCGCAAATTCCTCGAATTCCTGGAGTGAAATTGTCTCTGTTGGTGGTAATTTATAAAACTGAAGGCGATGTTTTCCTCCAGTCTTTAACGATTTGGAAGTTTTCGCCCTCCTTACTCCAAAATCCATGTTGCGTTTTTGGCGCCTTGACTTAATTTCTGAACCCGATCAGTACAGACAAAATTTATTTTTAAGTTTTCTGCATTTTTTTTCTAATTATAAATATTTCATGTATGATGCCAAAAACTTTCATTAATGAAAATCTATGACAACTTCATAGAATTTCAGGCAGGGATTGAATATACATTGAACAACATTTTATGATTAATTTGAATCGAGATCGGCATTGCAGAAAATAATTTCAAGGAAAACCGAAACAACAACAACAACTGACAAGAACAAGTGGAAGTTCAAGTTGTCAGTTCTGAGGCTGGCTTAGCCTTGTTTAAGCTATCTTTATAATTTCAGTACATCAGGATTTTTTCCTAACATCATGTCAATTCCAAGTGCTGCGCTGGCAGCGGGATGGATACCATTCGTTGTCACTTTGGTTGTAAGTAGAAATTGGTCACATGATCCTGACAAATTGTTTATGAAGTAACGAATAACATCAGTAGTCAGCATTACAAGCGAACCATTGGTTGGAATAATCTAATGCTATTTTTTTAATCATCTGTAAGCATACAAATACAAATACAAATATTTTATTGGCACAAACACAATTACAGTAATTGGTAAAGGCCCATAGAAAACATAGTGATAAGCATGAAAATACAGTAGAACACAACTAGAATACAAACAATTGGTGTAGCAAATTATGTATTGTACTCATAAAGCATATTTCAAGGAATTTCATTTGGAGAGGAATATTTGCACATAGTAACATACTAAGGCGTAACAAAAAATTATGTTTGTTTACGGTTACCCAAACGACCCTAATTTTCATCGCCGACCCAAACTTTTTTTTCATCGTAAAAATCCGGAAGTTACTGGCCGGTCAGTTTAACTTTTACATTCATCTTTGAAATCGAAATTGAAAGTACAAAAACAAAACCAGCGAGTTCAATTTTTACACCAACGAGTTCGTTCCAAGTGGTTGTAAGTAGAAATTGATCACATGATCCTAACAAATTGTTTATGAAGTAACGAATAACATAAATTCTTACAAGCAATTTGCTTACCATTGCATGGCAGTTGTAGGGGTGTGCAACTAGCATCGCCTGATGCCCGGAACTACCATTTTTGGGGTAGTAAAAATTAAAATTATGCATATAATACATGAGAAATACAAACGGTATTTTCACTCATTGTTTTGCTATTTAATTTCCAACTAATGAAAATTTTCCAGGCAGCATGCTCCAACTGTTCTTAAATTACTTTAACCGTATCCATTTTGAAGTACTACCTGACTTATTTACTTAAAAAAAACGATCGTTTTTTCCTAATCCGAATTTCCTCCATTCCTCTGTTAATGGTAAATACATGCAGATATCTCTTTCCATTATTTACGGTCCCCCAATCGACTAATACCTAAGTGTTATGTGGTTAAACTTTAATATATTATATCAATTGTATTTAATGGTTTGAAATGAAAATAAAATGATTTTGCTTCATTTTAGATAAGCTACGGAAGTACAATATATGAAAAGATAATAAATTGAAAAGATAATATAATTTCAAAAATTGAAAATTAGTAATCCGCATCAGGACACTTAAAAGGGAAAAACTTTTGGTTGACAAATTTTTAAACTTCAACTTTAAAAGGGATGGCTTAGGACCCTGACTTTCTCAACAATGAACTTTTTACAATATTTGTTTTTACAATTTTTTGCCCCTATATTTGGACTGCTCACTTTTAACTTCGGGCTGGTAACTTTATTGCTGTTACAAGCCTGTGGGCTAGTACTTGATTTTTTTAATTGCACACCCCTGAGTTGTAAGGCAAGAAACCACCCATATTTCAAGCCAAACAAAAGTAAGGCACCATACAATGGTAAAACTGTTTTGTAGATGTAATTCAACCAATTCATGTGAATTTGTGTTTAAAAAAATTCAATAAAATAAAAAAAAATTCCTACCTACCGACCCTATTTTATTTCAGCATGTAACAGTAAACAAAGATATTTTTTTGTTTGGCCTAACAATCATCCTCAAAGTATAATAGCTTTTAAAAGTTGAACTAAATATGGAGACTTCCCCAGTTCAGAACCACAGGGCACAGTTTTTGATGTCACTTTCAATATACTGATAATTTCATTGAAATCATTGAAATTTGCCATCTCATTTCAACTCGTTCAATGTAGATTAAAAAAAAGAGACAACAGATGACACTTGCCATCTGAAAGTTCAAGGGGGTTCCTCAGTTCACACTTGATTTTTATCAGCATCTACATTTTTCTTTGGATGAAATCACTGAACAACTCCTTTCTATCATATGATGATTTGCACTTGCCATATATATACATGGAGTGAACAAAAAATGTCCTTGATACATAGCATATACATACTTAAAATTGAAAGCAAAGGAAGTAGTGATTTCTAACCAATTAAATATTTAAGTGTTCAGTCATTTCTGGCTATTTTACATAAAGAAGTGTCTTCCACATGAGAGTGAGAAATGAATTGAAACTGATTGTTTCATAGTGATATGAATGCAATTGGTGAAAATACAATCATGCAGTCTGATTACAGCATATGTCACTTTTTTGATTAATAAAGCATTTATTGCAACTTTCAGTTGATCCTTCTGTTTTCTGGTGCCTATGTAAAATATTTCATCAGTAAGAGAGATGGTACTATATCCAGTACACTGTCATCCGTGGTGGCACTCAGCGTTACACTACTAACCACAGCTCTGATCCCAGTAGATGTATTCCTGGTCTCTTTCATGAAAAACACAGATGGAACATTCAAAGTAAGGAAAAGTAACTTTGACATATTTATTGTAAATACTTATGAAATGTATTCATTTACGAGTCAGAAATAAATATCTTTTCAATGAGATTTGATTGACAAAAAATAAATAAATATTTTTCAAGTTTTAGATGCCAAATAAAATAAAATTGCGAACTTTCATTGAATTTTCAGTTTATTCTTTTAAATAAACCTAACCTATAACAAATGTTAATTAGTAATCATTACCTTTATGTCTAAAGGACTGGGCTGTGAGCAACACAACAAGACAATCTCTGGAGAACTCTGTATCAGATGCATACTACTGTAAGTATAGTAACTAGTAATAACAAATGCATTGTCTAAAGCATTGTAATATGCTTTTAAAAACAGTTAAAGTAAAAGTTATGGTGAAAATGACTTGAAAAGTTATATTGCCTTTGATTTTTTCCAGCCCTGTATGGACTGATTGTGTTCTGTCTATTCCTTCCTAATTTATTCTCAGTATTGGACATCTTAGCATTATGATTGAGTATAGTTATTTTGCCTTTTATTTTTTTCCAGCACTGTATGGACTGATTGTGTTCTGTCTAAGAGAGAGAGGGATGAAGAGTCAACAGTTAAATCTGTATGTTAACATACATATACAATGTATAGACCTATCTTAAAAATGATCCTCTGAAGTTAAATATCTACATTAATAAACATATGCATGTACATTAATCCTACAAGACAATTAAAAAATGATGATGTATTAGTATACAGTGAAAGCTCATTTCTACAACTTTGTAGAATTGATTGACAAAAATGTCCAAGATATAAAAATTCAATACCATGGTACTTGAGTATAAATACTAAAAACTTTTTTTTACAGTAAGTCATTTTGCTGTTCATGTAATTCCTTGGTTTTCAAAACATCAGTGTTCTTTTATACATATCTGTACAATAAACTGCATTTCCTGGCAATGATATTGTTTGTTATTCTAACAGAGAATGTGTTCAGCCTTAAAGTTTACCCTTGTTTCATTGTTCATCATCGTGGCTCTCTTGTTAGTTGGGTAAGTATATTTTACATGTTTAGTTCTCTTTCATCATAGCAAACAATAACTGCTTCTTGATAAATTTGGGCTCTTTCAGACATATTTACTCTGAAAGTATTATTGAATCATATAAAATATTTTAAACTTTTTACAGAGCCTTTGTGGGTGTAAATCATGACACACCCCCATCAGGCAAAAACAACACAAACCAGTGGAACAGGATTGTGGACCTCTTCAAGGAGTTTAGCAACGAAAACAGTGAGTCTACTGTTTAAATACCCACATAGTAGTGGAGTACATTATTTTGTATTTTATTTTGCGTGATGTGGTATATTTTGTTTACACAGAGTTGGAGGATGCCCTGTCTTTTGTTGTGAGTGTACTCAGTCTTTTTGGGATGCTGGCACTTATCATGTACTCAGTAAGTATAGTGTGTCTGTATCACATCTGTTCTAACAACTTTACATGCCTCTTTAAGGACATTTTCAAAGCTATTGATACTTAATATCAGAAATGTTGAATTCTCCTTTATAATAAAAGATATGTCATGGTATTTGAACTGTTTTAGATTAACAGTGTCACAGAGTTATCTACCCCTGTAAAGTTTATTATTTGACAGACTTGAGACTGGGTTCTTGACTTATTTTTCTATGACAGGCTTATGGGATGTCAGCCATGCCTATGTCTCTAATAAAAGGAACAAAGAGTGCAAAAGAAGAGAGATTAGATGTTCAGAGTCAAAGGTCAAGGATAAGCAACAGGTCAAGTGCCATCAGGGACAAGGTATGTGAGGAGTTCATGTTTACAATTTAAAGGGGATGCATATATGATTGAAAATATTTCTTTTTTATGATACTGCATACAGGGAAATTTTCATTCCCGTTTTTTATACCCCCCGCAAATGAAGTTTGGGGGGGGTATATAGGAATCACCTTGTCCGTCTGTCCATCTGTCTGTCTAGCTGTCTGTCCGTCTGTCTGTCTGTGCAAACGTGTCTGGTCCATATCTTTCTTACTGAGGGACATTAGAATCTGCTACTCCACACATTGATTGCCCATGACCTAAGGGTGTGTCATGACCTTGACCCAAGGTCATTTGGGGAACTTCAAAGTCACTGGAAGAAAAATTTCATAATTGGTGTCCGGTCCATATCTTTCTTATGGATAAACTTGGTAGGTTCTCATTTCACACTAAGATTGCCCATGACTCAAGGGTGTGTCATGACCTTGACCCAAGGTCATTTGGGGAAGTTCAAGGTCACTGGAAGAAAAATTTCATAATTCGTGTCCTGTCCAAATCTTTTTTATGGATAAACTTGATAGGTTCTCATTTCACGCAAAGATTGCCCATGACCCAAGGGTGTGTCATGACCTTGACCCAAGGTCATTTGGGGAAGTTCAAGGTCACTGGCAGAAAAATTTCATAATTCATGTGTGATACCTATCTTTATTATGGAAAAACTTACTTCTGAAAAACCCAGCAGGGGGTATCTTGTCCCGTTTGGACAGTTCTAGTTTTTTTTGCCCTCTTTATGATTAGGCGAATTGAAAATGGGTTGAATTCAAAGAATGACGCATAATTTCTTAAACAGAGCTATTACTGGGTGAATTTGAAATGGTTCAAAATTGTTTGTAAGTGCAAAAGGTGGAAAATAACACGGGGCAAAAATAACCCTATATACTGTAGTCATACTGTAAACATGGGTATTTTTATGGGGTAAAATTTTCCAATTTCCAACCAAAGAATCAAGTGTTCATATGGAGCTTATTTTTGCAGAAGTTAAGGAATTTACAACATTTTTTGCTTAATATGGTACCTTAAATTAACCCTTTCCATGTTGTTTGAAATCTTGAAATAGTACTCACGTCGAGGCCTGTCTTCGCGGAATCGGGACCGGGTGGAGATTTTAGACGAGGAGGAGAGGTTACTAGAGAGGGAGGACAAACACCTCGAGGCCAAAGAGAAGAGTCTTCTGAGGAAATGTCTCCTCATTCTGAGGCCATTCGAGGTGGTGTTTGGGGTGGCCTTTTTCTTGGTGACACTACTGATCTTTGTGTCACTGCTATTGACAAAGTAAGGGCACTCTAGGAATTAGTTTATTTTTCATTATATTCTTGAGGCTTGTTTGTTTTAATTCAGGGTGCAGTTTAATGGAATGGATGCCTAGGAATATTTATACAAGAAGTGCAAAAAATTTATCATATGTACTTGTCTAGTGTAAATTAGTTTTCAACCTTACAATTTTACATTATAACTAGATATTAAAAATTCTTATCCCAATACTTATTTTGATCAAAGACCCAAATTTATTTATTATGTGATTTTTGTAGCATTGACAAGGCCATGCATGGCCTGGGTTACAAGTCTGGCTATGCTCTACCAAAGAGACAGCTCCCTAATCCAGTCGACATCATTCTGGTCTTCTGTCAAAAGGTAAGATTGTTAAAGGATATATTTAAATATTCACTAGCCACAGCTCTGTAACTTGTTCATGTTCAGCCATTCTTATGAACCTTTCAGGTGTTCCCCCTGGATTACATCATGTTCGCTGCTCTGGTTCTGCATCTCGTGTTCTGCTCTATGTCTGGAGTCAGAAACATTGGAATCTGGTTTCTTTGGCTCAGAGTAGGTCATGTATTTACTTTAACTCTGTAAAAAAACAAAGGAATTTATAGCTTAAAAAAAGGCTATATTTTCATATTCTTCACAAGAAAAGAAAGAGCTTGAATGAAAAGAAAGTGAAGTGATAGCTTAAAAGAGGGTTAAATTTTCATATTCTTTACAAGAAAAGCAAGAGCTTTCTCTCACTGTAAACCTCAAAGTTTGATTAATGAAATAAAAAAAAAAAGAAGGTACATAAAATTTCTTTATTTTTTTTTCTTCTTTGTTGACAGATGTACAAGATTCGTCCACGTAGAACCCGTCCACAAGGTATCCTGATGATGTGTATGATCATGATGTTTTTGACTTTGGCCATCAACATTATTATATATGAGTTGACACCTCAGTACTCCTCTTTTGGAAGTCAGAGATATGTGGTATGTACATGTGATTATATTCAAATCCGTAGAAATTCATCAACATCACAGTGTTGGTATATAGTCAATGTAGCAAGTCAAATGATAAAGTAATCATAACTGATCACCACAGCATGTTAGCAGCTGTGTATTGAAGATAGTAATAAAGGTTTGCACCAGGAATGTAGAAGACATAAACAACATCAGAGAATTGTATTACTAAGTGTTTGCAAAGCATAATTTAATTTTTTAAGCATGATTACATTGATTTCTGTTCCATCATCCTATTGACTAGATGTACATGCAGTTGTTTTCTTGTTCTAGGAAATCAAAGGAAATTCCACACGAGAGATTGTGTCCTGCACGACAGATGCCACAGCAAGTACGTCATTTAATGTGTTTACTGCGTAGATACATGTAATAATCTTTTAAACAAGAAGTTAAATGCAGTAACGTATTAAGTGATCACACATGTATCTTAGAGATAGCATATAAGCAGGTTTTTTAGCAAGAATTCAATTTTGTATTTATTAGCGAGGGTGTTGAGATAGCTAAAATTGCACATCTGTACATGTACTGGGGATGTAAGTCTATCTGTCAAGGTATTGTCAATCCATAAAATTGTGTCTTGCTGAAAGTACAATGAAAGTACAATGAATGTACTGTAAACCAACTGTTATTCGTGTGCAAGAAATATTCGCGAGTTCTGCAACCTACTTTTATTCCCAAATATTATATTAATTGCCACGAACCAGTAATTTTGATAAGTATTTGTACAGAATATTTCCTTGGTTACGAAAATTAATTGTCGTGGATTGATTTCAAACAAACGAATGGTGAATAAACGATGACACGAATAATAGTTGGTTTACAGTATATACCAATTTTTAGGGCAAATTTGCTAAATTTGCAGATCACTAAAATTTCAACTTGCATGACACATTTGTACTTTAAAAAATAAAATACAAAAATTAATAAGTATATTTACCTGTAGGTGACTGCACCATTACCCGGATGACGCTGCTGTTGACCAGTTTCTTCTACAGAATGTGGTTCTTTGGGGCCGCCTATTACTGGGGCACCTGGATCTTCCTAGGGGTATGGAAGGTTTCTCTCCTTGCTTTCGGAGCAATAAAAGCCCATTAAAATCAAAGTTCCCATCTATCAGTCTTGCATAAGTCATGTTATTATACCTTTCTAGAATTTTGAATGAACATACAGTTAATATACATATCTGATTTTTTAAAAATTGTACTTTGCAATAACTGTACTGATTTATTACAATCCTTTTTAAATACATTATATTTTTAGTTTATCCTGATTGGGTTTGTTATCTCCATCATTAAGAAGAGGAAGTCATCTATTGAGGGTGAAGTAGAGAGAGACGATTTTGATGACAGTGATGATGATCTGTTAACCGGGTAAATCCATAAATCTGCGGTTTGGTATGAAAAGGTCCTATTTTGGGGAAATGACATTCCTAGAAGAGATGGAGCATACTATTGTATTTCAAGTCTATTCAGTGACTACTGTTATGCATGAATAATAGTGAATGTGTATTATATAGGTATGTGTGATAAAATGTTTCTCAGAGAGAGAGGTGGAAAAGAGAGAGAGAGAGAGAGGAATACTAAAGTCTTGCATAATTTGTTCAATGTTTAAAATCTTATTTATTAGTCCTGTTCTATTGAAATTGAGGTGATGCAATGCTTTATCTCATCATGTGTTCATTTTGTCCAATATTTTTTTTTATCAATCAAACTTTCAGATAATTAAGTAGAATTCCTAAATATTGAATTTTCAATTTATATTGGTTGGCATTTTTAACTCACTTTGACATTTCCATGGTACTTGTGTACTGTAGCTATTGATGTTTTAGAAATCCAAGTTAATTTGCAGAATCAGACTCTTTATATATACACTATACACTGTGTTAAAAAAAGTGTTCGAGTGGGGATGGGCATCCCTAGCCTATGTGTCGCTGTAAATTGCATATTATGAATGATCTGTGTTATAGAAGTTAAATTATCTTTGAAAAGCTTGTTAAAATTTTGTATGCAAGGTCATATATTTCTGTGATACATGTATATTTATTTGCTGTTAAATGTTTTTTTTTTTTTTTGTATGTTGGTAACATTTTGGTATTTAAATGTAGCAAACACTTTCAAGAACATAAACTGAGAAATTGTGTTATTTTTTCTCATCATTTAGTTACCAAGTCAATTTACTAATAATTTACAAAATGGCATTCTGTATGATATCTAAATAAAAGGCAGTATCCTTACAATTATATCATTACAATATTAGTTAGGGGGTGTCCATACTGTAGCTTGAACCTACGACTCCAGTGCTCTACCGACTGAGCTATTGCTGGCAGTAGTAGGACTCACTATATACAACCCATAGCCTTTTAAAATCTGTTACACTATATGTATAACAAGCAAATTCAAAGAATTGTGGTCCCCCGCTTTCGGTGTCTTTGTGGATGAGATGTCATTTTTTATGACGCATTGTGTCTAATATGAACACCCTATCATATGTCAATTATTTAGAAATTATCACTGAAGTTGATTTTTTTCCTAAAAATAAGGTCAATTGTGAAGGTCAAGGTCAAGGGGTAAGAATTCATAGCATGCTCAGAAATATCTTGTCACAGGTAATGCACATGTCAAATATGAAAGTCCTATCTCTTCTGAATATAAGGAACAAGATGTGTTTGTGAAACACAGATGACCTTGTATGGCAACATAACAAAGATTTAACATTTCCTAATTCAAATGAAATATATTTGATATTACCAAAAGTAGGGTTTTCAGACAAGAAATACGATTGTGAAATACAAAATCCCACCCCCTGTTCAAAAGAAAGTTATGGCCAAGGATACATTTTTGAAAGGTAGGTCAAACTCCAAGGTGAAAGGATCTGAGTTGTTGATTTCTTTAAAAAGGTCACAAGTAATACATATGTGAAGGATGAAAACCCTAACCTTAAACATTCAATAGTTATGGCCAAGGTAAAAGTTTTGGAAAAGTAAGTCAATCTCCAAGGTCAAAGGGTCAAAGTTCTTGGTATCCAATGAAAGGTCTTCTCATAAGGATTACATATGTGAAGTACGAAAGCCTTAGCCCTTACGGTTCAAATGTTATGGTCAAGGTTAAACTTTTTTTTTCAAAAGTACGGAAATCTCCAAGGTCAAAGTCAAAATGTCAGAATGGTTGGTATCCAATGAAAGGCCTTGCCACAAAAAATACATATATGAAATATGTAAGTCCTAGTTTCTACCATTCAAAAGATATGGTCAAGGTTAAAGTTTTTTCATAAGTATGGAAATCTCCAAGGTCAAAAGGTCAAAGTTGTTGGTATCCAATGAAAGGTCTTGCGACAAAAAATACATATGTGCAAAAATATGAAGTCCTACATGTAGTATCTACCGTTCAAAAGTTGTGGCCATGGTCAAAGTTTTTGAAAATTAGGTCAATCTCCATGATCAAGGTCAAAGGGTCAAAGTTCTTGGTATCCAATATAAAGGTCTTTTCACAAGGATTACATATGTGAAGTATGATAGCCCTAGCCCTTTCCGTTCAAAAGTTATGGTCAAGGTAAAAGTTTTTTCATAGGTCTCTAAGGTCAAGGTTAAAAGGTCAAAATTATTGGTATCCAATGAAAGGCCTTGACACAAAAAATGCATATGTGAAATATGAAATTCCTAGTTTCTACTATTCAAAAGACATGGCCAAAGTAAAAGTTTGAATTTTTTGTGTAAAAGTGGGTCAAACTCCAAAGACTAGGTCAAATATGGGGGTACCCAAAGAAAGGTCTTCTCACAAGGGACACAAAAGTGAAATATGAAAGTCATAGCTCCACTAAATCAAAAAAAATGGGCAAGGTTAAAGTTTTTGCGACGGACAGACAGACGAATGAGATTTAATGTCCCCTCGCTTTCGCTAAAGCGGGGGACAATAAAGAAGGCAATAAATTGTTATTTTATTCATTATGGTTTTATTTTGATCGGGATTGGTCCAAAATGAATTTTTTTTTCAATTTGCCATTTCATTTCAATTTCTTGCCAAAAAGACTGAGACTAGTCAAAATTCACATATACTTTGATCATTCGTAAACTTTAAGTGAATCATTGTGCATATGTACAGATATTTCTCCATCAGATAATAAAGGCTTGTCATAATTTTTAATTCTTATACCACCAACCTTTCACTTGCTATTTGACTTCGAATTAAAGTCATGACACTCCTTAGGTTCATAAACAGTACCTGTATCAGGTTCCAATGAGCAATCTTTGTATCAAGTACGAGCTCCTAGTATTTCTACATTGTTAAGTTAAAGTCTTAAAAAATAATTTTACACTATTCTGCCTGTAACTTTGAACTTGCTGCATTGACACTGGATTAAAATAAGAACTTTCCTTATTTCAAAAACAATACCTGTACCAATTCTTTTCCAAATTAAGTTTTAGCCCAGACATTTTTTTTCTTTTTTCTACCAGTGACCTTGAAATCGCCAAAATGACCTTAGATAAAGGTCAAGGCATATTCTTTGATCATAAGCAATATCTGTACCGAGTATGAGCTTCCACTGACTCTCCATTACAAAGTCAAGTTATGTCATACCTTTTTTCTACTAGTAACCTTGAACTAAATGGAATGACTGGATAAGATCATGACACATTTTTGGGTCATAAGCAATCCCTGTACCAGGTTTGAGCTTCCAGTGATTCTTTCTACAAAGTTATGACCCAGACAAAAATTTCATACTTTTAGGCCAGTGACCTTGAACTTGCACAAATGACCTTGTGTCAGATCAGGACTCACTGTCGGGTCATTACAAGCAAGCTCTATAACAAGTATCAGCTTCCAATGTTTCCATATATCAAAGTTAGAGCCCAGACAAAATTACATTCACAGACAATGTGATTCCTATGTATCCCTAAAACTTCCTTTGTTTGGGGTAAAAAGAGAAGTTTCATTACAAGGAATACACATTTGAAATATGAAAGCCCTAGCACTAATCATTCACATCATTTTTTTTTTACCAAAGTAGGTCAAAGTCTAACTTAAAGGTAAAAAAAAGTTCAAAAGGAATGGCCATGGATCGTAAAAATTAGTAAATTTGGAGACACATATGCCCCCAAATCTTCAATTATAGAGGTGGAATAAAAACTCAACAAGTTTAATTCCATGACAAACAGACTGTATAATAGTGTATTTTAATATATATGATAAATTCAAACTGACATAAATTAATCATGTATCACAAGGGACAAACACAGTTTTTACAATTACATGTACATCAGTTATGCTTTTCAAGAAAAATTGAAAAAATATGAAACATCTAGAAAATCTTCATATACTACTTGTGTATGAAGTAGAACATGCTTATAGAACTTGACAAGGAAAAATATTTCATAAAAAACTTAAATTACTTAGAACCTCAGTAACAACTAAAAGAAGGAAAAAGTGTTGCATACAAAGATAAAACTAAATTAGATAAGCAAGAAGCCCATGGGCCACATCACTCACCTGAGTAACTTTGGCCATTATGTTATTAAACAGATTTCCCCCTAATACCTATCTTGACCTTTCCCAATCCCCAGGGGTCATGATCCAAGCAATTTAGAATCTACACTAGTAACACTACCCCAGGATGCTTCCACAGAAGTTTTAGCTTTTCTGGCCCAGTGGTTCTTGAGAAGATTTTTTTATGACCCCACCCTATTTTTGTATATTCTTGACAATTTCCCCTCGGAAGGGGACTTTATTTTTATAATTTAAACTCCCACTACCCAAGGATGTTTTGTACTAAGTTTGGTCAAAATTGGCCCAATGGTTCTCAAGAATAAGCTGAAAATGTGAAAAGTTTACAGATGAATGGACAGTCAGACGGATGGACGACGGACAACAGGTGATCAGAAAATCTCATATGAGCTAAAAACTGCAAGGCCTGCTATGTAAATCAAAGGAGAGAAAATATAAAAGAATTTAGATTTTGCATATTGTTATATTTATTTATAATCTAAAACACTAAAAAATAATAATGTTACAATGAGATCACTTTATCTTTTCTAGCAATTTTCAAACTAAAATTAGATATCATTGAGATGGTGGCCATCTCAAAGGGTCCCACTTTCAGCAATGAACATAAAAATGTAAAGTAGCTGAAAGGGGTTTTAACCTTGACTCTTGGCCTAGAAACTTTGTTCAAGGTCACTACACATCCATTGACCAGTGGCACTCTGTGAGAGAAGTATTAGCCACATTGGACCAAGGGGAGAAAGCATATGCTCTGGACAAGGATTCACAATAAAAAAAATTACCTCCCTTTCTCTTAAGCTTAGATATTCAGACAAGCACTGATTTACCTCTCTTGATATTTTTGCTTAAAAATCCAATCTTTAACTTTTTTAAATTAAAAAATATAATATACAAATACCAAAAAAAAAAATTCAGAAAAAATAACGTAGTATATGAAAAGTTGTACAATAATGTAGTAACACAACTTTGAGTGATCTGCTGTGGATGTCATATATGAGTTATCCTTGATGAGTTACATGTATGTACTCAGCATGGTACACTGAATCCTGAGAATTAAGCTGTTTACTGTGTCCATCACTTTGTAGATATTAGTACATACTCAACTCTGTCCATTGGATTCTGTGAGTTAAGCTATTTAGTGTGTCCATCACTTTGTAGATAACAATGTACTCAGCACAGTCCATTGAATTCTGTCAGTTAAGCTATTTAGTGTGTCCATCACTTTGTAGATATATAACAATGTTCTCAGCACGGTCCATTGAATTCTGTCAGTTAAGCTATTTAGTGTGCCCATCACTTTGTAGATATATAATAATGTACTCAGCACTATCCATTGAATTCTTTGAGTTGAGTTATTTAGTGTGTCCATCACTTGCAGTCCAAACCTTAAATTACTCTCTGCACTATTGTTGAAGCATATTTGTCTGCTATCAAAGAAACATGAAATTGATGGCAGTCTGCCTGTAAAAAAAGAAATCACAAGGACTCAACATAAATATTAATAAAATCTTAATAAATGAAAAATAGCTAACATATTTTTACAGAATAGAAGGATTTTGCAGAGCTTGTACATGTGTCTTACCTTTATTTTCAGGTCCCATAGTTGATCTCTTTGGAGTCTTGAGGAATCATGTTGATCTGCTTTTGGAAACAGGATCAATGCCAGCATAACCGTCTGCCTATTAACAAAAAGACACTAAGAATCCAAGCAATGAGAGAGTCAAAATCTCCTCTAATTCACATAATGCAAGGTCTAGAGCTTTACATGCATCTGATCTGACTAACCATCAATGTTTAGGTTAGACAGTAGTAAGTCCTTACTTTCCACATTCTTGTTAACTGATTGAGATCAGTCTCATCTTCTACTTGTTAACAAAGGAAATCCAAAGATAATGAAAACAAGAGGCCCATGGGCCACATCGCTCACCTAAGCACTGTGGCTAGGAAAAAGCAGAATTGGTTTATACTTGAAAAGCTTAAATCCAAAAGTAGTCCCAAGACCAATCATGGCTTTGCTATTCTTGAGAAGAAGATTTTTAAAGAATTTTCCTATATATTTCTATGTGAAAATTTGGTCGGCCATTTTGGCCTCGCCCTACCCGTAATTTGAAACAACACATCCTGAGGATGCTGGGGGTCATGATTTGAACAAATTTGAATCTACACTACCTGAGGATGCTTTCCATATAAATATGAGCAATTATGGCTATGTTTTTCTTGAGAAGAAGATTTTTAGAGAATTTTCCTATGCATTTCTATGTAAAAATTTGCTCGGCCATTTTGGCCCCACCCTACCCCTGGGGGTCATGATTTGAACAAACTTGAATCTACACTACCTGAGGATGCTTCCATATAAATATGATCAATTATGGCTTTGCTATTCTTGAGAAGAAGATTTTTAAAGAATTTTCCTATACATTTCTATGTAAAACTTTGGCCCCGCCTACCCCTGGGGGTCATGATTTGAACAGACTTGAATCTACACTACCTGAGGATGCTTCCATATAAATATGATCAATTATGGCTTTGCTATTCTTGAGAAGAAGATTTTTAAAGAATTTTCCTATATATTTCTATGTAAAACTTTGGTCGGCCATTTTGGCCCTGCCCTACCCCTGGGGGTCATGATTTGAACAAACTTGAATCTACACTACCTGATGATGCTTCCATATAAATATGATCAATTATGGCTTTGTTGTTCTTGAGGAGAAGATTTAATTTCCTATATATTTCTATGTAAAACTTTGGTCGGCCATTTTGGCCCCGCCCTACCCCCGGGGGTCATGATTTGAACAAACTTGAATCTACACTACCTGAGGATGTTTCCACATAAGTTTCATCTTTCCTGGCACAGTGGTTCTTGAGAAGAAGATTTTTAAAACATGCCACCAAATGTTCATTAATTCCCAATTATCTCCCCTTGAATGAGGGTGTGGCCCTTCATTTGAACAAACTTGAATCCCCTTTACCCAAGGATACTTTGTGGCAAGTTTGGTTGAAATTAGACCAGCGGTTCTTGAGAAGAAGTCAAAAATGTGAAAAGTTTACAGACAGACAGACAGACAGATGGACAGACAGACGGACAGACAGACGCCGGACAAAATGTGATCAGATAAAAAACATGAACAAAAATACTTTGTGCCAAAATGTTCACCTGAGTCACCTTGACTTTGTCATCAAAAGAGAAATTCTTAATTCATATTTTTTTTACTAATCCTAGTCCAAAGGGATCATGATGTAACGTAATTTGAAACAACACATCCTCGGGATGCCCTATTGTTATTGCAACACAGTCTTGCTGTTGTGCAGCAGAAGTAAATCCCCCTGGACCTATGATTTGATAAGTGTATAAAGAAAATTTGTAAATTGCAAAAAATAAATCTTTTTACCCACTCCTTAATCAGATATTGGCTGCTGTACAAAGCTTGGCAATAGACTCTTCTTTTTCTTCACTTGGTCAGCACTGGTCCTCTTCCCTTGTCAAATTCCTTGAAAATACTTGATGGAGAGAAGATAAGCAATAATACAAAGCAATGTAATAATCACAGAAATTCAAATGAACATAATCATTACAACATTATTAGCTTGAAAATCAAAAAGCAAATAAAGACAATAAGGTTATGATAGCTAGGAATAAGGTGGAATATTGGGGCAAGGAGAGGAAAGCATAGTTACTTTAGAGTAGGGAGGACAAAGATATGTCAGAAATAATTAAATAAAAAATACTTGTAAGACTCCTGCCTGTTAAAGTGGGTCATGATGAAGTTCCATAGGTAAAAAAGAAGTAAAGTCTGATTCTTACGAGTATTCTCCTCATGGCTGCAGCGGAATGGGAAAGGGACTCTTCCTCACTTAGAATTCCTGGTCAGTCTTAACTTTCTTCTGCTTAAAAAGATAAAACAGAGACATAAAAGGGGAAACACTTGCACTTCATACCAAGTGAGAAGCTTCAGTAAAAAGCAGCTTGTTGCTTACCACTTTTGAAACATAATACCTGCAAAACACAGACAGGAATAGACTCTTCTTATATTAATGACCTTGGTCCTCCATTGTTGTTCCTCTTCTGAATCAAAGGGGAACTGAAATCTGTCAATTGAAGGTCCAGATGTTAAAGCTTGGTACAGCCAACATCAATAGGCAAGCAAAGATACAAGAAGTAAAATCTGAATCTTACCCTGCTTTCTGCTGCTGTATGCAGTTCAATGAGAGAGGGAGTCCTCCTCACTTCAGGATCCTGTTCAGCCTTAAAAGTATTCCTCTTAAAAAGATAAAAATTAACAGACACCAAAAGGGGATCACTTGCACTTCATACCAAGTGAGAAGATTTCTAAAATAAACTAGTGGCCAATGGGCAATATGCTCACCTAAGCATATTGGCTAGTAAATGACAAATTAGTCCAGTATTGAAAAGTATAAAATTTAGGAAGAGGAGAAGGGGGCTTGAATAACTACCTGGAGACATTTTCATATCAATAACAATGGCTTAGCTGTTCTTGAACATAAAATTTTTTCCTATATATTCCTTTGTTAAAATTTTATCCCCATTGATGCCCCTCCCTGCCCCCTGGAATCAAGATTTGGACAAATTTGAATCTACACTACCTAAGGATGCTTCCATATCAATATGACTATATATGGCTTTGGTATTATTGAGAAGACGTTTCCTATATACTGTAAATCACTTAATTTTCGCAACACCTTATTTTCGCGAGATAGTCAATGACTCTTCATTAGCGAGACAAAATTTTCAAAATTGTGGTCATTGCTCTATATAATCTTAAGGAATTATATTATATGCGAGAATGAAATTTTCGCGACCATACCGTCTCGCGTAATAATGTGAAAATAAAGTTCTCGCGAATAAAAAGTGATTTACAGTATTCCCCTGTCCATTTTGATCCACCATTGGGGCCCTGCCCTACACCTGGGAGTCATGATTTGAACAAACTTAAATCTACACTACATGAAGATGCTACCGTATACATATCACCAGTCATGACATATTTGTTTCTGAGAAGATTTCTAAAAATATTTCCAATATAATCCAATGTAAAACTTTGATTGTCCAATGTGGCCCAAACCTTTTCCCGGTAGACATGATTTGAACAAAATGAAATCTTCACTACCAAAAAGGATGATTTGCTATCAATATAACTAATTGTGGCTTGAGAAAAAAAAAGTATATCCCTACATACTGTAGATTCCTAAATATGTGCGTGGAATTAATTTTCGCGTAATTTCGTGAGAAGCACCACACACAAAATTAAATTACTCGCCTTTATTTTTATGGCGCTGAAATCTATGTAAAATCTCTTAACCAACCATGCATTTGCGAATTATTATTCTTGTGATTTGACGGTGAAAAGCCTATTCGCGATAATTACTCGCGAAAAATAAGGAATCTACAGTATTATATATATTTTTGATCCCCTATTCTGACACCAACATGGGGTCTTGATTTGACTAATTTTGAATCTACACTACCTGAGGATGATGCCACATAAGTGTCTCTTTCCTGTCTCAGTGGTTCTTGAAAAGAAGATTTTTAAAAGATGTCCTTAATTTTTCTCTTATTTGTAGTAATCTTCCATTTGAAGAGGGAGTGGGCCTTCATTTGAATAAACTTAAATCCCATAATGGCATTTATCCAAGGATACTCTTTGCCAAGTTTCGTTGAATTTGACCAAAGATGAAAATGTGAAATTTTACAAACAAGAGGCCCATGGGCCACATCACTCACCTGAGAAGCTTTGACCATTCTGTTCTTTACCAGATTTCCCCCTTGTAACACATATTGTGACCCCACCCTACCCCACTGATCAAAATTTAGACAATTTGAAATCTACACTACCCCAGGATGCTTCCACATAAGTTTCAGCTTTTCTGGCCCAGTGGTTCTTAAGAAGAAGATTTTCAAAGATTTTTCCTATATATTTCTATGTAAAAATTTGATTCCCCATTGTGGCCCCGCCCTACCCCCGGTGGTCATGATTTGAACAATTTAGAATCTACACTACCCCAGGATGCTTCCACACAAGTTTCAGCTTTTCTGGCCCAGTGGTTCTTGAGCAGCAGATTTTCAAAGATTTTTCCTATATATTTCTACATAAAAATTTGATTCCCCATTGTGGCCCCGCCCAACCGCCGGGGGTTTCACACTACCCAAGGATGCTTCCACATAAGTTTCAGCTTTTCTGGCACAGTGGTTCTTGAGAAGATTTTTTAATGAGCCCACCTTATTTTTATCTTTTCTTGATTATCTCACCTTGTGAGGGGACTTGGCCCTTCATTTTAACAATTTAAATTCCCCTTCACTCAAGAATGCTTGGTACCAAGTTTGGTCAAAATTGGCCCAGTGGTTCTTGAGAAGAAGTCGAAAATGTGAAAAGTTTACAGATGGACGGACGGACAGACGACGGACAAAATGTGATCAGAAAAGCTCACTTTAGCCTTTGGCTCAGGTGAGCTAAAAAGATGACAAAGACATAAAATGAACAAAGGTTCACTTCTTTTAAAAACCAGCACTTATATCAATTGATTCTACTACTAAATTGGGTTTGTGATCAGGAGAGATCCTATATGAGATGTTTACCAATGCTTTTGAGACTCATCTTCCCGTGCGTCCTTGCGAACTTAGCCTGGGACAAAATGATACCCAGTATCCGTCTGCTTCCACGTGGAGGCATCGCATAGGACTTGTTGTGGAGAGGCTATGTACTGGCAGGGGAAGTCATTAGAATTTCTTCCCCCTTTTCGCATTGCTGCTAGCCAGCGGTGATGGCTGAAAGCGAGAGGTGACAAGCACACAGACACTAACACCAACACACTAGACGCGTCACACAACATTTAGCAGACGTTAGTAGTTTTAGTAGCTTGTTACTTGTTCAGGGTTCTCCATTGTTTGAAATTTTACTGTGTTGCAGAGTTTACGCAAAGCACTAAAATTTCACGGTATTTTAGCGATCAAATTTGCAACTGACTCACTATTCATTATAATTACTTAAGATTACATGCACACAATTTAAAAAAAAAAAAAAATCACCAATTCGTTACAAAAATAGTATGGTCGAACATATTAGCACATGTTGTGAAATGCAGAGGAAATTCTTGTCTATAAAGTTGAACTACTTACAATTTTTTAAAGCAAATTTGTCATAATTTTTTTGTCAATTTTATTGATCGAATTAAGGAATTACAAAAAAAGAGACTTCGGAATAGTAAAATACTTTTAAAAGTTCCTTGAAAATTGAAAACTATTTATTTACATCAAGTAAATGATTTTGGTACAGTGTTATGTTTGATTTACATTGCAAACATAATTCTAGAGCCATGGCTCTAAAGAAAAGACATTTAAATATATTTTTAAAAATAATACAATGTACTTTAATTGCAACTACTAGTACCAATTAAGCGTTACATGGAAGTTTGAAATCCAATTTTTTGTCTTTGTTCCTTCATGCGTCAAGTCCATTGAGGGTCTAGGAAATAATTGATTATGCAAGGTGAAAGCATAATTAAGTGATCTAGATATCGTATAGAATTGAAAGACGGTAGAATTGTTTGATCAATTATGTTTCAGATAGAGAGAATTTGTATGTTTCAATTTTTTTTTATTATCACAGATCTTACTGTGTCAGCAAAATTTTTAATGTGTCGCACAGATAAAATTTGAATCTTTACTGTGTCGGAGAACATTTTTCTGTGTCGGGACCAACACAGTAAAACAGCTCATGGAGAACCCTGCTTGTTAGGGTGTTAATCATGCAAACCTATCCACCACAAGCACTAATCATGCACTAACTAACAAATACCTTAATTACAATAATAACCTACACTCCTCTAAGCTGTCTAACTATCAACTAAAGCCTACTTACTAACTCAAACTACAACACAACTGCACCTACCGGAAATACTATACAAACTAAACCTAAGACTAAGAAACACCTTTGTAACGCTACTTACAACTACTATACACCCCATACTTTCTGAATGCAGCAGAAAACACTCCAGACTGACCTTCAGAGGTGGCTATCTCTGCTTCCTGTCAATTCAAACTCAAGAGGTCAAAGCCTGAAAAAGCCAACATCAATTGGAAAGCCATAATATTGGGAAAAGGTGCTCAGAGGTCAAGTATGAATCTTACCGCACTTTCTGCTCATGAACGCTGTTAAATGGGAGAGGGACTGCTCTTCACTTCAGGATCCTGGTCAGCCTCAAATTTCTTCTGCTTAAAAACAGAAAACAAACACATCAAAGGAGAATCACTCACATTCCCTAACAAATGACAAACTTCATTTAAATAATCAATTTGTTACTTACAACCTTGAGCCATATTGGTTGCTGCATAGAGATGGGAAATGGACTCATCATCCTGTCTTTTGCTGTTGGTCGACCTTGCTCCTCCATCGTTGTTCCTCTTCCCAGTCCCTGAAAGTATAAAACTGGCACAATGTTAGTAAAACTTCAAAAGAATGCAACAAATCACGAAAAGTTACTTACCACTTTGGGCCATGTTGGCTGCTGTATAGAGATGGGAAATGGACTCGTCATCTCGTCTTCCTCTGTTGGTCGACCCTGCTCCTCCATCGTTGTTCCTCTTCCCAGTCCCTGAAAGTATAAAACTGGCACAATGTTAGTAAAACTTCAAAAGAATGCAACAAATCACGAAAAGTTACTTACCACTTTGGGCCATGTTGGCTGCTGTATAGAGATGGGAAATGGACTCGTCATCTCGTCTTCCTCTGTTGGTCGACCTTGCTCCTCCATCGTTGTTCCTCTTCCCAGTCCCTGAAAGTATAAAACTGGCACAATGTTAGTAAAACTTCAAAAGAATGCAACAAATCACGAAAAGTTACTTACCACTTTGGGCCATGTTGGCTGCTGTATAGAGATGGGAAATGGACTCGTCATCTCGTCTTCCTCTGTTGGTCGACCTTGCTCCTCCATCGTTGTTCCTCTTCCGAGTCCCTGAAAGTATAAAACTGGCACAATGTTAGTAAAACTTCAAAAGAATGCAACAAATCACGAAAAGTTACTTACCACTTTGGGCCATGTTGGCTGCTGTATAGAGATGGGAAATGGACTCGTCATCTCGTCTTCCTCTGTTGGTCGACCCTGCTCCTCCATCGTTGTTCCTCTTCCGAGTCCCTGAAAGTATAAAACTGGCACAATGTTAGTAAAACTTCAAAAGAATGCAACAAATCACGAAAAGTTACTTACCACTTTGGGCCATGTTGGCTGCTGTATAGAGATGGGAAATGGACTCGTCATCTCGTCTTCCTCTGTTGGTCGACCTTGCTCCTCCATCGTTGTTCCTCTTCCGAGTCCCTGAAAGTATAAAACTGGCACAATGTTAGTAAAACTTCAAAAGAATGCAACAAATCACGAAAAGTTACTTACCACTTTGGGCCATGTTGGCTGCTGTATAGAGATGGGAAATGGACTCGTCATCTCGTCTTCCTCTGTTGGTCGACCCTGCTCCTCCATCGTTGTTCCTCTTCCCAGTCCCTGAAAGTATAAAACTGGCACAATGTTAGTAAAACTTCAAAAGAATGCAACAAATCACGAAAAGTTACTTACCACTTTGGGCCATGTTGGCTGCTGTATAGAGATGGGAAATGGACTCGTCATCTCGTCTTCCTCTGTTGGTCGACCCTGCTCCTCCATCGTTGTTCCTCTTCCCAGTCCCTGAAAGTATAAAACTGGCACAATGTTAGTAAAACTTCAAAAGAATGCAACAAATCACGAAAAGTTACTTACCACTTTGGGCCATGTTGGCTGCTGTATAGAGATGGGAAATGGACTCGTCATCTCGTCTTCCTCTGTTGGTCGACCCTGCTCCTCCATCGTTGTTCCTCTTCCCAGTCCCTGAAAGTATAAAACTGGCACAATGTTAGTAAAACTTCAAAAGAATGCAACAAATCACGAAAAGTTACTTACCACTTTGGGCCATGTTGGCTGCTGTATAGAGATGGGAAATGGACTCGTCATCTCGTCTTCCTCTGTTGGTCGACCCTGCTCCTCCATCGTTGTTCCTCTTCCCAGTCCCTGAAAGTATAAAACTGGCACAATGTTAGTAAAACTTCAAAAGAATGCAACAAATCACGAAAAGTTACTTACCACTTTGGGCCATGTTGGCTGCTGTATAGAGATGGGAAATGGACTCGTCATCTCGTCTTCCTCTGTTGGTCGACCCTGCTCCTCCATCGTTGTTCCTCTTCCGAGTCCCTGAAAGTATAAAACTGGCACAATGTTAGTAAAACTTCAAAAGAATGCAACAAATCACGAAAAGTTACTTACCACTTTGGGCCATGTTGGCTGCTGTATAGAGATGGGAAATGGACTCGTCATCTCGTCTTCCTCTGTTGGTCGACCCTGCTCCTCCATCGTTGTTCCTCTTCCGAGTCCCTGAAAGTATAAAACTGGCACAATGTTAGTAAAACTTCAAAAGAATGCAACAAATCACGAAAAGTTACTTACCACTTTGGGCCATGTTGGCTGCTGTATAGAGATGGGAAATGGACTCGTCATCTCGTCTTCCTCTGTTGGTCGACCTTGCTCCTCCATCGTTGTTCCTCTTCCGAGTCCCTGAAAGTATAAAACTGGCACAATGTTAGTAAAACTTCAAAAGAATGCAACAAATCACGAAAAGTTACTTACCACTTTGGGCCATGTTGGCTGCTGTATAGAGATGGGAAATGGACTCGTCATCTCGTCTTCCTCTGTTGGTCGACCCTGCTCCTCCATCGTTGTTCCTCTTCCCAGTCCCTGAAAGTATAAAACTGGCACAATGTTAGTAAAACTTCAAAAGAATGCAACAAATCACGAAAAGTTACTTACCACTTTGGGCCATGTTGGCTGCTGTATAGAGATGGGAAATGGACTCGTCATCTCGTCTTCCTCTGTTGGTCGACCTTGCTCCTCCATCGTTGTTCCTCTTCCCAGTCCCTGAAAGTATAAAACTGGCACAATGTTAGTAAAACTTCAAAAGAATGCAACAAATCACGAAAAGTTACTTACCACTTTGGGCCATGTTGGCTGCTGTATAGAGATGGGAAATGGACTCGTCATCTCGTCTTCCTCTGTTGGTCGACCCTGCTCCTCCATCGTTGTTCCTCTTCCCAGTCCCTGAAAGTATAAAACTGGCACAATGTTAGTAAAACTTCAAAAGAATGCAACAAATCACGAAAAGTTACTTACCACTTTGGGCCATGTTGGCTGCTGTATAGAGATGGAAAATGGACTCGTCATCTCATCTCCTTTTGTTGGTCGACCCTGCTCCTCCATCGTTGTTCCTCTTCCCAGTCCCCTGAAAGTATAAAACTGGACTCGTCATCTCGTCTTCCTCTGTTGGTCGACCCTGCTCCTCCATCGTTGTTCCTCTTCCGAGTCCCTGAAAGTATAAAACTGGCACAATGTTAGTAAAACTTCAAAAGAATGCAACAAATCACGAAAAGTTACTTACCACTTTGGGCCATGTTGGCTGCTGTATAGAGATGGGAAATGGACTCGTCATCTCGTCTTCCTCTGTTGGTCGACCCTGCTCCTCCATCGTTGTTCCTCTTCCGAGTCCCTGAAAGTATAAAACTGGCACAATGTTAGTAAAACTTCAAAAGAATGCAACAAATCACGAAAAGTTACTTACCACTTTGGGCCATGTTGGCTGCTGTATAGAGATGGGAAATGGACTCGTCATCTCGTCTTCCTCTGTTGGTCGACCCTGCTCCTCCATCGTTGTTCCTCTTCCCAGTCCCTGAAAGTATAAAACTGGCACAATGTTAGTAAAACTTCAAAAGAATGCAACAAATCACGAAAAGTTACTTACCACTTTGGGCCATGTTGGCTGCTGTATAGAGATGGGAAATGGACTCGTCATCTCGTCTTCCTCTGTTGGTCGACCTTGCTCCTCCATCGTTGTTCCTCTTCCCAGTCCCTGAAAGTATAAAACTGGCACAATGTTAGTAAAACTTCAAAAGAATGCAACAAATCACGAAAAGTTACTTACCACTTTGGGCCATGTTGGCTGCTGTATAGAGATGGGAAATGGACTCGTCATCTCGTCTTCCTCTGTTGGTCGACCTTGCTCCTCCATCGTTGTTCCTCTTCCGAGTCCCTGAAAGTATAAAACTGGCACAATGTTAGTAAAACTTCAAAAGAATGCAACAAATCACGAAAAGTTACTTACCACTTTGGGCCATGTTGGCTGCTGTATAGAGATGGGAAATAATGGACTCGTCATCTCGTCTTTCTCTGTTGGTCGACCCTGCTCCTCCATCTTTGTTCCTCTTCCCAGTCCCTGAAAGTATAAAACTGGCACAATGTTAGTAAAACTTCAAAAGAATGCAACAAATCACGAAAAGTTACTTACCACTTTGGGCCATGTTGGCTGCTGTATAGAGATGGGAAATGGACTCGTCATCTCGTCTTCTTCTGTTGGTCGACCTTGCTCCTCCATCGTTGTTCCTCTTCCGAGTCCCTGAAAGTATAAACTGGCACAATATTAGTAAGACTTCAAAACAATGCAACAAATCACAAAAATTCAAGTGAATAAAATCAGTACAACACAATTTGTTGAAAAATCAGAAAACAATGACAGTGAATTCAGGAAGACGAATGAGGGGGAAAAGGAAGGGGATGGTTAGTTATGTTAGAGTCAGCAGGGGCCAGGGGGTAGGGGAAAGAAGGGAGAAAATCAAAAATACTTCCATATAAGCTTCCTTTGCTGTTGCTGTGGCTTCTGGTGATGTTTCTTCTGAACTGTCTCAGCATTTCTGCTTCCTGTCAATTCAAAATCAATAGGTCAAAGCCTGACAAAGCCAACATCAATTGGAAAGCCAAAATACTGGGAAAAGGTACAAAGAGGTCAAGTATGAATCTTACCCCATTTTCTGCTCATGAATGCTGTTAAATGGGAAAGGGACTGCTCCTCACTTCAGGATCCTGGTCAGCCTCAAATTTCTTCTGCTCTTATAAAGAGAAAACAGACACATCATAGGGGAGACACTCTCATTTCACATGAAGTATGAAACTTCATTTAAAAGCATAGATAATCAAAGATTATGAAGCTCACCTCGACGAATGTTATCAGTTTAAGTAATGCAAATCTCACATCATATTTCCTTAACAGTTAGTATTTATCCTGACAACAATATTCAAGCAAATTCTGTTTAAATAGGTTTTAAAGTTCATTGAGGATTGACATTTTCCAAATACTTGAACCTGGTCACTCGTTTGAAGAATGCAGGTCAGATCCAGCATCCAAAGCAAGTTTCAAATGTCCATCTTTAGATGCATCATCCATGCAAGTTTGGTCAGGGTAGAGCTGAGTTGGGAATAATTTCATCACTCATCTGGAAAAAGTAGGTCAGATCAAGCATCCGAAGCAAGTCTGGTAGTGTCCATTCCTAGATGCATCATCCATGCTTGTTTGGATCGGGTAGGACTTACAGTTTCTTAGGAATGGACCTGCTCAAAAACCTTAACCTGGTCACTCATCTGGAAAATGTGGGTCAGATCCAGCATCCAAAGCAAGTCTGGTAGTGTCCATTACCCTAAATGCATCATCCATGCAATTTTGGTCCAGGTACGACTTATACTTACTAGAACATGGACTTGCTCCTAAAACTCCACCATGGCACAAATGCTAACCTGAGGCTGGTGTCAGGGTATAGCATAACTACCTCTTGACTTTGTTGAGGTAAGTTCAAGTTCAAAATAAAGCTTCAAGGTAAAAAAAAAAATTTGCATTTGAATAACCTTCATCAGTATCTCTAATTTGATTGTGATCATTCAACAGGTTAATAGTTATATTAGAATGACTATTTCCAAATATTTCCTTGCTCAAAAAAATTTGACTCTTTCACTCATCCATAAAATGTAGGTTGGATTCAGAATCTAAAGCAAGCCTGGTAATGGATCCATGGAAGATTGGTCAAAATAGGCCTTATAGTTACTTGGAAATGAGACTAGCTCAAAAAAACTTTTAACCTAGTTACTCATATTAAAAATAAAGGCCAGATTCAGCATCCGAGGCAAGCCTGGTAGTGTACTTCCATATATTTTATTTTGGATGTACATGTTCGATTCTTGTAAGTTTGGTCAAAATACTTGGAAATGACACCTGCTTCAAAAACATTAACCTGATCATTCTTTTAAATTTGCTGAAAATGCAGTCTCTGAAACCCTGGTAGGTACAATGAAACATACTTGAAGCATCTTACATGCATCCCTTAGGGGCTAGGGCATAGATGTACTTAAAAAGAAGTCTGCTCCAAAAACTTTCATCTGGGACACCCACACTTGCACTGATCCCATGGGTGTTACTAATATTCCTGTCCACTTCCTATTGGTGAGCAAAAAAATGATTAAAATGCATATTTTTTATGCCATCTCTGATTTTGATGAATAAATTTATGCAAGTAAAATGTCATGCCGACAACCTCACCACTTGATTTCCAGCAGAATCCGGAAAGGGGGCAAAACATCGATTGGCTGGGCTATTCCATTTGAGAAAAAAGTGACATTTGGTTGAAATTTAAAAAATTATACTATAATTTTGTCATTTTTCTATTTATGTAAATAAATAATAGTTTATCTTTTATTTGCAAGGTACTCATTGACTTTTTTACTTGCATATGATGTATTAAGGTACAGGAGTACCTCCCTCTTTTTCAAAAGGGAGGGGAGTTTAGTGTGGTATGAGTGTGTGCAGGTATGTGTTAACTTGTCACTGTGTGCGATGCGCAAGTGTGAGTAAGTTGTCGTCTGTTGTGCATGGTGGTGTGTAGATCTAGTCACTTGTATTGCAGGAGAGATTGCGTATTTATATATTTATTTGAACATCAATTAGATTATACATTACAGAGTCCAAACATTTTATTTTCTTTGGTGAAATTGGGAAAACACATACTTTTTGCCATTATGAATGGAGCAAAAAAAAGGCCCCTTCGACACCCTAAAAATGCCTGTCAGTAAAAATATTTGCATTATCAATACACAGTTGATTCAGGGCAAAGTTAACCCCACTTAGGATCTGATGTCCCAAACTTATGCAGAGTCTAAAAGCACAATACATTTTCAAACGATATTTCACTTCTTTGTTTTAATTCACCTGTAGGTTTTAAGCTGTCCCTTTCCGCAGCTTAAAAATACTTTATCAACGTTTTATCAATATGTGCATCTGAATCTGACAAGTGTTATTTCAAATAATGTTAACTGTTTTCCCCAACCAACTCACCTGACCGTCCACTGACGCCAAATTTGCTGTTCGCGCCACATGTCAAAATTTAAAACTCACAATTTCGATCCCGATGCAAATAAATTACAAATGCATGCAAGAAACAAATAAATAAATAAATTTATGTATTAATCAATCCCCCAATTATAAAACAATTTTAGCAATTAATCTAGAATATGCTCTACCTCTGGGCAGGACAAAATATTTATGTCTCAAACCTGTCTTGTTATTTAAGCGACATTGCTAGGTTACTGGAAAGGGGGGGGGGTCTGAGATAATTTTTTTTAAAGAAATAAATGCGTTTCAATTTTTCATGTATTCGGTTGATTTTTATGGATTCTATTGCATTTTGAAAATGTGAAAAACCTCTTAACCTTTTTTTTTATTTTAATGCATATTTGCAAGATTAAATGCGACGAATATATCCTGTCCTATTTATTCCCTTGTAACTACATTTCCCCTAAAATTGCAGACTATTTTGTGTCATTTGTTAAACTATCTACAGCTGTCTAAGGAGATCTGGAAGTCGTGTCGTTTGACCACTGACCAGGGAAAATACCCTTTGAAAATGGCGGGGATGTCAAAATATACAACCTTCCTCAGAGAAATTAAACAAATTCTTAAACATTTTTTATTACAACAGCTTTAGAATATTTACCTCAATTTTTGATCATCTCTGGGCTCCTGTGATGCACTTTCGACTGAAAAATGTAATGAACTGATCTGAAAGTCTGCTGCGCAGGTACCTGTTACTGCTTTGTGAATTCAGTTGTGAACTATGGGCGCACTTGTTTCAGACAGCCGGGCGATGACCCGGTTCACTTTTATCACATGGCATATTGACCCGGTTAGTGTCGCTGAAACGAGTGAAAAATAAGCCGGATTGGCTGGTATTGGTGCTGTTGCTGTAAAAAAAAAAAATTATCAAAATTATCTGAACGCACGAGAACAACGATTTAGTGGATATATTTCGTTTTAATATTTACTAGTTCCATTCTATGTACAATTTGTGAATTTGGAGCATATAGGGTCTCGTTACCCACAGAACTGGAAAGCAGCTTTAAAATTTAAAAAAAAATTTTTTTTTTGTCGTGCAAATGTAAACAAATATGTTGTAAAAGTCTCTTATTATCTCAGTTGTGTTTGTTTATTGACACCGAGACTACGACAAATGATAAAAAACGAATGTTTCACCATCAAGAACATTTCTACCTCCGTTTTCCGCCATATTGCTTTTCATTTGGCCGCTCGAAATTTTTCGGGCGATCCGGGCTACTTTCTGACCGCCCGGCGGCTTAAATATATTTGAAACAAGTGACTTGCCCGGTTCCGGAATATTAACCGGCTTGACCCGGCTTATGAAACAAGTGCGCCTATTGTTCAAACATCATGCTCACGTGATTTAATTACGTATTCGTCATTCATTACTCTACTGCGGTCATCAAATCGTGAAATGTGTGTAAACTAACGCTGCGAGTACACAATTTTTTGTTACATGTATATTGTAAATTTCAACAGAAAATCTTGTGCGTGGGTATTTTAATAAACTTTTTAAAATTACAGTCATGAATTACATTTATATGTAACAGTTATGTTTATTCAAAATAATATACCGGTATAAACATACATTGTAGACGGTAAAATATTCATGAATATACTTTAATGTATAGGGTATATCAATCTATAATTGCTTGCATGCTTATTTTGAGTGCAGAATACCAAGTCATAATTATATTATATTTCAAGACTAAAAGCATGGCATAGACTCCCAATCATAGTAGGACACAATAAATAGGCCAAGATTTTTCCTCAAATTCAATTTTTCTGAAACTTTGATTTTATGTTCTAGGATTCAAAATCTCTCTTTATATATGATATGAAAGAAATTCAACCACACATTTTTTGCCCACATAGTCTGAAATATGGCCTATCATTTAGTAAAAAAAAGTATTTCTTAAAAAAAAAAGGGGTCTATCCGGGACCTGAACTCAGGACCTCTCACATGCGAAGCGAGAAACATACCACTAGACGTACCATGGAATTGTCATGTTGTAAATTTTGAATTTACCGGGTGGCAGTAAATACAAAATTTATGTCATGTTGTAAATTTTGTATTTACTGCCACCCGGTAAATTCAAAATTTACAACATGACAGAATCGCGACCTTTTTTTAGCACAGGGATATGAGGAGAGTTATTGCGTATAAAACAGGTTCTCGGCGGACTTTGTGTTCTTATTACATCTATTAGAACTGTTTAATAAAGGCTAAATAAATCAAACACCATGGATTGTGTAAAATTTTGACAATACCGAACATGAATATCTACATGTATATGTGACTTCACTTCGACATGTAATACTATAAATACTAATAAAACAAGCTTCGTGTCCCCCGCTTAAGGAAAAAGTAAAACATGCGCAGTTCGGGGGGAGGGAGGGGAGAGAGTTGGATCCCCCTCACTGAATTTGTAGAATTATTAAATGTATACGGGTCATTATCAAAATATGCAGCCTTTCGCGTCAGTATTAATTTGAAGGTGAAAAAATAATGTTTTGGGAAAAATATAAACAGTATCATAGAGTTTAAGAATACCTAAACTTTTTCTAAGAACACAAAAATTTACAATTTCATTGCTTAAAGTAATAAAAAAAATTATTTTGTAACAAGATATCAGTGACTTCATGCTGTCAATAGATTCTGACAATGTCTTTAACCTACAACAACTTAAAATGACTGATGTTTTAATTTTAAAAATTACATTGAATACTCAAATCAACATTCATATTTTAAGTTCTGGTATGCTATAGAATAAATAAGCTGTTACAAAAAATAAAAATCATGAGATATATGTGCGTATATAAAAATTCTGTCATTGGTGTAACAAAGCAAAATATTTAAAAATACATCATATTAATGATGTTGCGCTAAAGTTGGAATTCCCCAGATTAGAGTGACATCACTTCCTGGTTCCAAATGATGAACGCATCAGTGATGTCATTATTGTGAGAGAAAATATCACAGAAAAGGTTTAGTATGATCTGAGTAATACAAGCAATATGTGTCAATGGAATAACATACTACTGAAGGTTTTCTGTTATAAAGGAAAAATAAAAACTTCACAAAAATGGTGAATGTTGATCACATTTTACAAAGACTATGTGAAATTGTGTACATTCTGACCTATTGGGTCCTACTGCTAAATTATACTCCAGATACATCAGTGGTGTAACAGTCAGTGGTGTAACAAATAAATATTGTTACACCAGTGACAAAAATTGTTACACCACATGACATTATTTTATAATTTTACTTTTTCTTTCATTTCATTGATATTCGGAACAAAAGAAATTGTCAAAGATCCATTTTATAAGTTAAACAAATTGAGATAATTAGAATATCTTTTGCTTGACTGTTTGATATCATTAGTCTGGAAAAAGAGAAGTGTTACACCACTGACATTAGTTGTTACACCATTGCCATTTATTTGCTTGATGCATTTAGTTTATTTAAAATTCTTTATTAAAAGATGAACTAACAAACAAAATCTAATTTTACAAAAAAATAAGATTATTAACACTTACTTTCTACACTCTATCATTCCCTAAAAACTCATGTTCAATCACTTATAAGATAGGTAATTCCAGTATAATCTCATTTATGGATGTTGTTATAATATCTCTTATTTTTTTCAGATAATTCACAAATACTAAACGTCAGCGAAAATTTCGAGAAAAGATATCCAGAGACAGTGATGTAGCAAGACAAACAGAATAAAGAGAAATATCTGCAAGACCTTAAATTTACAAACATGACTTCAGAAAACAAAGGGGAAAAGGCAAAACAAGAGTTGGTGAAAAATAAATGCAATACACAGTCAAAAATGGAAGTAACAATGTGTAAGAAACAGAACAACCATAAGAGAATACTAATAAGGAAATTCAAATAGTTGATGTTCCCCGCTTTCTTTGTCTTAGAGGATGAGATGCCATTATTTATGGCATATTTTGTTAAATATAAACCCTGTATCATGTGTCATTCAAAAGTCAATCACCAAAGTTACATTTTTTTGAAAATATTTCAAACATGAAAATCAAAAGAGGTAAAAAAAATCATAGCATGCTCAGAAACATCTTGATACAAGTAGTACACTTGTCAAATATAAAAGCCCTATCTCTAGTTAAAATTTCAAGGTCACTTGGTCAAAAATTATAGTATATTTAGAAAGACCTTGTCACATGTATTGTATAATGTGTAAGCCATATCTTTCCTCTTTTAGAAGTTATGACCACTTTAAAAATGCTAAAGTAATGTTAAAACTTTTGAAAAGTAAGTCAAACATCTATGTCATGGGAAAAATCACTGTGTATTTGGAGAGCTCTTGTTACAGATAATGTATAGCATTATTCACTGTATACATAACATTTTTCTGTCAGTGGTGTAACATTGATTGTACAAATGTAAGTGGTGTAACAATATTTCATGTATCTTATTTGGATTTTGAAAGAATTAGGTTTTAAAATATTAATTTAAGAGCAGAGTTAAAATGTTTTTAATGTACTTAAAAACAGAACTTACTTTATTTTTTATCATTTTAAACACAAAATTTTGATTTCATACCACTTGGTCAGTGATGTAACGTCAGTGGTAAAACATAAATATCAGTGGTGTAACAAGTGCATATTTCCCATAATAAAATTAATTGTCAGTGATATCTGTATATCTTAAAACTCCTGTGTAATTATAGACATATAATTTTTTATGTTCATCTAAAAACATTCTTCCGGTTGTTTTTTTCAAATGTTAAAAATGAACATTTGTTACAGTGACATAAAGAATTTGTCTCAAATGTGATGTTGGTCACTGCGTAATTGTGTCAAATATTATCTGTTCTCTGATTCTGATAACTTTAATTGAAGTTTGTTGATGTAAACTTTATGTCCATAATTTCTAAAAAGTTGCATTATTTTATTTAAGATTTTTTTTTTCCAATACAGTATGATTGTTACGCCACTGACAATTTTTTGCAGTTCAACAACTTTAAGTCTAATTATCTGCCAGATGGTAGATTTCCATGTTTGCAAATTTTGAGATATAATAGTTCATTGTTTGTTTAATGTGTTTTTGGCAATAAATGAATTTTTTACAGAAAAAAATTTCTTGAGTTTTACTTTTTCAAAAGGCTGCATATTTTGATAATGACCCATACATGCATGTATACTGAAGCAAATAAAATATGCCAATATGGATATAAAGGTTTGATTGCTTATTCTTTATTATTATAGAAGATTCTTTTTATATGGAATATTTATCACATTGTAATGATGATTTTATGAGTTTGTACAAGCCAGACCTCGTAAATTTTTCATTTCGCGTGCTGAATACTATTATTTAGTAAAAAAAATAAAGTATTTCAAAAAAAAAGTTGTCCGTCCGGGACTTGTACTCGGACCTCTCACATTGGAAGCGAGAAACATACCACTAGACCACGGAATCGCCTTACATGGAGTCAAGTATATGCAGAAGTGAAGTCACATACATGTATATATTCATGTTCGGTATTCTCAAAATTTTACACAATCAATGGTGTTTGATTTATTTAGCCTTTATTAAACAGTTCTAATAGATTGAATAAGAACATAAAGTCCGCCGAGAACCTGTTTTATACGCAATAACTCTCCTCATGCTCATGTGCTAAAAATAGCGACATGTAATACTATAAATACTAATAAAACAAACGGGGCGGGGCACTTTGAGAGGGGTGAGAGAGGTCCTAGGGAGTTTTGGTATAAAATTATATTGAATAAGCTCAAAATCTTCTTGAAATATCGCCCGGAAATGATAGTGTTACACACAGAGAGAATGTGTAAATTTACGACCTTGAACTTTGACTTTTTGACCTCAAAATCAATAGGGGTCTTTATTAGGCCACATGGAGTTGTTATGTAAAATTTCATTGCAATAGCTCAAATGGTTCTAGATATATCGTGTGGAAACGAAAGTATTATAACAGACAGAATTTGTTTATTTATGACCTTGACCTTTGACTTTTTGACCTCAAAATCAATAGGGTTCTTCTTTAGTCCATAGGGAGTTGCTATGCAAAATTTCATTGTAAAAGCTCAAAGGGTTCTCGAGATATCGTGTGGAAACGAAAGCGTTACAGACAGACAGAAAGACGGACGGACAAACCCAAATTAACATCCCCCACTTTTCAAGCAGGGGACAAAAATGTACTGGTGGAATTCTTGAAATACCATATTGGGTAGTATGATGTCAAGCTGATATTCTGTTATTGTATGTAGAAAAGAGGGTCTGTGTTTATTTACATGTATTTAAAGATGGATTACAGAATCAAATGTTTTGAATCAATGGATAGGGGTAAAACATTTCTCTTTATCTTTACTAGAGGTAATGTGAGCACAGAGCTCTCAAAATGATACCCCGCATCTCATATGATTAAAATTGCAAAGTCCATATTTTGCTATTGGAGACCTGAAAAAAGTTTCAGATCAAAAAATAAAATAGGATAAGAGACGGGTACTCCCTCAATATCATAGAAAGAGTGGCAGTGTCCATGTTTTGCTTTTGAGAACCTGAACAAAAATTCTGTGAAAGTCTCATTAGATTTTATTCAGTGGTATAAGAGGAGTTGTGGATAAGAGATGGGCACCCCCAAAAGGAAGGATGAAAATCCCCATCACTATATACCCTCTGCTTTTCAAGCTAGGGGTATAATGGTGACAGGCTTGAAATCATATTGAGCCAGACTCAAATAGCTAATGGTATGACCATTTGTGCAACTTTTTGGAGTACGGTTCATATGTCCAGAACCCTTTGGTCAAATTTTATCAATTTTATCAAGAATATCCTTGGCCTAAGGGCTCTTTTTATACCAAAAATAAGTATGTGACCCTTAAGCAAGGGGAGATAATTAGGGAAAGAAATACAAAAGTAGTGGTTGCTAAAAATCTTGTCAAGAAGCACTGGGAAGTTTACCACCAAACTTACACCCAAAGATGATTAAAAATTGTTCAAAAATTATGTTTTGATAAAACTTTGATATTTTGCCTACTTTAAGGCCTAGAATCATAAAATCTTGTCAGATGATACATCTTTTGACTTTATATCATGCTGACTCAAAAGTAAATCATGGTGACTTACCTGGTACTCTTTGAATTCACAGGCATTCTCTTTCATCTTTTATGCTTTTCTTTTTGGAGAAATAGAAAAACAGGAAGAAGTTGTATTGGGTTGAGTAATATCTAGAAATTTGGTAAACACTGTGAAATATGGCAAATTTCAAAGGGCAGTTCTCATAAAGAACTGACAAAGAACCAACCAAGCCCCGATAGAAACTGAAAAAACTGAAATAATACAGAGAAGGTGAAGATGGATAGGGCATACTCTACGCAAGCCACATAAGAACACCACAAGGCAAGCCCTATCCTGGAACCCCCAAGGAAAACGTAAGAGAGGGAGGCCAAAGAACACCTGGCGGAGAGATTTGGAGGCAGATGTCCAGAGAATGGGGAAGAACTGGAAGGAGTAGAAAATATTGCCCATAAACGACACCAGTCGTTGGTCTTCATCCTTTTCAAATATAACAGAATTTTAAAGCTTTTGGTAGACAACAGTGTCTGCAAAGGGTCAAAGAATGAAAAAAAAATGTAAAATTAATGTATGACATATATCGTCGTCCTTTGTGGGTGATGGTGGGGGGGGTGATTGTGTGTGTATGTGTGGTTGTAGGGGGGTTAAACTTTTAGACCAGTGACTTATCCATAACAGAACAGAACCTTTTCTTTCCCATTATTATACATGCACACAGCAAACGTGGTTTGCTTTTTGATATCTCCATGAAACAAAAATAACAACAAAATACGCTCACACATAACAAATTATATACACCTTCAGTTTGTATGACTAAGATTTAGGAATGTTAATTTTACAGTTCCAGTTTGAAGTTTTTTTTCTATACTGCAGTAGTTGCCTTGTGTTCAACTTCACGCCTATATTTTATTCAAACAAATGCATTGTCATTTGTCAATCTCAACTCCTTTTCTACCATTTACCCTCTTGTCAGTACGCATGGGATGGATACATGGTTTCAGTTTAGGGAGGGGAGCAAACTATGTGAGGAAAGTGTAAAAAATGACAGCGTTAACTCGAAATACTGTTAAGTATTGTGAGTTTAATAACGCAAGTTTATCAAAACTTGATGTTAAGGTGAATTTTGAATTGATAAAGACGAAATATTAAAAGTCAACATTCCAAGGGACCAAAAAGCCCCCCCCCCTCTCTCTCTCTCCAGACATTGTGCTATCTAGATATGCATTCTTGATTAGTTTTAGCTCTCTTGCCAAAAGAGATTCTATGCGAAAGGAAAATAATGACTGTATATAAAGGAAACTAAAATAATTGTAAATTCAGAAAACAAAATTAGCTTTCTCTATTTGACGATTTTGATAAATAGTATCCCGTTGATCTGTTTATTTTTAAGATTTTCCCCCAGAATTAATATTTATTTGTTGATATCACCAGACAATTATTTGTACACTCTAGTCATGTTTTAAACAAGTTTATTTGTTTTCTGACTTGGTGGGCATTTAATTGGATAGATTAATTTCACAATGTTAAATCTGCGTTTGGCAACGAAACGAGAGTAAACGATTTTATTCACAAAAATATGATATGATATAGTTGTTTAACAAATCATAAAAAGGGAAAACGCGAACCATGAAAAAAAAAATTTCAACAAATTTAGTCAGTGCGAAAATATTGATGAGAAGAAAAAATAGCGAGCCTTGGGAAGTATCTTTTTAGAATTAAAATAGATTGGGTTCGAGGGAAATATTGTAAGTTTATTAAAAACTTAATATATGCCTTTTGAGAGTTCCAAATATATTCTCTTTAGGTTCGCTAAAGTAGTTTGTTTTCTCTATAAAAAAAAATGTGAATACACTTATTTCATTCCGGTGTATTCTGTTCTTATTACAATTATGGAGATTGTAATGATTTATATTTTTAAAAAAGTTTAATTAAAACAGGAAATCTCTTGGCACGTGGAAATATTTAATAAAATTAATCTGCATTAATTGACTACCTGTACAAAAGGCTACACATATTGTATACCGGTACACAGGGACTGAATTTTACAGGCTCAGTATTGCACGTTTTACAAAAATAAAATTGTCTTTCCAAGGTATAGAACTGAAAATTACTCTTCATGTATGTGGTCATTTTAGTTGAATAAAATTCAACAGATGAAATAGTCCATCGACATATACTTTGTGATTGAGTAAATAAATGTTCCGTATATTGTTGAAAACTGTAAGTTGCTGTTTCTCTCGGGTTATAGACAATCTTTGAAAGAACATATATAGAAATATTCATCAGTGACAGTACGTACGTATAGTTATAAATCAAAAAATCCTATTTCAAGGGGGGTGGGGGGTTAACTTGACCGAAGACTAGTCTCCAAGACTAACCTTTCGGTGCATTTTTAAATGCCGAAATTTACACTGTGTTCAATTTTTCTGCTTCAGCAACAAAAAGTGGGAGGGGTTCAAAAATCACACCCCAACCCCCGTCATGTTGTAAATTTTGAAATTACTGGGTTATTACAAAATTTACAAAATAACAACTTTCAATATCGATACAACGTGCCTGAAAGAAATTATAGAACCACTGAGGCACACATAAATAAAACGTTATTCAATATTGCCGAGGAAATAAGAATCAATCGAACCATCGGAGTTGTAAAAGATAACTAACCTATTCAGGCCTTCAGTAAAAAATCCCCAAATTTCTAAAGTCATGAGAATGAGAAACATAAACCAGGTTTTAATAATATATCAATCAGATTATAAGCATTTAGCATATGCACCCTCGTAAATAATTCACACTGAAAAGTTAAGTGAACTCTGCAAGTGCACTTCATTCGAAATATAGACACACAATAGCGGATTTAAGGGGGGGGGGGGGCGCACCCGGTTGTCAAAGTTAGCATAAATCACAGTTTCGTCTAGAAAATGTAAATATGTCTACTTGGTAGACCTCATCTTTACCCTACAAAATCTCTAGAATCCAGGAGCTGGGGTCTGGGGGCCTCACGGCGGCCCCCAGACCTCTTGCCTACTTTTGGCGCCCCCTCTAACTTCAATTCCTGGATCCGCGCCTGACACATATAGCCCCCCCCCCCGCCAATCAATGTAGTTCGCTCATTTTTAATTGAACCAAATTAAAACAACAGTCTATTGTTGATGTCAATTTATTCGATCAATCAATTTACAATTTCACATTCGTAATTCACTAAAAATATATACAAGTTATCACAGTCACGCCTTGAAGAGACAACCTTTTAGTAAATAAATACCCCTGTGATATTCAAACATTCATATTAAAACGAATTTATTTATTGAAAGCAAAAACAAAAATATCAGTATTATGTTACAAAAATAAATATATTAAGATATATGCGTATTAGAAATAGGAGTAAGGTTTGATATCACATGCGAATATTTAGTCATTTGACTCTCTTGCGAAAAATCGAAAGTAAATGCTCGATAACAAAGACAAAATTTCCTTCTCCATTTGTTTATATTTCGTCTTTTGTGGACCTTATGCAGGATGTAGGAACATCAAATAATACGTACACTTGCTTAGAAAAGGAGTATGATACCAGGTTGAGCAGGGTACCTCGCATGACAAAGGGGCTCCAAAGTAAACTGACTAGAACACACATGAAAAACAAAACATTCAAAATGTTAATATTCTTCTTTACTTGTTCTTCGGACTCTGTGCTTCGGCGCCTATAAAGCAGTACTAAGCAAAGAGCAACTTATTTGTCTCATTTCTGATCTTCGTGATTTTTGAGATGATAACACAATTCTGACATGCAATCTTGTTGCACCTATTCTATATAAGACCCACATCGGAAATCCATGGAGAAGAAACCAAAACACGAAAAAAGCTGTCTAAGAGATCGAGCAAAATTGTTTCAAGAGATTCTGTTCGTAAATATTCACAGACATGACAGAGTTAAATCAGATTCTGCAGTCCATTATAAACTCTTGAAAGCCAGACTGCAGGCAACAAACAGGGCAGCTAGGAGTCCCTGGGCCTTCAGTGATGGTCCACCGCCTGAAAAAATAAAAAGGTGATTTTTATGTTAAAATTTGGAACTTATTTTCTTGACTTTGACTGCTATCGAAAAAATATAGCATATGTTGTTCATTCCTCTATAATAACCTATATATATTAAATACACTATCTATAATCAATCCAATGTCAACTTACTGAGTTGGATGTTGAGGGTGTACTCCATGGCTCTCTCGTACCCGTCATACGCAGCTTCGCACCGGATTTCCTGGTTCTGGTCATTACTGTTTAGAATCAGCGCCATTGTGCTCACCGCATCTCCGTATCCTTTTAAAACCAAAAGAAGACATGTCAATATGCTTGGTCATTAACTGGTTACAACTGAACCTTTTCCTTTAATAAATGTTTTAATGGACGTGATAGCAAACGGCTGTAGTTTATTCATGTTAGTACAACGTATATATATAATGAGCTTAAATTTCTTAGGTATTTATACGGTCTTTATCGCCTTCTGTATATGGTTATAAGCTTTATGACTTTAAATGTACTCACCGCTGGATCTGACGTTGTTTGTATAGTAGTATGCATTCTGGGTCAGTTCCATCTGGTTCACTCCCTTGAACCACTTGAGATAGGGTGGCGGATTTCCGTAGGTGGCAAGGCAGGTGATGTTGACTCTATTTCCAGCATATGGTGAGTTTTCCCAGTACACAGAAACATTGGTTGGTAAAACTAGTAAGGGGAAACAGACATGCTAAATACTCGCACTCACATATTAATTCATCCCTCAAGATAAAACTCATGTATCCAAAAACTACACTGAATAAACGTGTCAAAATGAAATCCTAAACACTAGGTTTTTATTATTATTTTTTATAGCAAATAATCATAAAATCTGTAACAGCTAGAAAACTCGTGTGCTCATTACCCCTATAAATTACTAAAACATAATCAATGATAAATGTCTTTTTTAAATATACGGATTCAGAAAATATAAATTGATACTTACTGACTGGTGTGAAGGAGATTTCACGTACTGTGGAGCCGATAGCACATTGATAAAGCCCCTCGTCTGAAGCCGCCACGTTCTGAATTGTCAGGTTAGCTGTACCGGATACTGCGTATTTATTCTGAATGGATGTCACAATGTTGGTTCCGAAAGTCAGAGAATCGTAACCACTTCCGGAAGATTGCTTCTGTTGAATAAGATATATTCTATTGAATTTATGTCAACATTGAGATGTCAGTACAAGTACTTTCAACCCTTTGATTATGTGGCCGTTTTTGCTATTTTGCTTGCTAGCTAGATCATCGAATATTAAGAAAGGAAACAGATTAAAGAAGTTACCCTCTTCCAGGACACGCTGTCTGATCCAAGGTTAGTCGCGATACAGGCGAGGGTCCCGGTCCCTCCGATAGGGGCAGAGGTGTTATAGGGTTCAATAACAAATGTCGCGCACTGGCTTACTGTAGAAAAAAGTGGGTTCGATTTTTCATAAAGAATTAAATTGTGACAATACTTAAAATAGGGGAAATTTAGATAATGTTTTTGACTTTTATATTTCATTTACAAAAAATTCCAGCCATGCATGTTTCCCTTTATAAAACTAATTCGTTCTGGTTTCCATAGGATATAAGGCATTGGCATTGTTACTAAACTAAGTCTGCTATCATTTGAAATACTTACAGCCAATCAGAGAAGCTACAAGTACCAGACTCCCAATCATTTTTACTGGATCTTATTCTTGCCCAAATGCGGTTTGTTATGACCGATATCGGAATGGTCCAGATTTCCTCAACCCTGGAATATATATAAGATCCCCGTTTCCTTGGTGACAGCGTCCACGGTTCCCCCAATCATTATATCCAGTATCTATGTCCCCAGACGTATTAAATTTGGCGGGGAAATTCGGTAAGATGGCTATTTAGCATTTTTGCGATGCCTAAGTCCTTTACAATTAGCCTCTAATTTCTACGAACGTTACTCTTTAGCTTTAATCGCTCTGTTTATATTGAGTAACATTGATACACATGTACATAGTTAAATTAGCTCCTTTTAAAGAAAGTTTCAACTAATTTTGAAATCGTATTAAACAGAAATGTAAAGCTTTTGTGTTAATTTTCAATGAAAGTTGATTATTTATTAATAATCACAAAAGTTCATATACATGTCAATTTTACTATAGTTATCGACTGTTCATATGAAAAATCTTAATTTAACGTTTATAATAAATAATAAAAAATTGAAAGACAGCATATGGTTTGTTATATTTGAAACTTTTAAAAACACATTATCAACTTGATTTCTAACAAGATAAATAGCAACTTAGCTATTAAATTTATCTCTCTGGGATTATTGACAAATACAAATTGGATGTACATACACAGGTACTTGTGGACAGGACCCCCCCCCCCCCCCCCCAGTATACACCCCTGGTCAAAATATTTTTTTATTTTTTTTTTCTCATGAATTATGTTTCTAGTACTTATTTATAATGTATTCCATATGAAAAACCCAAAAAATAATATAGATTTAACGATTTACCAAAAAGTCATATCGTTAAATCTATGTTATTTTTTGGGTTTTTCATATGGAATACATTGTAAATAAGTACTAGAAACATAATTCATGAGAAAAAAAAATTAAAAAAATATTTTGACCAGGGGTGTATACTGGGGGGGGGGGGGGGGGGGGTTCCTTTCCACAAGTACCTGTGTGTACATATACATGTATATTAAATATATTAGCAATCATGAATTGATGTCGCGATTCCCTTCCTCTCTGCTTAAAACAAATGAAAGAGAGAGAGGGGGTGCATGTTTATTTTTTTCATCTTGTTCAGCATTAACACATCTTCTCTGATAAAGTCTTCTTTATTAAGAAAAATCAAATCTTCCCTATCCCGAGTATACATTATATCATTAAATAAATTACTTGTATGTTGACGCTTTTTAATTCACAAAATTATTAATAATAAGAATACTTTGATTTTCAGACAAGAACAATTGCTTTTAAAACTATTTAATTCAGTAAATCCCAAACTGGGGCTTAATAAGCCTCGAAAGTAAAATGAAATCTATTCAACCCACATGTATTTTTTATAATAATACTTTAACAGTTTTCCATTTTTAAAAAAACAATAATCGTACCAAACGTAATGATGTAAATCTATAAACTGGACATAATAACCTGTGATATATAAAGCAATACCCTTAAAATTACAATCTGAAAGCGTAGACCTTTGATTTAATTCTGTGCTGTTTACATTGAGTAACAATTGGATTCAGGTCGTCCAGCGTTATTTACATGTTTTATTATTAGCCATTCGGAAGACAATCTGTCTACCTGTCGATACCATTTCATGAAATAAAATATTATATACCTGATTTAATATTTATAGATATTACTCCGTTAATTTGTCTGTGTTGTGGTTTCTGTGGGTTTGCATCATAGAAGGATAGAGTTTTGCTTTGACAACATACATGTACCGGTATTTTTTTTGTCCCTTTATAACTATAGAGCGTCAATGTTCTTTGGTTGTTTGTTCGTTTTCATTTTTGTTTACGATCATAACCTCCAGACGCCTGATTCGGATTTACTTTGGGGGCCGGGGTGGGGGAGGGGGTGTTCCAAACCTTTCAGAAAAAAATCCAACACTGAAATTTCTTGGAATAATTAAAAGAATTAAACCCTTACAAGTAAACTACTTTCTCCTACGTAAAACCCTATTTCTTGATGTAGGGGATGAACCACCACTTAATTTTTTAAGCTAAAAATGATTGATATGGACAGAAGAAGCGTTAAAAAAGACATTTATGCTGGGCTCATCTTTGTGGTTCTGGCATGCCAGGTAACAAATTAATCTAACAACGGTTTCGTGGTACATGATTTTAAAATGGAAAAAGTAAGAAACCTCGTCTACAGAGCAGTAAAAATTTTAAGTATAATTTAAGATACCTTAGACACAAAAAGTGCAAATAGACCAAAGTGAAAAATACATTGAAAAAAGACCCTTAAATTCCTTTCCTTAAAAACATAAACAGTATTCTCTCATGTGGTATACATTCATTTTTTGTTTCAATTTTTTTTTTTAAGTTTGTTTTGAAAATCGCGAAAGTTTTTTTTTTCCTTTTTAAATGAAAATCGAAAAAGAGTGAGCCACATCTCTAAACATTTCTAACATGGGGAAAACTGTTTTCATTTACATATACATGTATAATCTGGTCGTTATATTGAAGGAAGTTATTTTAAAAAAAATTGTAGACGAATTGTTTGAATGGGGCACCATGCTAAAGTGAATAACCTATGAACGAGTTACCAAAGAGAGTGTCAAGGACATTTAAAAAGGGTCTCTGGATTTTTCGTAAGAATACGGAGATCTTGCCCGATATTCCGCATGTACGATGTAAATATGGCGGGCAATGACAGAAAACCCATCGATATTCCTATTGAAAATGTAGAAGATGGTGTCCCACAGACATCTGAAGAACATATAACGACATATACCATCATAGATCAATCAACTCAACAACAATGAATTCAACTTGGGTGCAGACATCCTTCACGCAGAGGTATTAAACCGTATTTTCGGGTCAAACACTGAAACCGTTCTGACACATTATCCTGATTAACAGTAATTAACCAACATAACCCGTGCAATCTCTTGATTTAGCCGTATAGCTTCAGTTAGCTATATAGCTTTATTTACATATTAAATATAGCTTGATAAAGCTATTTATTGACAGTTTTGTATAAACAAATACATCTTTTACAAGAAATAGACAAAAAGCTGCAAGTATACAAAAGTGACCACTCATATTCAGCATACATATGTATTTTGAAATTGAGAAAACAGAATGGTTTGATTCTATTTAAACTCCAGTCTTTTAGAATAAAAACTGAGAAGCCCTGCTAAGGGCATAATAAATAAATTCATAGATTCTTATCCTGCCTGGCCCGATTTTTTACCCCCGCCTCAATTTTTTCATTTCTGTTTTTCTTTGTCTGAATTCTGATCAGTATTCAACTACCAATCAACTTTCGTTAAATCCCACGAATGTCGGCATGATTTTGATAGCTGAAAAGATGATAATGGCTATATGTTAAACAATTAAGGGCCATTGATTGTGAAAGATTGGTGATGTCAGATGTGTAGTATGAGATAAATGGACCTCTACTATGACTTTTATTTGGGTATTAAAGATAAATCTGCACTGAACGACCATGTCAATAAAAATTCTGAAAAATTGATGAAAATTAAAAAATATATAATAAAACTCGTCCGTCTTGATTTAAAAAAAATCGGATGAGAATGTAAGGTTTTTTTATTATGGCCTAAAACAGCATATCACTGTATTTTTAAAACTGTTATAAAATTTAAACATATATTTTGTTTAACCTTTCCAGAATGTACAGTTTTTGGAGGTACCAGCTGATCAACTAGCCAACTTAGGGTTGCTGGCAACAATATCATCTGACCAGGCTAGAGATGGGACTGAACAGGTTATAGAAATGACCTCGGTTGATGAACTGCAGAACCTTGGTGTGGTGACAGAACCAGGACCCTCCAGTTATCAGGTCGTGCAGGCCAATGATGGTCAAGAACCCAGATTCAATATGCCAGGAATAGAACCAACATTACAGTACCTGACAGGTTAACACAAATTTAGATATTCTGTAAACAAAAAATATATTTTATTTCTCAACAAAAGAATAAGTACAAAATATCTTTAAAAATCTTCTCAAGAACATCAAAGCCATGATTAGTCATATTTATACAGTAGAATCTTAAAGTAATATAGATTTAACTTTGATCAAATCATGACCAAAAAAAAAAACAAAAAAAAAACAAACTAATATCTGCTTTCTTCTGGCTATAGTACACAGATGAGCATTGTAGCCCATGGATATCCTGTTATTCACTCTTCTTTTTTTTTATTTATATATAACAAACATTTTAACATGAATTCCATATCTGAACAAAAGATGCCATGGCAAAATTTAGATTTTTTACATGCAAATTTTGTTTACTCTTCCAGGAAAGATCAGTTTTGCTGAGTTCAGTGAGTTGATGGAATCTGGCCATCCAGATGTTCCTGTTGACCTGGAAAACGTCGTACAGACAATTCATGTGACAGATGTTATCATGCCAACAGAGGAAACTCAGGAGGAGAAACCAGTAGAGGGCACCAGTCAATCGGAGGACATCGATGACAAGTCTCCGAAAAAGAAAACTCGTGGGCTTACTTATTTTACTTCACACTCTGATAAATGAAATGTTGAAATCTTGATTCACATGTATTAAAGAAATATGGTTTTAGTTCATTATTACTTTATGAATTTTTTTTTATTATAACTACAACAGATATTTTTTATTGCAGGTAAAAAGAAAAAGGTAAGATTTTAACAACCAGATTGAGTGAAGGCATCTTGAATGAAATATGATATTTACAAGACATGTTATTTTTTGTATGATGACAAAGTTACGGTAATATTTTCTATAAACAAATAAGGCCACTCTTCCTCTTTGTAGTCTTATGTGTGCTGCATTTGCTTTGTTGTTCTATGAATTTTGTAATTTACTAAGACATGTACATTGTTATTCAGAAGTTTAGTGATTTACCAGCACATCTGGAGGGGCTTATGGGAGAAGCTAATCTGACATACGCTAAAGGGGATCACGAGAAAGCCATCTCAATTTGTTTAGACATTATAAGGATGGGTAAGGTCTTTTGCTTGTTCAGGAGTATTTAGAAAGCCTAACAAATTTAATTTATTTTTCAAAGAACTTTATAAACAATTGATGTTAAACACCAATATTTTGAAGGATATAGAATGTGTGTATAAAGTTCAGTAGCGAATGACTTAAGGTCATTGAATACCAAGGGTAAAAAGTGTTGCATGTATTTTATACAGTACTATTAAAACAAATATACTTTTGATTATATGTTTGATTATGACATCATATTGGATCTAGCACCAAAAAACTAGTCTAAAGTCATTTACTAGATCTTGTCCGTAAGGCTATCAGGGTTATGTTTAAAAATTTTATAGTCAAAGAAGATGAAGCAAACTCATGCAGTTGTATAAAATCAATATTTAACAACAGAAAAATTTCCAACAGGATCAGGAATTTTAATAGATTTGTTCTTTAATTGTAGCACCAGAGGCACACCTGCCTTTTCAGACACTAGGCATGATTTACGAAGATCAAGGGGATCTAAAGAAATCTCTTCAGGTTTTAACTGAAATTTTTTTTTACCAATTACAATTTTGAAGGAGTCAAAAGCCAATTTTCTTTGAAGGGTAGAAATACATTGTAAGTTTAATTTACATTTATGTTGATTTTTTCCATTTCAGTACAGTTTGATAGCAGCGTACTTGAACCCAGTGGACCGTGACAGCTGGATAAGGTTGGCTGAGTTGAGTTTGGAACTGGAGGACAAATCACAAGCGGTCATTTGTTATAGCAAAGGTACTCAGAGTTTGTTAAAATGTAAGCTTATTTAGAGAGCTTGCATACTTTTTTTTTTTTAAATGAAGTTATTAAATGCATCCAGTATTAAATGTACATGTAAATGAAAGTTCCAACAAATTTGAAGAGTACAATTTAGTATATTGGAATCGCCATCTGTCTGTTTTAGGATGAATGTTATGAGTTTACTAAGTTCTACCTTGAGTCTCTGTAGAATATTTAAGACGTACTAATAATAAATCCCTTTCAACGTGTAGCTATACGAGCAGATCCCCAGAATCCTAATAACATTGACTTATACTGGAGTAGGAGTCATTTATACGAGGAGCTAGGGGACAAGAAGAAGGCTCTAGAGGGCTATAAATCAATGTTGAAAATCACTCCTCCCGAGAATGGAGAGCGGTACATGGAACTTGCCAGAACAATTACAAAGGTAGGGCTAAATATAATAACATTTCTGATTTTATTTAAGTCGTGGTATTTTTAAATCTCAATTATAATACCAAAACAATAGGTTTTTTTTACCTTTTAATTTCAATCTCTTATGTGTTATGTATTTTTTTAAAGAATTATTTTTATAGTTTAATTTAAATATAGGTCTAAATTTTGTTTCATTCTGGAGCAAAATGCGCATATGAAAATAGGAACTGCGTGCAACAAAATCTTTGTATATGTTGTATCTTGAAACAGAATGCTAAGTAAGATTTTGATGAAGATCCCTGAACCCATACTGTTAAGAACATGTGCATTCTACAGTACAATGCACAATGTATATATATTGTATGTGATCAAATATTAAAATTTGCTTCTGGAACTTCTCAGCATTATTATGAGGAAGATGATAAAGTGTCTGCAATGGAAACCATGAAGAATGCATTTGAAGCCAACTCAGAAAGTGTAGCAGCAGAGGGTGAGTTTTGTCTGCAGTAGGTTTTGTATCGAACACAATTTGTGTCATAGTGTTTCAAGAAATAAAACGAAAATTTCATAGTTTAAGCTAAAAGAACTTACACCAAAGAGGGTAAATCAGATTCTCAGAAACAAAAATGTACGACAAACTCTAGTGATAGATAATATTGATATGTAATAAATGTAATTGAAAAGTGCCTTTCAAATAGTGTTTATTTTAGATGTGAATTTATTTATGGAGCTCTTAATTGCACAAAAGATGTTTCTTCAAGCCATAGAGGTATGTGTTTAAACGTGTAAATTCTCTAAATTTAATTGTACAGGTGACTCTCGATCTCTCGAAGTTCAAGGGACCGCAAGAAAAGTTCGAGAGATCGAAGGGTTCGAGAGATAGAAATATATAAAAAATCCTTTGAAAATCTTCTTCCAATCACCGATGTTCTACTTTTATAGATACCGGAAGTATATGTAAATAAAGTAATTACACGTTTTCAATCGTATTTGACAGGTAATTTACGTGATATCAACAACAATGATTGTATTTCGAATAAATAAAACGAATTTCTAAAGTTTCAGTATTTATTTGTTTTTATTGTTCATGATTACATGAAACCCGAATAGCCATTGTCGGTTTGGCTATTCCGCAGCTTGATCGGAACCTTCACCAGTGTTCACCAGATTTTTCTTAATCGGTATTCAGTCCTTGAAATAGGAATTTTCTTGTGCAATATTTGCCGTGCTGGAATTATTTAGACTCTATTTAATCATAATAAAAGTTCATAGTCTATTGGAACTTGCTGAAACGAACATCTATAAATTAAATTTCTAAAAATTATCGTCTCAGTTTCAATTCGAAATAAGTTGTGAAATTGTTTATAATTTACCCTGTAATTAATAACCAATTAATTAAATCAAAACACGGACGACCCACAGGTGTAGTGTCATCTATGTAAACACCCAATTAACACCTCCATGCCAGCTCAACTTTTGGCTTTCATTGTTTCCACGTAAGTCCAGACTGCATCAATTTTATGCTTGATTGGCATGTATAAACGTGCAATCAAAACTTCGAGAGATAGAGAGTAAAATTCAATGAAATATGTGTAACAGGACCAAGATTTTGGTTCGAGAGATAGAGAACTTCGAGAGATAGAAGTTCGAGAGATCAGGAGTAAATTTGCTTAATTATATAGAGGGAAAAACGGGTACACAGAACGAGGTTCACTTTAATCTCATTTAGAGAGATCTGATCAACTTACTAGTAGAGATTTCAGTTCAAACTTCTAGTTTGTTATAAGCCATCGAGAGTCACCTGTATTTTCTAAATCACACTATATTGCACTTAAATTCAGAGTTTTTCAAAGTCATCAGTTTTTTTTTATGTGTATACCTGTTATTAAGTTTATTTTCATGTACATGTATTTTGCCTATAAAATTTATCATTTGAATTTTTGTGAAAAATACAGGAGGTAAAAATGTTCATATAATACATGTATAATGTTTGAAAATACATTTTTTGGTTTCTCTTTTGTGAACATCCCTATTTTACAGTTCCTATTTGGTTTTCCTGATTTGGAAGCCTTTTTTTTATTGTCTTATTGATCAGGTGCTGGTGAATCACTGCGGTGTTGTGTTTGATTTAAACATTGACAGAGAATGGAGCAGGGACATTCCTCTTAACATCTCACTTATAGAGAATGGTGCGGTACAAATTGTCTCGTATGTTTCATTTAAAATATGTACTTAGTGTTAGAAAATCTTCATAAAATTGATGTAAGATTGGAGTTTCATTTTAAATATCTGCATATTTAAAAGAAATATTTAAGAAATTCATATAAATTTAAACAGTGAAATGTGTACAGTTGGGGATGTTGAATAACAATCTTATATCAGTTTGTTATATTAATCTTTATTTCCAGAGAGGTAATATTTAACTAATTTCTTTTTTAGAGTTACTATTCCAGAATTGCTTCCCATTGATCTAAGGGTCAAACTCGGAATATGTCTGATACAGAGCAAACTGGATACATTAGCACAGGTAAGATATCTCAACACTGAGAGTGTATCAGTTCTGTTAAAATAAAATGAAGTGTGCTTTAAATAATATAATATTCAGTGTTATACAAATTTCCTTTTCCATTCTCTTGTTGGATTATTGAATTTTTTGTAGGGGGGAATTTCTTATATAAAAAATCATAATAAAACTGAATTTATGATGTGATGACTGAACAAAATTTGCTTTTGGTCTTGTAGTGGAAATTTCATTTATTATAAAGGTTTAAAAATAAAAATGTTATTTGTATATATTGTACAAATACAAAAAAATGTGGATGGGGTATCAATTAAATGATTTCACCATAGATCAGTCCTTACATTTATATTATATGTATGTACCTGTAGGTGGTTGTGGCACCCTTGTTTGAGGAGGAAGTGGAGGAGGTAGGAGATCTATATTTAGACGTGGCAGAAGCCTACATTGACCAGGGATATTATGCAGAAGCAAAACCCATTCTACAGAGACTGGTGTGCTCAGAAAATTATAATCTGGTGAGTTCGATATGCAATTGTCCTTAAAAACTATGTGGCTGCAGTTTCTTTAAAGGTTGTAATTGTTTGAAACAGCTCTTTGGGCACTTTTTTAAATGCAGCTGCAATGTTGCTATTTTTTTAAGGCAGGTGTGTGCTTGTAATTCTTTAGAGGCCACTGTGAGGTGTTATTTTTAGTCTGCTGTGGATTGCAACTTTTAGGCAGCTTAGTGGTTGTTATTTTTTGGCAGCTTAGTGGTTGTAATTTTTAGGCAACTTTGGTGATGTAATTTTTAGGCAGCTTAGTGGTTGTTATTTTTAGGCAGCTTTGCTGTTGTAATTTTTAGGCAGCTTAGTGGTTGTTATTTTTAGGCAGCTTTGCTGTTGTAATTTTTAGGCAGCTTAGTGGTTGTTATTTTTAGGCAGCTTTGGTGTTGCAATTTTTAGGCAGCTTAGTTGTTGTTATTTTTAGGCAGCTGTGATGTTGTTTATAAGCAGCTGTGTGGTTGTTATTTTTAGGCAGCTTACTGGTGGTTATTTTTAGGCAGCTGTGTGGTTGTTATTGTTAGGCAGCTGTGTGGTTGTTATTTTTAGGCAGCTGTGTGGTTGTTATTTTTAGGCAGCTTACTTGTGGTTATTTTTAGGCAGCTGTGTGGTTGCGACTTGCTGAGTGTTTAAACTCCCTGGGTGATTTGGAGAGAGCGGAGGAGGCATACAGTAAAGTTGTGGAGATGGCTCCCTCTCACATCGGAGCTAGGATGTCTCTGTCTACACTACAGCAACATCTGGGGAAGCATGAGGAGGCATTGAAAGCGCTGCACAGGGGTAAGAATATCATAAGGCTTGATTAGCACAAATACAAAATAAGAAGCCAGCAAAAGAGGTGTATAGGATTTTGATACAGTAAATAATAATGTATTATATGCAATTTAATTATACTCTGCTTTTTAAAATATACATATTGATATTTCATTCAAGATTAAAGTAGACAATGTATTCATTATAAGCTGTAATTATAAAACTGAGGTGATTTAATTCTCTGTTGCAGATGAATCAGATGCTTTATTAACCAAACAGGTACTGATTATCTTGATTTCTATCCTGAAGTTCAATATTTTAGCTAAAAGTTCAAGAAACTCCCAGACTTAGAAAAATTTTTATTGATTTTCAGGAAAAATCTTTACTGATGCATAAGTGTATGCTGTTGCATGCACAGGGAAAGTTTGATGAATTTCACCGTACTTGTAAATTGCTACTGTTTAACATGTTCAAGGATCTGAATGACCCAGATTTCATCAAAGGTATGAGCATATTTGTAGACAGGCAGAGGTGTTTATTTTTTCCAGGAAAAAATTTTATGTGTTTCCTCATTTTCAAGATTTGTACCAAGATACAGGTTTTCTTGCATGATTATTAGGCCCTTCAGAATACATTTTATCTAGCAGTTTTCTGTTGTAAATTTATATCTCATGAATTACTATTAGTTTGACCATGTTGAAAGTATTTTAAAACAGGGAAAGTGCATTATATAAATATTTTTAAAAAGTCATTTTTAGTAGTACTCTATTTTAAAACACTCATATTATGCATGTATTTGGTTAATTTTAGCTGTGTATTGTCGTGTGTCTAATAAAACCAGGAGGGAGATCCTAAACGACCATTTCAAACCAGGATTCAAAGGTAAATAAGAATTCTTTAAAAATGCTGTGGAACATGGGGTGTCCCTTGCTTTTTGATTGGATGCAATGTCACATCCAACAAGAAGTTTGTTTTATTTTTCCTTCAGTCTATAAATTAAATACAGTGGAGCCTCATTTATCCAGATGCTTTGGTTCCTAGTCAATTTGTCTAGATATGTGAAGCATCCGGATATCTGAATTACCAATTAAACAAGACAAAATAATGTTAAAAAATTACATTCCGATGAAAAATTGCCAGATACTGAAGCATCCGGATATCTGGCATATGAATATCTGAAGGTCCACTGTACTAAAAAAAATTTCAAACTATCCTGAAAATTTACCTAACTATAAAAAAGGACATTGCAATCCATATATTTTACTACATTAGGAATTACAAAGTCTTATAATGAATAAAATATTCTAATTTGTAATTAACTCGGTTTCAAAGAAACTATTCAAGATAGTGTTATCAAACTCAATATGCAGATACATACTGAATTGCATTTATTCAACTGCAACAACAATTTTTTTTTACCTTGACCTTTCCTTTGACCCTTACCTTAGAGAAGCGTTTAGCTCAGTTTTAAAGAAACCATTTGAGTCAATATTATGAAACTTTATTTGCTGACACATACTTTAGTAAGCTATACAACTGCATCAACATTTTCTTACCTTGACCTTTTCTTTGATTTTGACCTAACTTTTCTTAAATTAATGTTCAAGATATTTATCATACTTGATATGCTGATACATACATGTACTTGTATTAGTGAGAGCTATTCAACTGTATCTGAAACTTTTAATCTTGAGCTTTTCTATGATCTTGACCATACTTTTCTAAATTTTATATCTTGCTTACTTTCAAAGAAACCATTTAAGGTGTTCTTTCTGTAAGCTGATGCACGTATGCATGATTTGGTGAGATTTATCTTCTATTTTCAAATTGTTGGACTTTAAATTTTAAATTCAATTTGTAAGAAACTATTCAAGATACATATATTCCTATTAAACTTGATAAACTAATACATGTACAAATTGTCATGCTGCATTGCTGATATACTCTTGGTGGGGCATTAATGTCCGATGGACATATTTCTAGTTTTTTCAGAAAGTGTGAAGTCAGATATACCTATTGATGATCTATGGGATTTGTTTGTTAAGGTATGAAAATTAAGATGATCATACTTTTTTTTATCTTTTAATGTATACTGTATAAGTAAAACTTAATTGTGGGGATAAAATTTCATTGATTTGTCATCTAAAAAGGTTTTGTAGGAATCAAATTTCATTGTTTCAAATGAAACCCTATTCAATGCACTGAAATTTTGTGTTGGATTTAATTTTGTTCTTCAGTATGTTTTTGTGCATTGAAATTTTTAAATAATGAACAGATACATGTAGTTGTTAGTTTTTTTTCTCTGCAATACTTTTGGGATACATGTAAATGTGTTTATTAATTTATATTTGTTATTACAGCAAAACTCGTTTAGTACGAACACAGATATTGCGAATTTACGGATACAGCGAAGTCATCTTGGATCCCCAGCTACATAGATTTAATTACTTTCTTATATGGTTTTAACGAATTACGGATATAGCAAAGTAATTTCACAGGTCCCAGTGACTTCATTATAACCGAGTTTTACTGTAGTTATGTGAGATGTTTTTAAACAATAAGAAATACGAGGGTGTTTTATTTATATTTGTTGATAGTTGTGTGAGATGTTGTTAAACAGAAAGATGTATGAAGATCTTCTAGAAGTAACCAGTCTGGGAATGTCATGTCCGTACTTTATGTTTGAACCCAGGAAACTAAAGGTAAGCTGAAACCTACTCACATTATCAGTCCAGGGACGTAGCAACGGGGGGGGGGAGTATTGCCAACAATACTTTTACTATTTAAAATGTTCATTGAAAGGCTGGTTGCCCCCCCCCCCCCACTTTATACTAAAGGAAAGTAATATGAAGGAAATATAGTATTGTAAGCTTAAGAAATGGATATTGAAAGGAATTGGTAGTGAGAAAAGTTTGCCTCTACCTCCCACCTCCCTACTCACATTATAAGTCTAAAAGAAAACTAAAGGTAGCCTGAAATCTACTCACATTATCAGTCTAAAGGAAAACTAAAGGTAGCCTGAAATCTACTCACATTATATCAGTCTAAAGGAAAACTAAAGGTAACCTGAAATCTACTCACATTATCAGTCTAAAGGAAACTAAAGGTAACCTGAAATCTACTCACATTATCAGTCTTAAGGAAAACTAAAGGTATCCCGAAATCTACTCACATTATCAGTCTAAAGATACTAAAGGTAACCTGAAATCTACTCACATAATAAGTCTAAAGGAAAACCAGAGGTAACCTGAAATCTACTCACATTATAAATCTAAAGGAAAACTAAAAGTTACCTGAAATCTACTTAATCAGTCTAAAGGAAAACTAAAGGTATCCCGAAATCTACTCGCTTTATACCAGTCTAAAGGAAAACTAAAGGTAACCCGAAATCTACTCACATTATCAGTCTAAAGGAAACTAAAGGTAACCTGAAATCTGCTCAAATAACCAGTTTAAAGGAAAATTAAAGGTAACCTGAAATCTACTCACATCGTAAGTCTAAAGGATCCTTCTCTGCTAAACTCTTTTAACCCTGTTATTAATGATTAAGACACATTGTCGCATGCCATGGATTTAGCATTATTGCGATGATGATAAACACAAAACTTGGTATAAAGGCTGTCATGTTTCCTAAAGCAATACTAAAATTTTTTTACAAAAACCGTTGTGTATGCATCCAAGTTAAATATATGTTAATCATAAAGACTGAGGCATTTAAGCGTTTGATTAACTTCTTATCCCCCCTTCCCCCCAAATGTCAGACAGGGCTCTAAATAAATGTTCTTTTATTCTCTTTGGTAGCAAGCAGAGTTTATGTGTTTACTGGGATGTATACTCACACGAAATGAACACTTCGCCTTCAGCCATATGAGGGAAATTTGTATTAAGGTAAGAAAAAAAAGTATTTAGCTATGCTGTAACATTTTTTATGTTACCATATTTTGCGAGTAATTTATTTTTTTGTGTTATTTTGTAGGAAGGAAACAAGAATCAGGTGTGGAATCTACTCAATCAGGTTTTACTGATATCAACAGAGAGCAGACATAATCGCTTTTGTCTGCGATATCTTTTGAGTGTTAGTATTAAAATGTTCTTACTTTTAAATTTGCATTTTATACCTGAGTGTTTATAAGATGGCATGATTGAAGTCATGATTATAAAATAACATGATTACAGTCAAATGTGGGAATCTTAAACACCAGTACATGTATTTGAACAATGACAATTTTCAGATATGGTAGAGCTCTGAATTAGATCACTGAATAGATAAATGATTGTTTGCAGAATCCAGATCACATACCTGTTGAATTATTAAATGGCCATAATGCAGCAATATCAGGAACCTACAAATATGCTCTTGGTGAGTGAGAAATTTAATTTTCAAAGAAGATACACTTAGCTTGGGTGAATATGTAGTTATTGTCAAAAAATAATGACATCTAGAACATGTATTTCTTTTTCAAGGTAATTCTTATTTAACCCCGATTATGAAGTGAATCGTATCTTTTTGTATACAGCCTCATATTATTAAAAAAATGTAACACATTATAAATATTTCCAGGACCTTTTTCCTTATAAGAGAGTTTTACATTTACAATAAATTGCTTTGTATATTGATAGGATATGATTGATAGGCTGTACTCAGGAAAATCTAGAAAAGTAAATAGTGTACTGTACATACTGTAAAATCACATATTTCTGTGGGGTCAAATTTACAGGGTTTGATTAAAAAACTTTGTGGGGATTTGAATTCATGGAGAAAGAATTATTGAGTATTTATGTATTTAATAGTTTACATTCCATGGTGGACATGAATTCGTGGGTCTCTTCATACCTCGAAAATAACAAAAATTAAACCCCCATGAAAATTTGTGATTTCAAAGTAATTTAAATTATTCAAAATTTAGCACAGTAACTTTGTGGTGTTAGGAATAAACATATATTAGGGATACAGATGTTTTGTGTTGTAAAATGTTCTCGTTTATGATTGATTATTGGCATTTGTGGTGTAGAGCATCTTTCTTTTGCTGTGCCAGAGGTGCTAAAATAAGCCCACTTTTTACAGTACCATGGCACAGATACAATGCCCTGTGATATTACCATACTGTTGTACTGACTTTTCCAGGAGAGTACGTGGCTGTACTAAGGAACTGTCCCGATGACCCCCTGGTGAACCTCCTTATAGGGCTGACATTTATTCACCTGGCAGGACAAAAATTCTCCTCTAAAAAGCATTCCCTGCTTACTCAGGTAGGTTCCTTTCCCTGTTATTTGCTCACAGTTTACAATTAACTTTTTATCCAGAATCATTTGACCCAAGTTTTTTTAACAAATTGGCACAAAGCATCCTTAAGGTCAAGATCTAGTAAATGTCTTTAGACTACCTTTTTGGTGCTAGATCCATTATGACGTCATAATCACTTTCAACTTTCTTTTTCCCGTACTTTATGGCTCTAATAGTATTTTCAATGAATTCAATTTGATATTTCTTGAAAATTAGTCCCGATACCTATATTAAAATTGACATTATTTTAAAGAAGAGTCCAAGAACATACGAATTACCGTTTTCTGAGATATTGTAGGCTATCTGGATACATTTTCTTTGTCTGATATGGAAAAAAGTCCCATATTCATGACTGGATTTCTTAATTTTTCATTGAAAATGACAGTTTAAAATATGATTTTTCATCTTGTTTACTTACAAATTATGCCCCGAAACACCTTATTTGACCAAGCTTAACTTATAAAGCATCATTAAAGGAATTTATTTCTCAAATTTCAGAAATCTGTAGGCACCTTTCATTTACTAGATCTTGACCTTAAGTAGACCTTAAATTATGTATTCCACCTATGATACTTGAAAAAAAATCTCAAGTTCTTTTCCCACTGGCAAATAACAATAGATACAGTGTATTTTGATAGTTCATTTGTTTTTACAAAATCCATAAAAAAAATTCTTTTTAAGAAAATCAATTCTTTTACAATAGAATTGTTAACATCTATGTATAATCCGGAACAAAAGGCTAGAGTAGGGCCAATGTAGTTTACCTTCAGTATATATTTGAACTTGTAAGTAAGAAATTTCAAAAAGAGTTACTTTTAAAATATTCTTCTCTTGAACAAAAATGTAAGAAATTTTTAATTATAAATATATGCAGGTTTAAATTTTGATTAAGTAAGGGTTCAGGCACATGGACCATTAGCAGATATGACTATGGTAACAACATTTATACAGACCATTTATAAGTTGTGATAACTAACTAGTGTGTATTGTATACCTGTATTTGTAGGGCCTTTCCTTTCTTAACAGTTACAAAGAGCTGAGAGGAGAGTGCCAGGAGACTTACTATAACATTGGAAGAGCTCTACATCAGCTGGGTAGGGAAATTAAATGTTAGGCAAAAAGGCATATATCTTTTAAAGACAGAGAAATTGAAGTAAATATTATAAAATAAAAAAAAAATTATAACAAATTTTCCAAGGAAAATAAGGAAAGGAATTCATTAAATCTTCAATTATTTAAAGAAGAAAAGGAGGTTTTTTTGTGTGCCTTTTGACCGATTCTGACACTGTGAATTGTATACAATGTAAAGGGTGAAGATAAGCAATGACGTAAGCCACATAGGGATTAGCTCATTACTCCACAACTCTAGAGCAGACCCGCGAACCAATGAGCCATACAGGCGACTCACTCTGCAGTCAAATTTGGTATTACATGTAAAACAAAGGCCTACAACTGATATGAAATGAGTCGGCCAAAATATGGCCAAATGCTAGATTATATGTGTTAACAAGGTTATTATAATCGCTGTGGAATTTATGAATTGCAGATTTTAAATGGGCTAATTTCCTCTATCATCAACTTCTCTGTCAATAGCCTGCCTCGCTTTAAAAACTGATTGTTCTTTGTGCATGCTTTGAGTTTTGAATAAGTTTAGAGACATTAACACCATATGCAGGTGATTGCTGGATATTAAAATAAGAAATGTTGACTAACATATATAGTGCTGACCCTTTGGCATCTTTAATTTCAAGTTCACTGGAATATATCAAATCAATAATGCATGAAAGGAACTACAATCAAGCCAGCTTTATAATATTTTTATGGCGTCGAGCGAAGCTCGATCGTTATCGAGTGATCAGTCAGATTTACGCGACCAAATGTGTCAGTGGATGCATCCGCAATAGAAAATAGCAACAGCTGTAAATCAGTTTCTTTTAAAACGCTCACAATGAATAATAGCTTGAATATAAAATTAAATCAATTGTATCTTCAATTAATTTTACTACAAAACAACGATATTATGTTTTATTTTTACGCAAGAAAACGTTATGGTTGTTGTGGATGAATTTCTACAGAGAGGGTGTGTCAAACGACATGAATAACATTTTGGGACTGATTACTTTAATACGAACAACCTTAAAGACGGTGAAATAATTACAAAATAAACATGAATACTATAAGACTATAAAGATTGAATTTCTTAATCTTAGCTTTACTTTTACAATCTTCAATCCGATTTTATCCGAACAACCGATGATATTGACCAGTATTACTGTATTTATCCATTTCCTCCATTTATTTACCGCGCCCTATCGTAAGTCGATCGTACTTGTAACAGTAAAGTCATGGTTGTAGTTTAGATGCAATCACTATACTGCAGAACAACGCTCTGACAATGGCAATAAGAAAGAATAACATATAAATTTATTTTAAAACCCTTCATTGGTCTTCGATTGACTGAAAAGAAATCAGATTGATATATTGAGCATGAATATTTCTGACGATGTCTGGTCAATTCGAACCCTGCTTCATTCGGACCAGGACATAAGGCCTTGCACTGTATTTGTGTTAAGACAATTTTTAATTTCATTATTATGTTACTGGAGTCACTCACTTGACCTGTCTTTAGATCTTTTGAAATTGTTTTCCTTGTTCGACGCCATTGAAGCCTTTCAGGCTTTTGATTTATTCCTGTAGGACTGACCTATGCAGCTGTACATTACTACAAGAAAGGTCTAACATTTCCCCCCATTGTGGAAGATGAGCAGGTCTGTAATAATACTATACAGAAATTAGTTCAAATTACCTAGGAATCTTATCATAAAAAATAATATAATTATTTTTACATCAGAAATTACATAGCAATCTTTACATCAGTCATTTGATGTACCGGTAGGTGGAGATTATTTTTGTCTATAATTTACATTTAAACATTTAAAACTTAATTCTAATTCTCAGTGAGATAAGTATATCATTAAATCTATCTTGATTTAACAGAATCGGTTTGACCTAACCCGACAGCTGGCCTATAACTTAATGGTGATCTACAAAACGAGCGGGTCAGAAGCTCTGGCCAGACAGGTGATGCACCAGTACCTAGTCATCTGAGGTAAGAAGAAAAGGAATTTAGGTAAAAAGACATCAAATCAGGGGGGAGAGATTCGCAGATGCTTTAAATTTACATAGACTTTACATAGACTTTAAAACTGCATTGATACGATCGTAACATACATTAAGAATTTCAGCCACCGTCATCTTGAAATAAAAGTTATAAACTATACTGTAAATCACTTTTTATTCGTGAGAACTTTATTTTCGCGTAATTACGTGAGACAGTGTGTGCTCTCGCGTGAAAAGTACAGTGGACCTTCAGATATCGCATATCAATAGTATTCCTTTATCAGAACGAAATTTTTAAAATGTTATTCTGAACTGCAATAACCACAATTCGTGAAAATTATGTATTCCTTTAAGATAATGTAGAGCAATAACCACAATTCGTGAAAATTATGTCTCGCTAATCAAGAGTCAATGACTATCTCGCGAAAATAAGGTGTCGCGAAAATATAGTGATCTACAGTATGTAAAGAAATGTTGGTCTGTGTGCAGTAATTTGTTTAGTTGAAGATGCTTAATTGATGTTTTAACTGTGTGTTTACAGTGAAAGGACAGTGGTATTTTTGGAAACACAGCAAGTTAACACATCATCCATTTAAATGGGTCCTTCAAACAGCATCGTTACAAGCAGTGAAGTAGAAATCTTCAGTTATGGAACTTAATTGTAAAAATGTTGAGATGCAAACTTGCATAACGTCAGTTAATTCTGACTGGATGAGCACAGACATTGACTTCACTGTGTGTGTGCATGGAAAATGTGATATTGACAGGGAAAGTGACATGGATACTTTCCAGGAAACCTTGGACATATTATCTGTATGTTCATCAGTGTTTTATGTCATTGAGTAACCATAGAAATCTCTGCTGTATCTGACTTGAATTCCTTATTTAGGAAACTTGACAAGTTACAGTGTACAGAGAAAAGAAGAGGGACGGTGTTCCTAATTTAGTAACAGCCCTCCCCCGGCCATTAATGAATTGATTGATAAAAAATATTTATAGAAATCTGATTGGAAGCTTCTTTTATGTTATGACATTACCGTTATCAAATGTGGAACATACTGAAGAAATAGGGGTTGTCTAATAAAATCTACAAGCACAAGCTTCTGTATTTGTCTTTTTAATTTGGGCAATTTTAGTTTTGTGCAAGTTAAGTATAGTGTTTTTATATGCAGTGTAACTTCAAATCTGGCGAAATAATAAAAAAACATTTTCACAAAATATGGTAAATTGAATGCAGAAATGAAATGGTGGGATTATCACATTCAGTTCCCTTATCAAGCTTCTACAAAAACGGACAGAAATGCAAATGAACCATTCATTATTTCAGAAGTAGCTTTATCTAAGAAAGACCATAAAAAATAGCTTTCTAGTTAATGACTTTTTGATAGACAGGCAGATATTACGTTTTGAAGCACAGGAAATTTTTATGACAGAGGTATTTGTTTTCTGAGTGAGCGTAACAGCCGATAAAAATTGCTTCTAATTTGGGTTTAAACGAAAGCATTTAAAATCAATGGATTAGACTAGAGTGAAATAACTATAACAGTTGCATGATTCCATAAGGCTTGTTTTTAGTTCTTCCAACAAAACAAGAACATTTTCGGTCGAAGAAAGTTGGTTTCAACTTATATTTGTTTAAATCAATATCATATTTAATTACGGAATAAAATATTTACAAATTATAAAATGAGAACAAGGAGAAGTAAAACAACTGATATAAAAAACGTATAGGAAAGACCATGAAGTGTAATTCGTGAAAATCTCTTCATCAGTTCATGTGAAATTCATCGCACCTTAACGTTATATACTACTAGTATATGGATTTAAACCTTAGTCCTCTTCTCCAATATTTGGGAGCTATTTTGTACAGAGTTTCCAGTTTTAACGGTCATAGTTACATACTGACGTTTTAAATTTTATGTTGATTTTTATTATTTAAAAGGGCAGTGGTTTCATCTTTTCATTACAGATTCTTTGAATTCTTTTAATACTGCAATTTTTGTTTTATTTTTCCTCGAGGACAAATATAATTAAAATCCCTGATTTATTGATATCAGACAAGCATACAGAAGTGTAGGGAATTTTGATCTTACCCCCCCCCCCCCCCTTTTGATTAGTTATGCATGCCATAAAGCAAAACTATGAATTGTTTGTGAATGAATCGTCAGAGGTCCATCGATTGAACTTTTTTTGGGATCTATAAATTGTCTCTTTACGACAGACATTTCGAGCAGAGAATGTACTTTAAGAGAAAGTTCGATTTAAAGACGAACACTTCTGGGATGACGTAGTTGCTTTCATAGATTCTACTGATAATCTCAATGCATTACTCAGTATATTAATCTATGTACTCTACTCCACTACTTGCCTACTGAGCAAGAGTTTATTAATGGGAGGCGAGAAAAGAAACAGCGCTGAACACTAAAGGGGAAACTAAAAGTCGCTAATGGGCTAGACACTATAACTTCAAAATCACGTTCGATATATAATACTTGTTGATGCCAGCTCGCAAACGCTGGAGCGAACGTTTTGTTCTCGGTTGTATAACGCGAAAGTGTGAGAACCACGGGTTTTGAAGCGCATGGATGATGAATTGGTATCGCAATTAATTAGGAAATGCCCTGAATCGATTAGCTAAATAATCGCCGGATACATAGCTTTCCCATGGGTTAGGATACGGCTTGTGATCGCTGTTCTTTTTAGTAAGTTAGATTTAGTGCTTTAATTTGTTCTTCTAAATACGCATGAAGTTTGTATTGAATACAATGTAGACTAAAAATCATTAGATTTAAATTTAATAAAATTTAAATTTCTTAGAAATATCCCTGTTTAAATCCACCAGATTTTAACTGTTTGGAACAGATACTTAAAATTTCCTGTACGGAAAATAAAAAAGATGATATCAGCGTCGGAGAAGGAAAATTTTCCTTGTTTATTACCAAGAGACGGCGACCAAAACCCACAAAAACTTTAAAATTAAATATTCAGTCTGTTAAATAGCCTGCGATTTAATATTTTGTTGAAAATCTGTTTTAAGGTATGCAGTGATCTGGACCAGATTGGAATCTCGATACACTTTTTGGATGAGTTGAACATCTATCTGTCAAATCAATATTGACAAGAATTCTTCTACAGGACTTCATCTCAAAACAAGTCTTCAAGATGAGGAAATCCAATTCATTTCCGAGACAGTGAAAGCAACAAGTGGCAGCATGTTGGCGCTCAATACCAGCGACCCCAATAGTAATGTGACTCCGTTTAGTGATATGTCTGTGACGTCACAAGAAACGAACAGTGTGGCGGATCTAGAGCCAATGAAAAATGACAAAGAAGCTTTATTTTATATCATAACGGTTTTGATGTTTTATGCTGTAAGTATTGTAATTCTGATGGTGAAGTATTTACGAAGGGAGAAACAGGAAGCGGAATTTACGAACTATTATTTTGAATATGTTTCACGTGACAAGTTCCAGGATCCTCTTTATCAAAATTCCGTCAATGTACAGAGAACAATGAAAACCGTCAGTGGTAAGAGAGGTAAAATTGTTCCTAGGGAAGACGTATTATACCGACAGTTGGCGTTTTCAGAAACCTGTGTATGAACAGTCTCTGTAGTGAGCTGTGTCACTCTCCACACAGAAAGACGAAGGAAAGAAGGGTTACCACTTTTGCATCTAGTTAGTGTCACAAATATTACTCAATGTATTTCAGAATTTTTCTCCCAGAAAACTTTTGATGAGTACTTTTTAAAGAATGTTAGACGATTTGTACATATTAAGAGAAAAAAATGAGAAAAAAACGTTTAAGATCGTGTTTAAATGAAATTCTTTTCTTTGTTGATTAATTATTTTGATATACTAAAAATAGAAATTTCTGTGAAATTCCTTTAAAATGCTACTCCTCCTACAGTTTTGGTCTGATGCCAATGGCCTTTTCTAATCCTTTGTTATAAGTACAAACCAGTAAAGCTACTGTCTCTACAGAGACTTCTGGTTCTTCCTTTCATTTGGTACCAATAATATTGACCCTTTTACCTTGTCCTTGAAGTTTGATCTTTTTTAAAACCCTAACGTTGCTTGGTTATGACTTTTGAACGGTTGGTGCTAAGGCTTTCATACTTTTAAAGCATTTTAAAGACAATGTCAGAGACAAGAAGAGCTTATGCGATAGTAAGGTGTTCGTCGTCCGTACGTCTGTCTAGCTGTCTGTCCGTCTGTCAACAATTTTTCAAAATGTTACAACTCCTACAGTTTTGGTCTGATTTCAATAAAACTTAGCACACAAGTAGACTAAACTAAGATACACAATTTAGTGCATCGGTTTTTGATTTCGATGAACAGTGTTGCCATGAATACTAAAAATATAAATTTTTGTGAATTTCCTTTAAAACGCTACTCATCGTACAGTTTTGGTTTGATAACTCCATAAAAGCTCCATAACTTGAAACGGTTGTTTCTAGGAATTTTGTATTTCACAGAAGTATTCCTTGTGTAAAGATGTTTCATTGGGTACAATATATAGTCAATACTAGTAGTCACAAATAAAGTCTTAGAAAATAACAATATAAGGCATAAGACTCATTTTCTAGAGTCTAATCTGAGAACCCTGGTTTGTTTCCTCAATGATATAGGGTGTTTGGATTTTTCTCTCAAGTGTCAGAACACTTTACTGTCAGGACCTGCAGCCGAAGGTCAACGTTCGTGCCTTGTTTGTCATACAGTAATCCCATTACTTACGACGAAACACATGCATCGACAGAAGAAAAATACATCTAGAGTATTCCTAATGTACATAATTCATGACTTTAAAATGGAGTGCTGGTTTGACAATATTTGTAACTACTATTTTTAAATCTTGATATACAAATTAACATGATTTTCCATGCAAAACAAGTATATTATATAGTTTCTGTAACTTTATTTCACTGAGTCATTTACTATTGCATCAACAGCTGAATGGTCTTCTTAAAATCACTACATTCCATTTTTCTCTCCAGTCAACCTCCCTAAAAGTCTGTGTTTATTACGCAGAAATAAAATAACTCGACACCCTGACAGCGGCCATTCTGTGAAAACAACTTTGCCAAACAGTTTAATTAAGTTCTGGACTGGAAAGATAAAGTTGATTTTGTATATTGTAGGAGAAAATGTGCTAAAAAGGGATATTGAATCATGTACTTTGTGAGAAAAATATTCATTTTCCCCTACTGTTTAAGGTTTTTGGTTTTCTAGTTTTCTTATAAACAGAGAGAGAGAGAGAGAATAATCTAAGAGAAAGTCGATTTTCGGAGACAAGTTTGCGTTTGTTTGATCAATAACCAAATAAACCCCCAGTTTGTCCATGATTTAAACGACAAAATAAGAGTCTTTTGCCATGCCATATACAAGTTCTTCCATCATATATACGACGAAGCATGCATGGTATTCAATGACTGGTGTATTTGCTTATGTAAAGAAAGATGCGTCATGTTAATCGATTATAAACGGAAAACGAAAGAAAGACAATTTCCCTCAATAGCAATCAAATTTTCATACTGGAAGGATGCTATTATATTTTTTTTTATCTCATGTAAATTAGATTAAAGTTTTTACATTGACGCAAACCTGCCATGCGAACAAATTAAAAGACATTAACAAGATGTGTTTGTGGAACACTGATGCCCCCCGTATTGCAGCTTATGGTTTATACTTCACGTTTATACTTCAGATGTCAAACTCCAAAGGTCAAGGTCTTGTCACAAGGAACATACCTGCATGTGAAATAGGAAAGCCCTAGTATTAACTGTCCAAAACTTAATTGTTACCATGGTTATATATATTTTTTTAAATGGGTCAAACTTTGAGGTCAAGGTCAAAAATATACCCATGGAAAGGTCTTGTCACAATGAATACACATGTGGAGTATGAAAGCCGGCCATAGCACCAATTGTTCAAACGTTATGACCAAGGCTTAAGTATGGTAATTTTTTGTATTATCTCCGAGAACCCAAGCTCAATCAACTGACTCCAAGCTCAAGAGGTCAAATTCGGTGGTACCCAAGAAAAGTCTTGTCACAAAAAATACACAAGTGAGATATGAAAGCCATAAACCCACCAATCAAAAGTTATCGTGGACAAGGTGAAAGTTTTTTTTGTGGACAAACAGACAGACGGATAGGGCAAAAATATACACTGTACCTCCGAAACTTCGAATAAGGGGGCATAAAAATGTTTTAAAGCTTTTGGTTCTATGGAAACCAATTTTGATGCAGTTTGAATACAATGCATATTATAAACATGCAGAGAACTCTCATTCGTAAAATTATTTACATCTTATTATTTTGATTGTCATGTAACGATCATTAATTGATACAAAATATATTCAATAAAGGGCCTAAAATCAAGATTTGAAGCACACTTTTAGCCGTTAATTAACATGGTGAAGACATTTTCTACACAACGAACATTTCATATATGCAATAATTGCATCTCGCCCCCTGACACCGAAAGCGAGGAACCACTTCTCTGAATTTGCTTGTTCAATCTGATCTTCATCTTCATAAAAGGAAAATTTTACTGTCAGACTCTTTACCGCAGATTGTTCTGCCGGTTGTCTAGTTCATGCATCTTTTTTTGTCGCAATACGAGTCTTAATGCTTCCTTAAAAAGTAGTTTATAAACTAGTTTGTCGGACTTAGATACACTTCGGTCTCAAAACCGTGAGAAATAGTTTGAAGGCTACAGCTAGAGTGATTCTGTTAAGGTTGATTGGCCATATGATATCCATGGAAGTTGTATTGATACGGTAGCTCTGGTTTCATCAGGCAGTAGTGAATATTACAATTTAAGTTCATTTGAAAGAATTACTAATATATTAAGTAGTAGTACCCCTCTCACAAAAAGACAAACTGTAGGGATTATAGGGATATTTCAAAAAGGATATGGATTTTGTAGGTAATGCAAATAAAACATGGCCGCTTGAAGGTTTAAAAAGATAACCTATACCTGAAATCAGACTATGCCATTATCAACAGCTGAATAATTAAAACCATTCTCTTCTGCTTCCATATGGGCAAACTTAAAAAAACGAGCGATGTTTGTAAAACACTTATGCTCCCCTCCCCCAAATGATTGGAAGTCCAAGGAGCATAACTCTATCCAAAATGACCCGATCGTACCAAAAACAAAATTTGACCTAATTATTCTAATGATAAATCTGTATACCAAATTTCATTTTAATATGTGCAACCTCTGCAAAGAAAATGAACCGAAACTGCAAATAATTGGAATTCTTTTTAAGTACAAGGGGGCATAACTCTGGCCATAATGGCCTGATTGCACCCACAATAACAGTTGACCTAGATATTCTTACAATAAATCTGTATACCAAATTTTATTTCAATATGTGCAACCTCTGCGAAGAAAATTAACGGAAACTGATAGTGGACTGTCAGACAGACCAACAGCAGCAAAGCAATATGCCCTCCCTCCTTCGAAGCGGGCATAGAAATCATTCAAAAATTAAAGTTAATAAAATCAAAAACAATAATCAATAAATAGCTTGTTATACATTTTATTTTACAAATTTAATTTTATTCATGATATGATAACATTTACAACGATGAAAAGATGTTTAATTTATAAGAAACGTACAACACAAACACAAATCACTGCATGGAATTCCCTCGTCATGTGTGAAATGCAGTGATTTGTGCTGCACATAAAAAACACCATCATGTAAAAGAAATTGCTAAAAAATTATCTTCGAGTAACAAGTTTAAAAGAGAAAAAAAAAATGTTCACTTATTTAGATGTTCTAAGAGTTATTTATTACGATATTTTTACCCCCAGGAACTTTATACATTTTCTAAATAATAAAAGAAGTTTTCCTGGTAATTAATACCAAAGCACCAGAAAGCATTAACCAGAAGAAAAACAAATTTTGGTGCCTAAAATAAATTCTATAAATAAAACAAAGTATTTGAATTGTATTATACCATATCCTTATTAAAATATCAATTTTATACCATCATTATATTAATTTCCTTCTACACCATCATTCACAGAAGCATCGAGAAAGAAGAATGTAACATGTTATATGAGATTTTTAAACCTCAAAAGATACACACACAAGCATACCTGAACAATTTCAACATTAAAAATTTCTCTTATTTACTCATTAAATCCATCTACATGTAAACCAATCATTCTCAGTATACATAATGATTTAAAAAAAGTATTCTGAAGGGACCTAACAGAATACAGACTTGTGATGACCTGTCGCCATATTTGATCAACAGAAATTTATAACTGCTGAGGCTGATGAGGGAATTTTGGATTGTATCCAGAAATCACAGATGTACGGAGACCACGGAAAGCCATATACAGCCAGTTAGCTCCCCTGAATCAAACTCACACACACCCTGCTGCCATTGTTTGTGTAAAAATTGCAGATCAGAAAAAATGGTCACGAAATCATCTACAAACAAGAACAGGTAACATTTTGACCACAATAATATGGCAATGTAAATACCAGAACTTGTAAATGAGTTTTAAAGTCTATGACATACATGTACAAGAGATGAAATTCTGCAGAGTTTACATCTTTCCAAGTCTTAAATAGAGTTGCTTATAAGTAATAATTCATATTTTTAAAAGTTCTGTCAAAAATAGAATAGCAATGAAGTATGAAGAGTATGTGGAAATAAAATGTGTCAATAACAAACCTCTCGAACTGTTTCCTTGATGAAATCTTTACGATCTGACAGATCAAATGTAGGGTACCTAGCATATACCTAAAATGGAGTAAAAATATTAACTCACAACTAAACAATAAAATAAGACCTTTATATGTGAAGATTATGCAGTAATGTGGACCAGTGAATCCATGTACAATTAATTCAAGTTACACTTTATAACAGAATCAAAGAAAATACAAGGGCTGGGACGATACAACTTTTTCTTTATTGATACGTTATCATGATGTTTGAGCCACGATATGATATGTTTACCGGGTAATTGGTTATAAAATCTTTTTTTGCATTGAAACAAAATATTTTTTTGCAAATACGAATAATATGTTCAAAATAGTTGTTTATATTTTTGTAAAACTAAAATATTTTACTCAAGTGGTGTTACTTATTATTTATTTCATATCTATTCTTATATTTAGCTTATTTATTTTATATCCCAAATTTAAATAAACAAAGAAAAACAGAAGTAATAATTTTTTTTGCGATATTTCGATTTTTCTTCATATGTTTCAATATGTTTATCATCCTCACACAGAACTGATTTCTCAGTATATCGTCCCAGCCCTAGAAGATACATAAAAATAATTGAACACTGGCCAGCTACTTAATAGATATTGAAATTTCGGTGAAAAAAAATCTAAGTCAACGAGTCATGTGAAATATGTTTCTGTAAAATCAGATCTATGAGATCCAAGTCACACAGACATTTTCAATTTTAACAGTGTTATATTTAATATTCAGAATGCTTTGGTTCAATGTACATTTCATCTGCCATTGGCATTTACTGTGATCAAAATTATATGATAGGTGGTTTAATAATTTAATCCTTGTATCTGCAATTCATCATAATCTTGAAAGAAACCATTTCTATCAGCATCCAATGACAGAGTCAGTGTAAATGAAGTTTTGTCCCCTTACTTGTTTGACCACAGTCTTCATGGTGACTTCCTCTAAGTTGGCTTTGTCAAGAATCTTTTTTATTAGCCCCTTCAATTCTTTATCCTGCAATGAATGTATTGAGCAAATTATAAACAAAGTACCATCTCCATCACATGAAGCTTAAATTAATTGCATTAATAAGTAAATTTTACATTATATGTTGTGAAAGCTATGAACTAGAATGAGAAATGGAGAAGACATGCTTATAGTGAAGTACCAGTAACAATTTTGATTTGGAATAAACATATCTTGTTATAAGCATCTAGTTCATATTATTTTTTTTTTTTTACCACAATGAATGAAATAGTTTGCTTTAAGCTTGAATTCATAATAATTCACAGTATTTTACTGTGCATTACTAACAAAATAAAATCTCATTATGTGAAGCCCAAATTAATTTTACTAGTATAAAGTAAATGTTCCCTAATCCGATGTAAGATCTGAGGCTATAACAAGAAATACTGGACATACTGTAGGAGGCTGAGGCTCCTTTTTCTTGACGAGGGGTTCTTCATCTGAATCATCATCATCACTGTCCTCCTCTGATGATTCTGTGTAAATGAAAAAAAGGAAAAAAGAAATCAAGACAACTCATGTTACAGTTGGAAAAAGGAATTCTTGTAAGTTTTTCTATGAACAATCTGACATACCAGCCTTCTTGGGGGAAACTTTCTTCTCTTTCTTTGCCTCTTTCTTGGGTGTAGCCTTCTTAGCAGCTGGTTTTTTGGGAGTTTCTGTCTTCTTTTTCTTGGCAGGTGGGGTCTGAAATTATTTTTCAGTAATAATAAAGTAAAATTCAAAATTGCTGCCATTTCTTTTTCTCCTAATTGATGACAGAATTCCATTAATTCTATTTATTAGAAATACAGCAGACGAAGCAACATAAGGAATATAATTTTTTCTTCACTATAAATATTTTCCATCCTCATTCTATAGTACCTCTTCTTCCTCCTCCTCTGACGATGAGGCTGATTCCGACTCCTCTTTGCTCTCATTTTCCGACTCCTCTTCACTTTCCGAGACCTCAGCATCAGAGGAGGACTTCTTCTTTTTAGCTGCAGGTTTGGTTTTCTTTTCCTTTTTGACAGTTTTCTTTTTACCCTCTGCCTTGCCACCTGATTTTGATTTCCCTGCGCATGAAAATTTACCTTAATCAATATATTACTTTTTTGCTTTTTTGTTAAATTCTGCATGTGTGATTTTCCCCTATTTTATATGCAGGTGGTTTCAGTATAAAGATAAACACATATCATACTTTTTCGCTTTTTTGAGGCAGGGATGCCTTTTCCAGAGTCTTTTGGACACAAACAGAAATCTATTATTCTTTCAGCTATTTCATCTCGCACTCCTTTCCTTTCCAAGTCTAAAATTTCACACATTTTCTTAAGAACCGCCACAGTTTGTCTATAAACAGAAAACACAGATATAAAAAAATCAAAGTTTTTTTTTATATAAACATTATACAAGAAAGTCTAAGTTGGATTCTGCAATCTTTAGTAGTGTTTCACCACAAGTTAGACTTTTTCATGTCATATTCTGTAAATCACTTTGTATTTCACGAGTCTGTCTGCTTGCGAAAATTACATTCTTGCACATATTTGTATTAAGGATACACCAAAGGCTTTTTTCAAGATTTTTGTCAATTTTGAGATTTTTTGATAAGAAAACAATGCTAATCACTGCTTTATAATGCATGAAAAATTATTGCTGAAAAATTTTTCTAATTATTTAACATAATCAAACATAAACACCAACACATACTGTAAAAGGAGCAATTGTGAGCCACACAGAGATTATGCAGTAATTAAACTACAGGGACTCTAGATTTAGTGTTTAATGACATAAAATTGAGGGTGGAGCCACAAATCTTTCTGATTCAGAATTGAATCTTTTTATGTCAAAAATGTATAGGAAATATTAAGTGTATTTAACTCCAAGAATTTGTTGTGTAATGGGTTTTTGCCTCTACTGTAAAGTAAGATCAGACAGTTGGTGGTATTATTTCAAAGGATTCATATTTATTGTTTCTCTGAAAACTGGCCAGAATGTGTCTCAAATGTGTGTTCACAAAACCGTATCTCAGATTTTTGATATCTTGCTCAGTTCTTGAATTATTGGGGGAAATGTAGAATTGGGCTTAAAAATTGGTAACATTTAAAGACAGATGGATGTAACTTTTGAAAATCAATCTTTAAAAATTTTGACTTTGAGAGGTGGAATACAAAAAAGTTGATTTATAAAATATAAATGCACTAATATTTACATTAAAATATGAATAATTGTTTAATAAGATAAAAATGAAAATTTAAAATAAGATCAATAAATAGTAAATTTAACAAGCTTTCAAATGATATATACTTTTAATATGTTATCTTTGTTAATGAATGAATTACAAGCAAATTAAATTTTGCCCCATGGAAACCTTTGGTGTATCCTTAATAAGGAGCATACAACTAAAATCAATCCTCAAAAATTCTGTGTATAAATACCAAATACCTGACTTGCGAAAATAAAGTGATCTACATATTTTTCTTTTACAAACTCAATATAAATGACCCCCTTTTATACTGTCCAACTATTACTTCCCTAATGTAAAAATTACCAACTCAACCATTATATTGACATGAACCTTATACCTCAGAGGTTACAAATAAAAACTTACTTCTTAAGATTTGCGAATTTCTTCTTGTATTCATCATCATTCTTATCAAAGGTAAATCCATTAAAAAGACGTAAATTCTTCCTAATAAGGGTTGCCTGCAATTTAAGTTGTAATTGCATTAAAATCAATATTTGCCAAGTAGTTTGCAAAGTGTACATTCAATCTCATCAAATTAAATGTAACTGAATACTTTTGTAAAATAATGAAACCAACATACTTTTCCAGTTCTGTTGAAACATAGCCTATGTAAAGCTTTTAAATCATCAACCTTTGCTTTTGAGATGTGAAACTCAACTGTAATAAAATTTATTGTAATAATGACAAATTGTATGGACATCAAGAAATTAGTTGTTAAAAGAAAGGGGAAAATAATCATTAAGATTGTACATAAGATATTCTCAGATTTCTAATTCAAACTTGATTGCTTTGAAGCTTTCTTATTTGTGACAGCTACTATTATTTTTGTAGTATTTGAAAATTTGACAGATATAATTATATTAACATACTTCGTGCACAATCTCCCAGCTTGTCTCCTGAGCCATCTCCCACCTCAAATTTCTTTGTTTCCTTTGGAGCAGGTTCCTGCATACTCAGTCGTTCAACTTTCTTTTTCTCTCTTCTTTTACCAGATTCAATGATCACAGGACGCTCTAGGAGACCAGCTGTAGAAAACAGAATGTATATATCAACAAAACATGCACATAATCAATTTAAAGAGAACAATCAAAGTCTGAATTGTAAGATTTGATAAATCTTGGAATAAAAGTCATAATTCAATCCTTTAAAACTTGTCTTTCACCCATACATCAGGTTTTTAGAAATTCGACGGAATATAAATCAGACTCAGTCTTACGCTGTAATTCTTCTTCTTCCTCCTCCTCCTCTTCATCACTCTCTGCTTCTTTCTTGTTTTCATTTGTTGACTTTTTAGGAGATGATTTCACTGGACTTTCCTCCTCTTCCTCAGATGACTCCTCTGTCTTTGGTGCATCTTGAACAGGTTCTTCATCTTCTTCCTATATAGTTAAGATTATATAGAACATGAACTGGTAAGATTGAAAATAAGCAGCTTATGTCCTTTCTTTCTGTTACAGCCAGGACATTTGATGATACAATAAAATGGGAGGGTACAATTTGACATGGTTTATCAGAACCCTTAATTCCAGTCTAAGATTCATTTTCTATCCACCTAAGCTATTTCAAGCTGCTCTATACTCCCCAAGGAGTGAACAGGATTAAGTCAAGTCAAGTTATTCAAATGCAAAATTTTATCCAAATATATATCCATTTCAATTTGTATTCTGAGTGAAGACATGGCGTGCATATTTCAAGCAAATTTTAAAATTACACATAAAACATAGGTAATCAGAGATTACAGAGCTCACCTCAACGAATGTTGTCTTTAAGTAAGGCAAATTAAGTCACACAATTAACCAACAAAATGTGTACATCCAAAAATGCAAAATTTATGCAATTTTGATACTTTGGAATAGACCTATATAAAAACTTAAAACTAGTTCTTCATCATGAAAATGTAATTAAAATCCAGCATCTGAAGCAAAATTGAGAGTTTTCATCCCTTGATGCATCATTTGTGCAACTTTGGTTTATATAAGCCTTATAGTTTCTTGGTGATAGACCTGCACCCATAACTTTTACGAGGTCTATTATCTGGAAAATGTATGTCAAATTCAGCATCTGAAGCAAGTCCATTAGTGTGCATCCTAAGATGTATCATCCATGCAAGTTTGTTCAACATAGAGCTCAAAGTTACTTGGAAATGAAACCTGTATAAAAAACTAACCTTTTCACTAATCCGGAAAATGTAGGTCAGATTCAGCTTCTGAAGCCAGCCTAGTAGAATGCACCCTTAGATGTACCATCCAGGCAAGTTTAGTCATTATAGGGTTCATACTACCTTGGAAATGAAACCTGCACCAAAAATTTTAACCTGTTCACTCAACCGGAAAATGTAGGTTAGATTCAGCATCCGAAGCAAGTCTTGTAATATGCATCCTAAGATGTACCATCCATGCAAGTTTGGTCATTATATGTCTAATAGTAACTTGGAAATGAAACCTGCACCAAAAACTTTAACCTGTTCACTCAACCGGAAAATGTAGGTCAGATTCAGCATCCGAAGCAAGACTGGTAGTATGCATCCTAAGATGTACCATCCATGCAAGTTTGGTCATTATATGTCTCATAGAAACTTGGAAATGAAACCTGCACCAAAAACTTTAACCTGTTCACTCAACCCGAAAATGTAGGTCAGATTCAGCATCCGAAGCAAGTCTAGTAGAATGCATCCTAAGATGTACCATCCACGCAAGTTTGGTCATTATAGGCCTCATAGTATCTTCGAAATGAAACCTGCACCAAAAACTTTAACCTGTTCACTCAACCGGAAAATGTAGGACAGATTCAGCATCTGAAGCAAGTCTGGTAGTATGCATCCTATGAGTACCATCCATGTAAGTTTGGTCAACATAGGGCTTATAGTTACTCGGAAATGAGACCTACACCAAAAACTGCACCAAAAATGTTAACCTGCACCAAAAACATTAACCTGGTCATTCCTTTGCTGAAATTGCAGCATCTGAAACTTTGACTGGTACAATGAAACACATTAGAAACATCTTCCATGCATTTCTAATCAATATAGGACACAGAAGTACTTAAAAAGAAAACTGCTCCAAAAAACTTAACCTTAACCCGGGACGCCGACACCGACGCCGAGGGTATCACATAAGCTCCCCCCAACTTCGTTGAGGTGAGCTAAAAATGTGAACAATTATTCCAATATATTGATATCCATATTCATAAAAAAATTTCTTGATGATTGTACGGTTATTTTCGAAGCAGATTCATTTGCCTTCTCAGTACTGGAAAATGGTTTTGGGGCTATTCTACCATTCTAAGCTACATTGCTGTAATAGGAAGGCATTATTACAGTGGTGGGGCTTGAAAAGAACAAAACTGAATTATTTAAACTAACTTGCACCCGGGGTGGAGATAAAAGATAAGATCAAATTGTCGTGTCTTAAAATATGTAAATTGTAGCGTCTTGACGTTTTAGCAAATCGAAATGTGCATAAAACTAGAACATTATCATTTAAAAATACCATATCAATTCTTTTTTATCAAGCTTCAATTCAGTTTTTACAATAAACAGTAAACATCCACGAGGGAAAAAAATGTAAACAAGCACACAAAAACCAGAACAAGAAACTGGATGGATAACACAGCTTATTTTAAATTGCAAACAACTTCGCAAAAGCCAGGTTTCCTTTAGTTAAAAGAATATATTTACCATGTTTTCTACATTTGTTTCTTTGTCGTTTTCTGTGTCTGACATGATGCTTGTGGTTTAAATTTTCACAATGGCGGCAAAATGGCGCTTATCATCATTATCCAATCAAAATTGAGTTAACAAATATGACTAACCAAAAGGAGTATTCTAGCCACGACCTATCTAATATTTTTCTAAACTTGCATTTATTAAATATTGCTTTTATTTTTTGTCAGTTAGATTTTTTGAAAGAATCCGCACAATATAAATGATATTGTTATATGATATGATGATCTAATGAGATAAATTCGAAGTTTTAAAACAATTTATTAGATAAAGCGTTTGAACGACGCAGATCATTTTTGACAACTGAATGTCCACATTTTGCATTTGGGAAGCAGAAAATTCAAAATTGGCTGTAACTTGTAAACAACCATAATTTTAATGCCATTACTGCAATGCTTTACTTAGCAATGATGATGTAGGAGAACCTAATTATTTCTCTAAACAAAGAAAGCCATATGCTTGGATGAAGTAGCTACAAGACTGGACTGTGCTCTTACTGTTGAGAAGAATCAAATAAGGTAACAACAATTAGAAGGGGTATCTTAATCTTATATCATATATATAATTGTCAGACACTTATAACTGTAATAAAAGTTAACCCTATAGTTAACCTAAGAATTGTACCTCTCCGAAAATAATAACAGTGAGGGGAGTTACAGTTAGTGCCATCCTTAAAAAAATTTTATGCCCACCAAAATTTAAAATTGCATGTTCTTTGGAATATGAATTTAATTTTCAAATTTGTAACTGTTTATTTTAAATTTTCTTTCCAGGTTTGATCAACATGGCTGCTTACACAGCGGGGAATAATTCGGTGGATCTTGCTATAGACCCTCTTATTACCTGCCGCCTCTGTCTGATGGAGTGTCCACTGCAGGAAATGTATGAACTGAAGGACTGTAAATGTCTCTACTGTGAAAAGGTACACACTTCTGTCAGGCTGTCCTTGTAGAAAACAAAATCTACAGCATTATTGGAGAGTACCAATATATTTGAGTGAATCTTAACTTATCTGACTATTTTTCAGTGTGTGCGACAGTATCTGCATGTGTTAATCACAGATGGCAGTATTCTAAAAATTACATGTCCAGATGCCAAGTGTAAAAAACAGGGAAGGATAGAAGCTCCTGAGGTTATATTTATAATCTTACAAATCATCTGTATGATACATCTGATAAAGAAAAGGGCTCAGATGACTTTCTCATACATAATACCGTATAACGGGTATTTTTTACGTGCTGCTAATTTTTACGAGTTTTATAAATCTGTAAAATTTAAACGCGTAAAATTTCACACAATTTATAAAACGGCTCGTGTAAATTTTCAACATCGTATGTGTAAAAGTAATGCTAATTGTCATTAAACTCACTCCCTGGAGGCTATATAATTAGTGTTTTTTGGTATTTTTAGCACTTTTAAGTCAATCATCAATTGGGATCATACAGATAAATCTCAGTTAATATGTATGAATTAGGCCCCTATACAAACATAGTCAATTAATTAATCAGTTAGCCCTACCTGGTTACTCTTTCTTAAGTATTTTTACGAGACATAACTTCTGATAATGACATAATAATTACAGGTCTTCTAATTATACCCGTGTTTTCAATCTTTGACACTTCCTTATGTTTCAGTTGCTTTGAATAAAACTTTGGCTTCTTAAAAAAATGTACATGTATATACTTTCACTTCACTTATGCTAGTTTGAGTTGTCTCTTTGTTTTCGGTAAATATACCAGACGAGCAAGTGGTGTGCCTAGCTATGTGTTTTATAAAACATGAATAAATGAAGGGTACATTGTTCATGTATATAAAGGTAAATGATAAAAACATTGATACATAATGTAATTTGTGGTATTGTTTTTATTGTTATGATTTGATCTCTCTTTCTCTCTCTCTCTCTCTCTCTCTCTCTCTGACATTGGGTTTTCGAACACATTATTTGTTCGTAAACACATTCAAAGTGCTAACGATCAGTGATCTGGAATTGAACATCTGATGATTTTAATTTTTACGGACATGTTCAATTCGTAAAAAATTAACGCGTAAAAATTTAAATCACCCTTTTTTGACCAAAATTCGTAAAAATTTACAGCAGTAAAAATTACCCGTTATACGGTATGTCAAAGTACAGTTTCTGTGATGCAGAGACATGTATATTTATTACCCTTTCAATATCAAATATGATCAAATTATCAGAAAAAAAGTTAATTTTGAATTAGAGCCTAAAATTAAAAAAAAATATCATACATAAATATGTAATATAAGCACTACAATGTATTTACACGTATATATCATGGTAACGCCCGTATCTTCTTAAGATATAAAAGTTAAAACTAAAGTAAAATCGAGTGCATTTTACAAATCTGAAGTAAAATCAAAAGTATTTATTGCAGAATGGATGTTATTTAAATTATGTTTTAAAAAAAAGCACAACAGAGAAAATATTTTATGTGAATTATGTCGTTTTGTTTTCAGATTGAATCACTTGTAGATGCACATTTATTTGAAAGATATCATAGGTTAAGACACCAAAAAGGTATGAAGTTAACACTGTAAACTCTGTTTCATTCCTCAAACTAGTAAAAATAAAAGTATGCTCATTTTGTGAACTATTTCTATTTAAGATTTTTAAGATAATGACATGTAAAAATCATTGTTTTTTTTAAATGTAATAAACTGTATGGATAATTACACCAGGATTTAGCAAAATTTGGACAGGCAAAATCTTTTTTTAAGGGTGGTTAGAGATAAAATCATTTAAAGTGCTGAAATGATTTGATCATTTGAGATATTGATGTTTGGTTTTTCCAGAGATAGAGTTGGACCCTAATCGTACATTCTGTCCAGAGGTGGGATGTGAGGTTAAATGAAAACACAAACTGTGTGTCTGTGTGTCATGTGTGTAGTACAGATTCAATTCTTTAACATGAAGGGGTTTCTATATAACAGTTGTCGTCGTTTCGTTTTTGAGTCTCTGGTTTCTGATCACACTTCACGTCGCTTGCATTACAGTCCTATTCCTGTTGACTGTCCTGAGGTAATTAGACTTTAAATATAAAAGACAGGGTTACAAAAGTTATTGTTAATTCTCCATATTGAAGAGCAAGACTAAAAAGTAATCTCTACCCAGCATTGTTGTTCCTGTGGTTAAATTTTGGTTGGTTTAATGGTATGAAGATACCCAAGAATTTAAACCAATGCTTTTTCCTCAAATCATGAAAATTTGAACAAATAAAAATATGCAGTTTAACAGTAAATCAGAAAGGGAAGATAGGGGTCATATAGAGAACTTTTTAACTGGTGTAACACAGATATAGAAGTTCAGATTCACAAAATGAAATATGATTGAGGCATACATAAATTGAATATTTTGATTTGGCTAATTTTGCTTCTAATGACATGAAACCTTCTTAGGGAGGTGTGAAAGCGTTGTTTATTATGTGTAATTGAAATGAGATAAATATGAAAATTTTGTCATAATATTTCGAGATGAATCTGTATTTGCAGTGTGGTCTCCAGTTTTGTTCAGTGTGTAAGGCAAAATGGCATGGAGCCATGACATGTGATGATGTAATGTTCAGTGGCAGGCGGGAAGATGCAGGGTACTACATCACTTTTCATTTTATTAATATGCTGTACTGCTTTTATATTCCATCCAATAACACAAACACATAATTATATACCGGTATATATTTTTAAAAATGAGTTGAATGTCTTTTCACCTTAACATTCTTTATATGTACTTTTTCCATTGGAAATTAATTGATGGCACATGTATATATGCTGTCAGTAATTCTTTAAGTGGAAATTTGTCAGAGCATGCTTAAAATGTTTACAGATTATCAATCAGAAATTGTGGCTCTATTTAACTTTGACTACATTAAAAAAGTACATTTACAATCATATGAAAATGTATTAATTATTTATTATGTAATGTGTAAGTACTGGTAAAAGGACAAATGCATGTAATAATAATTTGAAAATTGAATGCAGTTAACACACATAATAATTGTAAATTCTGAACTTTCTCTCAATGTAGCATTCCCTACCACAGCAGGGAAGATGCCTTGATAAAGCGCTGTCCAGTATGCCGCGTCCCAATAGAACGTAATGATGGCTGTGCCCAGATGATGTGTAAACGCTGTAAACATGTGTTTTGCTGGTATTGCTTGGCTTCATTGGACGTAAGCATTTTTCATTCTCCAATCAGAAGGAATAGCAAACTGGGCACTGATAAATCAGAAGCAAAGTGGGCACTGATAAAAAAAGAAAACACTAAATTGTTTTATATCAGTGTTGGTATTAGGTGCATTGATTTGTTGTACACCAAACTAAACCAATTTTTTTTTTGGCAGCATGACTTTCTTCTCAGACATTATGACAAGGGACCATGTAAAAATAAACTCGGACATTCACGAGCCTCGGTTATTTGGCACAGGACACAGGTGAGTAACTTTTCTACTTGGAGAATGTTCACTACAACCCTGCTGACTAGTACTTTCATAAGTTCATAAACCAAGTACCAAAACAAGATAGGATAAGAAAATAAAGCACTCGGAGTTTAATAGATAGTTTGAAATGTTGTATAGTAGTTTCAGTGTTTTAGTAAGAAAACAAGCTTAAGATTCATGGAAAGAAAGGGTTTAGAAACATTCATGTGCAGTTGACCAAAGGTTGATTGTTGCTAAAATATTCACGTCCAATCTATAAAGGCGTTGTTAACTCTGTTGACAGGTAGTGGGAATCTTTGCTGGATTTGGTGTCCTACTCCTGGTTGCATCCCCCTTCCTGCTTCTGGCGGCCCCCTGTATCCTGTGCTGTAAGTGTAAGCTGTGTAAGTGCTGCGAAGAGGACGATGATGTCATCGATGTGGTGACAGCGTGATGAGGACTTCTCTGATTAAAGGACAGCCTACAGATAATTCATTTTCATTGGTACAGTGAAATGGTTATACACTGTACAATTTAATGTGTGACATTAAAAACTTGATGGGGCCATCTTAAAAAATAACAGAGAAAATTTACATGTAACATTGTCACACGGATGTGAAAATATGAAAAAAAAAAAATTCAG